CAGCCTCCTGGGCAGCTGGGACCACAGGCACATGCTACCATGCCCAGCTAATTGTTTTGTATTTTTTTGTAGAGATGAGGTTTTGCCATATTGCCCAGGTTGGTCTCAAACATCCTGGGCTCAAGCGACCTCCCCACCTTGGCCTCCAAAAGTTTTGAGACTACAGGTGTGAGCCACCATGCCTGGCCAAGTCTACATTTAGGAAATGATTTCTACCTGTAGAATAAGTACATAGGCTATATACACATATTAAGGTGTATGCTAAAAGTAGTGCCAGAATACATCTAGTTATAGTTATAGTCATTTCCTTGCTCTAACAGCAGCTGGTTTAATTATGTCAAAGAAGAGGGAATTAATTACTTAATCAGTAAGGAGATTCTATAACTCTTTATGTGATTAGTGGTAAGGAGACCAGCCTCTAGAACTAGACTGAGTTCAAATCCCAATGATGTTATTATATTTACTTACCCAGGGGAGGTAGTGGTTGTGGCATGAATTCACTCCAAGAGATGTACTTCAAAGAAATTGAGATAAATATTGCCTTCTAACAATAACCAAACTTAAGATAGGCAGGAGAGAATGAAATGTCTGGACTTGAGTACATTAATCTCTGCTTCTCTTGCTCTGCCAATTTTGTTCTTTCCTACCTCATTGCAGGTTGCTCCATGGGCAACTGCAACTTTGTACATGGCCCTTTTCCTTTGAGGCAGCAACCTTTATGTATTTGCCAGCAAAAAGGAGAGAACATCTGTCTCTGAGCTCTATTTCAAAAAATCCAGTGCAATGACTGGCCAATCACAGTGACTGTGAGTGTATTACTTTTCTGTTGCTGTGAAACCAATTACCACAAATTTAGTTGCTTAAAACAAAATACGTTTATGATCTCAGTTTCTATGGCTTGGGAGTTTGGATGTAGGTTAGCTGGGTTCTCTGCTCATGTCGTACAGCCTGAAACTGAGTTGCTGGCTGGTTCTGTAGTTTCATCTCAGGTTTGGAGTCCTCCTCTTCCAGTCTCATTCACGTTGTTGGCAGAATTAAGTTCCTTGTGATTGTAGGACTGAGATCCCCATTTTTTTGTGTGTGAGGGCTGTCAGCTGGGGTGCACTCTCAGCTACTAGAGGCCATGCTTATGTCCTAACCACCTGACCCTCTGACATCTTGGCAGCTGACTTATCCAAAACCAGCAGGAGAACCCCTCTCTTGTTCTGTTGCAATAAAGTCTTATGTAATGTAACTTAATCATGGAAATGACTATCCCATCATATTCACTGGTCTCATCCACCCTTACAGGAAGAGAATTATATAGAGTGTAAGTACCAGGGAGTGGGAATCTTAGGTGTCATCCTAGAATTTTGCCTATCATAGGGGCTAGAGATTTGCACTTGGACCAGCCAGAGTCATTGGCCATTCCTATGAGCTCACAGAGCTCACTTGTCCTCTACTCTTCTCTTCTTTTTCTCTGACATTTCAAAGTGTAAGGATAATGAATCTTATTCTCTGGATATAAAGCCTTTGCAGGCAGTCAGGGTTTTGCTGTCTTTTCTTTCCTGTTCCTGCATCCAAGATACTTTCTTCATCAGAATTTCTCAGTAAATGTTTGCTGAACTGAATTCATTAATTAAATATGTTAAATGTGCTGATAATCTCTTTGAGAAATAAATTCCCACCTGTCCTGGCATATGCCTTAAAAAAATGTATTAGTAAAGCTATAAATGGACCATTATAGTAAAGCTATAAATTACTTCACAACCACCACCAACTCAGACATAAAAACTCTTTCTGTTTAGTCGCAATTTTCGACATGGTATTTGAATTTTAACCCACAACAATGAATCCAAATATTTATCTTGGATTTTGACGTGAAGCCACTTTATCAAATATGCCATATTCACTCAAAGTAAATTAATTTGGATTAATTTGGTTGATTGAATATCTTTTCATATAAGAACTGTTGGAATAACTATTTTTATACTGTGTAAATGAACATGCTAGAAAAATAATACCACAAATTTTTAGGAAATTTTACATTGTAGAAAAGGCCAAGCCTAGTTATAAAACTAAAAAAAAAATAAACCTTCTGGCATCACATTTAAGAAACCAAATATGGATGAAAAATGCTGCTAACCCATCTTTTATTTTCTTTCTCTTATAATTTATGCCATCAAAATAAAGCTTATGAATTTTTTAGCAACAATGGCTTTCCCTTAAATAGTGATAGAAATCTGGCTAATTTTTAAACATATTACAGCTTATGAAAGTGTTATTTTTGTGTCAAAGTTTTGAGTAAAATGTCTTCTTTAAAGGAGGACAGCAACAAAGACTTGCAAGAATAGGAAACACGATGAGATCAGGAAAAACAAAAAGCTGTACCATTATTTTTTTCCAGGTTTAAGGAAGGATGTTTTAATATTAGTCTTCAATTCTTGAGCATGATTTCATTTTAACCTTACAAAGGTTCAGTTTTACACACTCTGGAATGTGATGGATTTTGGCTTCTCTAAAGAGTAAAGCATCAAGAAAGAAAAGCCCTTATGGATATTGGAAAGAATCATATGATAGGATAATAGTTGCCTCCGTTATTGCCTAAATGTCTTTTATCTGTGCTTCTCCATCTAAAAAATAAATTATTTTCCTTAGGAATCATGTTGAAATATCATTAAACTCTACTTTTTTTTCTCTTGAAAGTGAAAAACCAGAATTTTCTTAAATCTTTCACTTAATTTCTCTATACTTTATTTGTTAGGGCCTAATGAAAGGGTAAGGCAGGAACAAAACCACACTATTTCAAAGGACATCCTTCAGCAAGGAAAACGTTTTGCTTGCTGGTTAGGGAAACCCTATTGATTAGCTTGCTACCTACTTGATTGACCTAATGGAGATACTGATGTAAACCACAGGTGATGATAATATTATGAAGGCTACTTATTTAAAATGACTGTTTACACAGCAAATGGGAGGCAGAAGGCCATATTGAAAATACATACCCATTATTCAATTTACTTGATGGATTTTGAATTTGATCATATTTCTCAAAACCTAGAAGCTAATTCGATGGTGATAAGATCATTTTGTGGTATAATTGCCTTGACACCTTCTAATTTTATTTTTAGTTTTTTTTTTTTGAGACAGGATCTCACTCTGTCACCCAGGCTGGAGTGCAATGGCGTGATCATGGCTCACTGCAGCCTCAACCTCCTGGGCTCAAGTGATCCTCCCCTCTCAGCCTCCCAAGTAGTTGGGACCTCAGGCACACACCACCATTTTATGTTTTGCAATTACAGAGATGGGTTTGTAGAGATGGAGTTTCCCCATGTTATCCAACTTGGTCTCTAACTCCTGGGCTCAAGCGATCCAACTCTCTTGGCCTCTTAAAGTGCTGAAATTACAGGCATGAGCCACCATGCTTGGCTAATACCTTCTACTTTTAAAGACTCAAAGATATGCAGAATCCCCAGGAATTAAAACAGATATAGTTCACACCTATAACTGTGCTTGAATCCTTGCCATCATGGAGTTCCTAATCTAGCTGAGGACATAAATGTATACAAAGTAAATTTTTGTGCTGCAGTATAAACAAAGATCTACAGGAAAACAGAGATGTAAATTTTTATGTCCTGTTACTTTATTGAGGGTACATAGGGTGCCAAGGAGGAGAGGAGAGAGATGGGGTTGAAAAGTGATTTTGGTGAGAGGTACATTATAGACAACATAAAGTCACAACAGGCTTTTAAGTACCCTCCATGCATGATTATATGATATCGTGTGTGTATTTCAGAAAGATCACACTGGCTAGCAGTGAGTAAGACAGACTGGCAGTATCAAACAAGGAGACATAATCCAAGTGTTAGTGTATTAGCAGTAGCTGCAGTGAACCAGTGTTGGTTGTCTTTCAGTTAAGTATTTACACTCTACTAAGCACCCTTCAAGCTTACTCTTCACCACAGCCAAATTTCCAAAGAGATGCTTAGCTAGTAAACGGAGCCACAGGATCTGCGCTGAGGTACAAACCCTTAAACATGATACATGTTTTCCAGACAGAGATAGCAAAAGTGAGAGCACACATGCATGTGTGTGTGTGTGTGTGTGTGTGTGAGAGAGAGAGAGAGAGAGAGAGAGAGAGAAATTTAAAGTTTTCAATTAAGTCTGTAACAGTGATAAAAATGAAGAATTAATCAGCCTAGGAGGCAATTTAGGAGTGGAATCAAAGAGATTTGCAGGATAAAGTGGCACTGGGTGGTGAGAAAAGGATCTGAGGACGAAGAGGTGGTGATTTTCGTTTGGTTATTTGGGTGAAGGATCCTTTCCTCAGGAAGAGCTGGAAAAGGAGTTTATAAATTTAGGTTTGAAAATACGGTTTTGAATTGCTTGTAGGGACATCCAGATGGAGATGCCCATTTTGGAGCTATAAATACTTCTCTGAAGCCTGGAAAGGCATGAAATCCAAGACGGAGTGATTGGAAATGTTGAATATGGTTGAAATCACAAAAGTGAATGAAATAGCCCACAGTCAAGGAAGGCATCACAGGTCAACTCAGTTTTTAAGCTGGCAATGTCAGAGGACACAGTGATGCAGACTAAGCCAATGCAAGTGGCAGGTGAGGGAGATGTCAGGGAAGCTATCTCAGGGTTCAATTAACGTTGTCAAATACTGCAGACGCACACACACACACACACACACACAGGTTAACGAGGAGTGTGGCTTCATACAAAGCCACATATTTGATCTTAAGCCAAAACTGGACTATTCACAGCCATATAGTCGACTTCTGCTTTTTGCTTTGTTTTGTTTTTTTAAATGAGATGCCAATGTGTCCCACTCGCGTTCTCCTTCATCGCCCTTCCTTTTCCTCCCTTCCTCCATGAAGAATGCAATTCTCCTCCACATTTCAATGTTTTGGGACTTGCCTCCCACTCCTCTCCCTTCCCAAGGCTTCCTGTCTGTCTCCATGGAAACCTTCACTTAATTAACCCAACGCAGGGAGAGGGCATTGCTGGCCCAAATGAAAGCCGCCAGAGCAGCTGCAGCAAAAGCTGGAGCAGAGCGCGAGAAGGGGGCTAGAGGGAGGCAGGCTGCGAGGTGGGCTGTGACCCAGGAATCGTGGGCAGTTTGGGCCGCCGTACCCAGAGCAGTGCCAGCACCTCCCAGGCCAGTTGCCCAGGCACCGAAACTTGCAAAGCACAGGCGCCGCGTGGCTGCAGGTCCGGGTCCGGGTCCATATGGGGGTCAGGACGGGTTGCATATGTGCCGCGGCACCTGCGACTTCTCAGCCTTGCATCCCCTGCACTTTGACTTCCAGGTCTCAGCTCTTTCCTTCTTTCTCCACCAGTCTAACCATTCTTTACACCGCAATCCTTTCTTTTATACTCTGCCTCTCTCCCCATTTCAAAAGTTGGCGCTTTTTGACTCTAAAATAGTGCGCATTAGGACAGGGGCTCTTTACACACTACCAGGGCAAACACAAAATTGAATTTGAGTGGGGGTTTGGACTTAAAGAGCGGGCATCCCGGAGCTTTCCACTTTCGCATTTTTATTATAGCACACAGCCTTCAAAATTATAGTTTACGCTTAGGTTTAGGGGGGAATTAATACCATAGCCCTAGAATACTTACATCAGGTTGCTTGGAAAAATGGAAAAGGTTAAAGCTTTGCAGTTTTGTGGAAGGGTCTGGATTTAATTATTAGGCATTTCTTTTTAACTGGGTTGCATTTTATCTGAGGTAAACACCTACTTAATAAGAACTAAAGAGGATTCTATAGGAATAAACTTGCTTTACAGTGAGCTTTCAGGAGCTTTAAAATTGATCCTTGGGAACTGTTTACTATTAAAATAGTATTTTCAGTTTTAAAAACATATAAAATACAGGGGTATTTTCTTTTTCTTTGTATCTTAAGATGAATGTAAAAGTTTTTAGGTCCTTAGGGGCTCCAGGTTCCCATGAAAGGCTAGGCAAGCTTTTTAGATGAATGTATTTTTAAAACAAATTGAGTTGAAACGACTATTGAACGTTGTTTCTATTTAAGTTTCAGTTTCATGTATTTTGAAATATTTTTCATGATGATGGTGTAATTTTAAAATGTGAGGAATTAGTTCCAAAGAAGCAGCAGTTGTGTAGGTGTTCTAGATTTCCATTAATTGAGGTTAAATAATTTCACACGATGCAATGTAATTTTGTGTAATTGCCTGATAATTCATTTTATTTCTAACACCTCCTTTATACTTAATTAAAGCAGTTTCTAGAAAAAAGTTATTTTGTTATTTTTTGGAAAGTACTAATGTTTCCAATTTTATTTAGTGGAAAAATTATGCAGCACCCACCTATTAATGCCTTAACATTCAATTGGATGAGTAGTCACTCTACATTGAAAAGACATGACATTAAAATGATATACATACACTCCATTTAAAGAATGTCCAATAGTTTAGTTTTGAAGCTAAGAAATACATGTTTAATTGAACTGCATACACTTTACTTTCCAGATGGAGAAATTAATTATTCTACTGCTCTGGTTACAATATGTTGTTAAGGTAAGACATTTTTGAGTGCACCCTCTTTGGAATAATTAGCTAATGGACAAGATGTGATTGCATTGAATCTATCATTCTGGAAAATGAGGAGTATATTGAAGGGAAATAATACTAAATATCAGGTTTAGTACCTACGAATAAACATTTTCTTTGCTAGGTGTCACTCGCATATGTATTTTTATTGCTTAAAAATTGTCTTGGGGATGATCATGGAGGTAAGTCAGAATCTGGGAAGAAGACAGGGTATAATAAGGCATTTCAGAGTTGTTCTGGGTAGGAATTTTGATACATATATTCTTTTGAAAGTTGAAGTGCTTTTTGTCATTGAGGGAACAACAAGGGTCTCTGATCTTGAGGTCTGTCTTACTTTGCTAATATTTTAATTACATATAGATGAAATAAGGGTCTAAAATGACTTAGTGTCAAACATTTTGTACCCAAATGTATTTTCTTTGCAAATATGTTGTCAATAATGTCTGCAAAATAATTCCATTTTGTAGACATTATCACCAAGATTCACAATTGGCACTCTAGGAAGATTTGCCGTGTTTTTCTCAAGACTTTGAGTCTCTGCCTCTTCCCTGACCCCAAGGACACAATGTTTCCTAGTTACAGAGACAAGGATCTTAAATTTCCATGCTCTTATTTTACTTGCTTTACTGAAGTCATTTTCAAAATTATATTTATAAATACAGTAACTGATAGAATAATTCATGTGTAGACACTGATACTGCTGAAATGTTTTAAAATTATAATTTGATGTATTTTAGGTGTCATTTTAATAAATCTGCTTATAAAATAACAATCAAGAATGCATTTTTACTGTTTTTTACAGTTTCTTCTCTTTTCCATTTTAGATCTCCAAAAATTTCCATTATATACCAGTGAATAAACAAACAACAGAAGTTTTAATCGAATGGGATGAATTTCCTAAGGGAGGAAATCCTGAATTTTATTTTTTAAAATATCAACGTGTTAATGATTTTGCTCGAAAAGTAAGGAATCTTTTCTTGGTTCTGATAAAAAGTAAGCATAGTATAAATCTGTTATTACCAAGTGCCACATTGTAAATAGTAACCTAATAGTTATCAGGGTTTCTTATTTTATTAATATATAAAATGTTAGCATTTTTTGAAATATCTTTAATAAGTAATTGATCAAATTAATATTTAAGTTTTTCATAGGAATGACTACTTGTCTTTTTAGAATTTGTGTACCAAAGGAAAGTAATCATTTAAAAACTGTCTTTTATGTAGAAATAAACATTTCATATATATATTTATATTTCATATTGAAAAACTACTTTTTATTAAGGAGATATACAAAAGTCAAATTTGTAATTAATGTGCCTGGCTTAGAGATAATGTTCAATAAACATGTCTTAAGCAGATGAATCTAATTATTTGCAGGATGTAAAAAGTATTCTCGCAGACTCACAAAGACATCAGAAATTAATAATAACACTAAAGGAAAATGAAGATTATCACATCATTTTACAGTCCATGAGATATGGACAAATTTTAAGTGAAAAGTCATTTCAAATTCGTAAGTAATGTATATGTTGATCAGCTATGTCAACTTTCATTACCAGATAATTTAAATTTTACAATGATTAACAGGTATATAATGGTACTGTAAAATTATAATAGTATTTTTTTTTTATATAACGCAAATCTCAGAATTTAAAGAAAATTATAAACTAAGGTAAGAATATAGTTTTCAGTTTTGACATTTTGTGTGTACTTGTATGAATGGATAGGTAGAGTGGAGATTTTAAGTGTTATCCAGATTATGTAAAAAATATAATGCGGTTCTGTAATCTAATTCATTCATTCTATGTAGAATAGAAGAAACTCCCACATAGTCTAGAAAATATTTTATGGGTAGATAATGTTCTCCCATCATGGCGAATCATGTAACTTAATATCCTTTGTGTTTCATTCAATTTTATTTGAATCTGTACTAATTATTCTCCCTGATTTTTTAGGTGGAATCTCAACTAGCAATATTAAAACAGTAGCAACAAGTACGAGTGTTTCTTTTAACTGGAGTGTGCCCTCTTCCAAAGATATATCAGTGTCAATATCTTTCAATAATTCTTCACAAATTATGCAAAATAATGTTATGGTTTATGAGTGGGGTAATTTAAAACCTGCAACTTTATATGCTTTCACATTTGAATTTAGACAGTTACATTTGGATTTCATAAATATGTTTCAGAGACTGGATGTTCAAGTTGAAACAGGTATATAGACATTTGGTTCATCATTCATTATATATTTATTACATATTTTGTAGATAATTTGGCAGTTGTATTGGCCTTTTTGAAAGTGATCTAGCCAAGTATTAATCACTGCAGGCTGCATGTAAACAAATTAGCATAGTCTCCTTTTTTGACTATATCATTCTGGTATCTGACTGATTATTGAACAAGCTGGACTTAGCGGAGTAATGGTAGAAACCAACTTTATAACTTTATTTTCTTCCCAGCACTTGCTTTAAACCCAAGTGGGTTCTCTTTTTCTTAACTCTGACAATGAGTCATACAAATTCCATAGCGTTTTAGGTTACTTTGGTGAGTCAACAAACAGTCTCATTTTCAGGTATTAAATGATCCATTGCAATATATTACAAACACACTGATCTTTCATTGTATTTAAAGCTTCTCTATTACTCATCTATGGTCAGACCTGACCAAAATTAGGAAAAGTTTCGGGGAAAGGTGAATGTGTTCAATTTTGGGGGTCTTCCTAGTTTCATATCTTTCCTCCACAAGGTGGGAACAGGTAGAAGGGGACAGAATCATAGATGGCCGATGAGGGCAGGACACTCTTTGTGACAGTCTGAGAGTCCCATTTTAATATCCCCTACAGGAATAATAAAAAAAGACACAACACATGCATTGTACAAGTGAAGTATAGAAACACTCAAATAGTAAGAAAAAAATACAATAAGGTAATTAAGTGTCCTTTCTCCTGTAGGGGGGGAAAAAAAGACAAAAGATCTTCAGAAGAACCTTCTCACATATTCCTACTGTGTTGACTTCAGGCACTGGTAGAATATTAACATGAACTGATGTGCAATATTTTCTCTGAACAGGCTGCTATTTTCTCCAGTCTCTCTGGTACATAATCTTGGAGAATAAAGCTAAGCAGCCATTCCAGCTTTCTTTCTGGAAGCTAAACACTTTTGAAGTCAAAGTGTTTGAGTCAAAAGTGTTTGACTGAGAGCAAAATTTATAGCAAGCATTGTGTCTGCCATTCCAAAATAAAAAGAAACCTGATATATGATAAAAAGTTTGCTACCAGTACAAAAGTAAGGGAAAGGAAAGGCAATCTAAAGTAAGGTTTTCCTTAGAAAGAAAAACATCTTTGTTTTTTTATTTTAATGAAGTTATAATTGGACAATAATTCTGCATAACTAATTCTTACAGCTATTTAAAAAACTATGTTAATTGGTAGAAATTTGCTTGCTACTTGATTAATAAACAAAGCTTTAATATTTTTATTGGTTTGAGAGTAGTATAGGGAAGGTGCACACTTAATACTATGAGGTTTTCATAATTGTATACATGTTAACAAATATAATTATGAAATGTTATATTACTGGATTTATCTTTAACGGGATTTTTCTTTTGGTAGGATCGTGTTCACAAGGATGGGCAGCATTAAAAAATAACTGTTATAGAATTAACAATGACAGTAAGCCATGGAATATAGCCCAGCAACATTGTAAGTTATCCTTAAGTTCTGCACACCTTGTGGATATAAAAAATGAAGAGGAAAAAAATTTTGTATTTTCGTATCTCAGGTCAAACAATCAAATAATAATATGGACTGGTCTTAATGATATGAAGGTCAGTAAATGTAAAGAAATACATATATTATGATAAATGAAACTATTATCTATATTCATTCATGCATTCTTTATTCATTGAGTTCTTCCTTCATTAATTCAATATAGTTTCTCTTTCTATAGATACCCATTTTAATGTATTTTTGTAGGCATCTTTTTTAAAACCTAATTTTGCTTTAATTTTGGTATTTCCCAGACCATTTCTAAATTCATTTGAGTGATCTCATCCATTTCTTCACTCCGTTTACCACCTAAACCAATTATTCCTAACTTCTTTATCTAGTCTACTTTCCTCTTATGAGTCCAGACATATATCTAATTTTCTTCTGATTATCCCTCTGGCACTTCTTGCAGACACTCTAACATTGCCAAGACTGAACTTGCCTTCTCCCTCTAATCAAACTTGTTTCACTTCCTTTATTTCTTACCTCTGCAAACAGTGCAATAATATGAAACCCAAAACATGAAAAGTTTTTTCCATTTTCTTCTTTTCACTCCACACATCAAGCTTGTGAAGCTCAATTTTACTAAAAGCAATACAGAAATATCTGAAGATTTTATTTAACACTAGTGAAATAAGGAGTGTGTAACATTTTTCTTCAACCTTCCTAACACTTTGGAATGTCTCATGAAACTTCATTTGGTCAGCATTTTGTAGAGAAACTCAAGACCTAACACAGTAATCTCTTGTCTAGTCTGTGTTTTCTTCTTGGTGATCCATTGACTTTTATTTCCTGGCACTCAAAGATAACTCTGTTCTCCATGAGATATCCTTATCTATGGTGAACTAAGGCAGATCCTATCAATTTGATGCCAACTTTCCTGTGGAGCTTTGCATAAGCTTGGGAAAACCTCTAGGAATCTTTAATTGCATTTAAAAAGTATTCTTTTATTGAGTTTTCTTCATCTTTTAGTAGGCAATGAATTACATTCTAATAAAGATTCCTTAAACCACAATTCATCTTAGACATCTCAGACTCCCTCTCCCAGCATGCCAGTCTTTTAGCAAGTAGACCAGTTAATGTGTATATGTGTGTGTGTGTGTGTGTGTATATATACGTGTGTGTATATATATCTATATATATGTATCAGATGCTACCCTTAACCACGATGCATCAGATGCTGCCCTTAACCACGGTATTTTGAGGTTGACATCAAAGTTACCTGCTACATCATAATCCCCATGGTAGGTTCAGAAAGCAATCACTCCTTTAAGTAAATCTGTGCCGAATAAGTGCAAAATTGTTACTGGACTTCAAGGATTAAGAGTGTGTCTTATTCAGCATTCCATTCCTAGCTTCAAACTGGGATTTGGTACTCAGCAGGAACTTAATGAATGAAAGATTAATAGTCTCTTTCTTCCCTTTAGGGCACCTGCATAGGCAACCTTCATTTACTTCTCACCTTATAGTTGTAGTAGGTGCTATCATTATTCCCATTTTATATAGGAAAATAGATCTTAGAGAGATCCTGGGGCACATAACTTATCAATGCCCATTCCAGGCCTTGAACCTGTATCTGTCTGACCAACTCTCATGTCTTAATCACTTGAAATACTGTCTCTGATCCTATGACTATTTTTAAAACTACAGCAATACATATGCAATAAAGCAGACTTTCTGAGGAAATGGGATTTCTTCGTTCTGTTAGGTGGAATTTGAATGTAATGTTTTAAAATCTCTTTAAAATGTCCAGAGGAAACAGATCTCTTTAATTCTCACCCATGCAGCTAGGGTGGCGCTGTGCTTGATTTTGGGGATGATCTGATAACCAAAATATAGACATAGTATCTGTTTTCGTAGTGTTCATTATCTCTATAAGTATTACATTTATTTTTTAAGGAGCTGTTATGTGTTTGCTGTATTACAAACATACTCTCTAAACCTATTGACAACTATGCAAAGTAGTCATGATTATTTCCATTGCATAGGCAAGAAAATTTAGTTTCTAAGATTAGTAGTTGCCCAAGAGTAGATAGTAAGTGTCAGAAATATAATTAGTATGCAGGAGTATTTTGTCAAAGCTTATACTTTTTTTAAACTACCCCTTTCAAGAAGGGTAGATATATGACAGATATTTATTACTCGTGAAAATTGGGTTGGTGAGATTCACCAAGGACATCCTTTAGCAGGAAGGTATCAACAACCTCTCCAGATGCATCCAATTTATTTGATGATTTCAAATGAAATAACTAACATTTAATGAATAATTTCTCCGTGCCTCATTGTGTTGAGCCTTTGAATGTACTGCCTCTTTAATCATTACAACAACCTTAAGATGTAGGTTCTATTATTATACTCATTTTACAGATGAGAAAATAGCGGCTTATTGTGAGATTTGCAATATGGCTAATGAGTAAATGAAACTGAACTCTGTTTCTTGCTGCTTGCTGCTGCTTCTCCTTCTCCTTCTCCTTCTCCTTCTCCTTCTCTTTCTCTTTCTCCTTCTCCTCTTCCTCCTTCTTTTCTTCCTCCTCCTCCTTCTCTTTCTCTTTTTTCTTTTTTGACATAAGTCTTGCTCTGTCACCTAGGCTGAAGTGCAGTGACTGAAGCAGAGATTACTGCAGCCTTAAACTCCTGGGCTTAAGCCATCCTTCTGCCTCAGCCTTCCAAGTAGCTGGAATTACAGGCATGAGCCACTGGCCTGGCACCAGCTACTTTATCATGAAGGACATCTACATAAAAATATTAAACTAGCTGATGATTTTAAAATCTTAGAAAATTTTATAATAAAGTTATGATTAATTAAAATTTTCAAATACACATATTTGAAATGCAGTGACTGAATATATCTCACTTTTCCTTTTAATTGGCTTAATTTGTTCATCTTATTACAGAAAGAAGGTCTTCTTACATGGGCAGATGGATCATCTTTTAGCCTTAAGAAAAATGAAATATTTTCTTTTTCGTTGCTATCCGAGAATGAAACACATTGCTACATTTTACAGCAAAATGCAACTGGATCAAACTATTTCTTTACAAGATTTTTCTGTTATGTTCCGTTGCCATATGTTTGTGAATATGAATGTAATTATTTTTATTATTCTTTCTTATATTCATGCAGCTTTTTATTATTTAATTTTAATTTATTTCATTATTTTCAGTATGGAATTACAATTTCTAATTAAAAATAATTATCTTTTCTATTTTTTCAGTACCTTCTCTGCAAGAAAGCTTTTTGCTTTATTTAAAGGATGTTGGAACAACTGAAGTTGTATTTAGTTGGAATAATTTGAATTTTTGGAATAATTTGAATAAGTGGATGAAATTGGGATATAAGATTATCATTAAATATTCTTTAGATTATACAGGAGAACAACGTTTTGAAAGCATACCCCCAAATACTACAGAAAAAGCAATTACCCAACTGTTTCCTGGTCATATTTATAGATTTTTACTCTTCGCAATAAATGAATGGGAGGCAAAAACTACTTTCAGTCCAATATTCACTATAGAAACGCGTAAGTTACAAGACACCTGAAAATATAATTTAAAAACTTTTAAATTCTGTCATTGGCAGATATTTTATGAGAGTCTGGTATTTTCTCATATAACTCTGGAGATACCTCTATATTTAATCATTTTAGGCTTGGTGCGGTGGCTCAAGCCTGTTATTCCAGCACTTTGGGAGGCTGAGGTGGGTGAATTGCCTGAGGTCAGGAGTTCAAGACCAGCCTGGTTAACATGGTGAAACCTCATCTGTACAAAAAATACAAAAATTAGCCAGGTATGGTGGTGCACGCCTGTAGTCCCAGCTACTTGGCAGGCTGAGGCAGGAGAATCACTTGAACCCAGGAGGCAGAGGTTGCAGTGGGCTGAGATTGTGCCACTGCACTCCAGCCTGGATGACAAATCAAGATTCAGTGTCAAATAGTAATAATAATAAATTTGCAATGAATCTGTTTATGTGTGGGTTTTCTGTTAAACTACAAACCTCATGAGGACATTAACTATGTCTTAATTGTCTTATAGTACCAGCTAAACTACTGCCTACCTCATAGGGGATGATCAATAAATTTTTGTGGAGCTGAATTTCCGATATGTGCTGAGAGCAGGAAAGGGAGAGCTATGCATCCCTGACTTTAATCGCCTTGCACTGGAGATAATTAGTAAAGAATAAAAACAGAAGCAAACAAAACTATACAGCAAAATAATAACCTAAATATCCAACCAGTGGTGCATTTAATAAATACTGACTTGAATTCATACAGTAGATGACAGGAGAAGACTCATGGAAAGGAGAGGCTTAGACTCAAACTTGAAGGAAGAAAAAGCATGTTGTGAGCAGAAGTGTAGAGATAAGAATTTGTAGAAGAAGCCTTGACTAGAAGAAGATTGACTAGAGAAGACAATTTCCTTAGGCATGAGGGTAAAATCAGTGTGGGAGGTAGATGGTGCCAGACTTGGGATTGGCAGGGGTATCTGCCTCAGATGCTTGGACTTGACCTTGGAAGCGATGGAAATTCATTAAGACTATAGTTTCTAACAATTGTTTTACATTTTACAAAGCACTTTCAATTCATTATCTCATTCAGTCCTTGCCTTAACCCTGAGAGTAGCTATATACAAATGAGAAAACTGAACTTCCGGAATGTTAAGTAAACTGACTAGAGTAACATGCTTTGTTAAGTAACCGAGCTACACAATAACCTAGATGGTCTTATTGTAACTCCTGAGCTGTTGCTCCTGAAGAAAGAATCAAGAATGTGTTAGCACATGTATATTGAGGAGTGGGGGATGGGTATAGGTTTGAGGCCATTTGCAAGGTACAATATTAAGAAAATTAATCTGGAAGCATTAATTAGGACAATCACTGGCACTGAATGAAATGGCCAGAGTAGGGAAACATTTCTGTAAAAGGATGAATGCCTGTGTTGCAGTGATAATGAGAATGAAGGGTGAATAACAAAGTCTCTGCTCTCTAGTCTGACAAGACAGAAGAGGTAAGAGACATATATAATGCATGATCGTTGAATGCCATACATGCTGTTTTGCTGGTGAGGATAGTAAAATAATTATTGAACAATAGCGCGTGGCAAACACCGTGCCAAGTGTTTTACATTCTTCATCTCATTCAGTCTTCACAAAAGCTTTATGAGGTACCTACTAATATAATTCCCATTTTACAGTCAGAGAGGGTAGATAATTTTCTCAGGGAGTGAAACTTGAAAGTGGAAGAGCCAGGACTCAAACCCAGTTTTTGTTTCTTTTCCAAGCTAGAGTATTTGGAAATACTGAGAAGCGAGAGATTATTCTGCCAAATCACGTCACTAATACAATGTATTTTTTGGTTGTTTTTATCTCCCAGGCCCTTTGTCAGCCCAAAATTTCAGAGTTACACGTGTTACCCCAACAGAAATATTTTTACAGTGGGATCCTCCAGATCCTGTATTTTTTCATCATTACCTTATCACTATTTTGGATGTTGAAAACAATACATCAGAAGAGGTGTTTGTTGAAAAATGCAACACAGCAACAAAAATTAGAGACCTCAAGTCTTTTCATCATTATCTAGTATATCTATTCAGTGTAGCAGAAAGAGGAACTTCAAGTTGCTTGGAGAAACCACTTTCAGTCATTACAGGTAAGCATGGCTGAGTATTGCCTTTTACTAAAAAAATCTAAACTGATAGTTCTGTTTCTGTGCGATTTCACTGTTGTGCAATATGTCCATGTAACCTGTACACTTACCCCAAAATCTAAAATAATAAAAATAGTTAACTGCATATTTCAAAATATTATTTTGCTGATATTTAATTATGTTGATTCTTCATAAGTACAAATACAGTTGAACATGTTTTTGAATGTTGAATCACAATTCTAAGCATGTATTCAAAAATACTAAATTTATTTAGATTTACATGAACTCTTTAAACATTATTCCAATCTGCATTTTTTTTTCTACCAAAGTCCCTAGAAAACATCTTCTTTGTCATAGCCTTGGATGGAAAATAAATTTATCTTTATTTGTCATAAGATAAACAAATTATCACATGAATATTAGTTCACCCAGTTCTTTTTAGTAACACTAGACCCAACGAAGAGGTCTGCATATTTTAATCAGTTTTACTTGGTTCTTTATTTTCTCACACAGTGTAGTGTGTTGACCTCTAGGGGGCAGTCTCATCCTAGCATTTTTGACAAATGCATTTCTATCCTCCTCTTAACCTCCACGTAGCAGTTTTTGAATCCTTGTCCAGAACATAATTGTTAATCGATTGTTTAATAATTCTATTTATTCCCTAAAATATAAGGATGTATTTTTTTAAAGATAAAACATTATCTTACAAAACAATGCATAGTGAAGCACATTTTGGCGTACATTCTTATAAGTGTAGTGTGTATTGTGTGTGTGTATTTGACATGCTGTGTGCAAAGTTCTTTGGAATTTCAACAGCTAAAATGTAAACACCCTAGGGCTGAGGTAGGTGGAATGGAAAACCTGTATGTGCAGAGCCATAGATTAATTAACCTTCCTATACTTATTGGGAATATTTAAGATTCTTTGAAAATAATAACAATAATAGATACAATTTAATGCTTACTAAAAGCCAGTGCTTAACATACAAGTATTCAGTACTGCAAATCCTAATAAAAATATTTTTCCAATTGGATACTAGCAGATGTTTTCTCTTCCCCAAACTTAGACGAGACGAAGTATCCTTCCATTGGCAAATGCTTGGTCGGTTGGGTCCTTTACACTTTAGGAAGGCACATTTTTAATTGACAGATGGACTAGAAGGATTTCTCACAGATTTATTAATTTTGAAGTCGACTTAAAATCTTCTAGGACATATACCTATTTATTTCATAAAAGGTACAATGTGAGTCTGCACTTTTAATTTTTTGGGGGGTCATTTGCTGTGTATATTTACTGTAAGCTGATATACCAGTGCATGTCCAGGATTTAGTAATCCAGTGTTCCTTTACTCTCTTAAGCTTGAGGAATTATTCTTTTTTTAATGCATTATTCACTCAGTGAATTATTTTTCAGTATCAGTAACTGAGCTAGGCACTAGAGATACAAAGATGAAGAAGACCTAGTCTCAGTAAGTTTATGCAGTAATGAAATGAGGCCAGTAAGTTAAGAGTGATAGTGCTGCATTATAATTGCTGTTATAGCAGTTATACTCTGGATACTATGGGAACATAGAGAGGGATCAAACTCAGGGTGCGGATGGTCATGGGTAAGTGATGGGTTTAATCATGAAGGAGTAGAAATTAGCCAGCAGGTGACAGTAGGGAGTCAGAAGGATGCTGCAAGTAGAGCAAGCGCATGCGCCTAGGCAAAGGCCTGAGAGAAGACATCTAAGCCGACCTGGGAAAGCTAGAGAAGGCGTTTTGAAGACACTGACACTTGAACATTAGGAATGACTAGAGAACAGAGGGGCATGTAGGGAGAGTCTAGAAAATGTAAGCTAGGCGCAGAATGTGAACACCCTTGATACATACCCTGGAGCATATTTTATTTGGTAACATTGAACCTTTGTGGGGTCATGGAACCTCTTGGGAATTAAAAAAAAAAAAAACCTCTTTCTCATGAAAATGCAAATGTATGCACAGACGATTTTGTAAGCAAATTCAGCGCTATCGCAGACCCACCAAATCCCAGCATTTCCTCAATCCCTGCTTATATGTGGCATTCGGTAGATTATATCTAAGTCCTCCATTGTAGTAAATGTTTAAATAGATTTTTAGGTTTTGCAAGCATATATGAATAATTTTCTGAAGTTGTTTCACCCTGGAATCTTATTGGATAGTTTGTCTAATTGGATTACTCTGGCATTTTCTGATAATTTTACATAAATAATTAATTTAAACATCAGTTACAATTTTGTGAAATGAAGACATGGGATGCAAACTAAGGGTTCCACCCAGAATATTTTCCTGAGAAGTTAAAATGTGATATTAAATTGTACTGATAAAGAAGTCAACTCTAAAACAGATAAAAGTTCAAATTATAGGTTCTGCAAACTATAAAAATCATAGAGAATTCTTTAAAGATTTTTTAAGTGAAACTACTAAAAAGCTTAAAATTGCATAATTATCCTTAGAGATATGAACTAATGATTATTGTAGCTGAGAACTATTAAAAGATCAGGAAAAACATAATATAGGATAAATAAGACCATAAGGAAAGCATTTACAATTTTCAGAAAACTGTATGATAGGAAAAAAATCAGAAGGCTTGGTATTCAATAAAGAAACTGTGCAAGGAGATAAGCTGAAGTATCATCTTCAGCTATTATTATAAAATATCAAGAAGATTCTTCTGCAATGATATTATTTCTAATAAATATCATACCTTTCAAAAATCAGAAAAGTAGTGTAAAGTTGCAACTATTTTATAATAAATGCCAGTTCTGAAACTTTAAAGACATCTATATGTCAATGACTCATAAAGTTATGTCTCTGTATAACTTTATATAAAGTCTAGACTTTTGTCTCAAACTCCACATTCAATCATCTAACTGCCTATGCATTATCCCTCATTTGGATATCTATGAGATGTTTTACATTTAACATGCCCAAAACCGAACTCCAGGTGTTTCCACCCAAATCTGCTTTATCCACAGCCCTTCTCAGTTCATGGTAATTTTATTCATCCAGTTGTTTAGTCAAAAGCCTTGAAGTTGTTCTTGACTCTTCTGTTTCTCTCACAACCCATTCCCAATCTGTCAGGAAATCTAGTTTGTTCTATCTTCAAAATAAATCCAGAGTCACACTATATCTCCCCACTTCCCTGAGTGCTGTTTTCATCCAGGCCACCATTCTACCTCACCTAGATTGTTGGGCTGGCTCCCTGTTTCTACCACTGGCCCTCCATGTGGCCTGTTATTAATGTCACGGCCCAAGTAAGTCTTAAAAAATAGGAATGATCATGCCTCTGCATATAACTCAGTAGTTGCTACCCATTTGACTTGGAGCAAATGCCTTTGAGGCCTTGCATGAACTGGCTTTCTATTTGCCTCTGACCTCATCTTATTCTCTCCTTCTTTCATTCTAGCTTTCCTTCTGCCCTTGAACACACCAGGTAAGTGCCCACTTTAGGGATTTGGCTTAGCTGTTTCTTCAGTTTTAATACTCTTCTTCCAGAAATCCATATGTCTGACTCTCCGATCTCCTTCACCTTTTTACTGAAAACCCCATCTTTTGAAAAACGTCTGCCCTGAAATCCCTTCTTCATGCCACAACTTCCTCCTTAAAGCCACCATACTCTCCATCTCCATCACTTTGGTTTACTTTTTATTTTTTCTGTAGCACTTATCACCTCTGAAGTTCTATGTAACATAGGTACTCATTTTATGTATTGTTATTATCTATTACACCTATTAGAATGTGAACTCCATAAGGACAAGGATCTTTATTTTTTACCCATGTACTCTATCTGCCTGGAAGAGTGCCTGGCACTTTGTAGGTGCCCATGTATATTTGATTAAAACATGAATAATCTCAATAATGGGAACATTACTCTGATGGCACTCTTAAAAGTATGAAGAATTTGCCAAAAACTTGAGGATTATATTTCTGTTTTCCCTTGACTTGTAATTTTTATGTTTAACCATTTTAATAAATTTTGCATAGTAATAAGAAGATACACTTTTCTCAAAACTGGAATACTTTTCAAGACATGGTGACATAAGAAATTGTGAAATTTACTTTGAACATTAATATTGAATTATTTTCACTCAGTAGCATGAATAATGCTAACTAATAAGCTGAGGTGTGTGTATCTATTTATTTGTTTACTTAAGGTATTAATCCACCTCAGAAAGTTTTCATAAAACCTGAAGATGTGGGAGAAGACAATATAATTCTTCAGTGGGAACCTTCACAAGATGGCCATGAGATCTACATTCAAATTAAATCCATATCAGATCCACGTGAAGTCATGAATAGATTCAAGATTGATAATTTAATCCCTGGAATGATATATGGTATTGGAGTGGCCACAGTGATTAATGGAAACTTGAGTGAGTGGTAACTGTTCAACAAACTCTAAGTGACAATCAGATACTTTTCATTCTTATGAGGTATTTGCTGATTTGAGGATATTGTAAAATACTCCCTGATATACCCGTCCAGTAGCTGGTTGCATCTTTTCAAGTAGATTTTGGTGTGCTTTATCTAATGGTAGCCTCAGAACCCGAAGCAATTTGCATCTTTTTTTTTTTTTTCCCTGAAAAGGCTCCATGCTTGTCTGAGGGCAGCATTGCCTTGTGATTAAGAATTTGACTTCAGAGCCACAGAGCCTAGGCTCAAATCTGGGTCCCACTATTTGAGTAACTCTGGGCAATGTACTCAACCTGTTTATGCCTTAGTTTCTGTATTTGTGAAATGAAGAAAATAATAGTATGTATTTCATCAGATTATTCTAAGAACAGCGGATGTAATAAATATAAGGACTAAGAATAGTGCCTTACACATAGTTATATGTATATAATTATTTTTATATTCACAAAGACATACCCTTATATTATAGCGCATTGAAAAAAATATTAACAGTATAAAAGGCTTGGAACCAAACTAAAAAATATCTCCGGTCAGGCGCGGTAGCTCTCAACGCCTATAATACCAGCACTTTGGGAGACCGAAGCGGGTAGATCACCTGAGGTCAGGCATTCAAGACCAGCGTCGTCAACAGGGTGAAACCCCATCTCTACTAAAAATACAAAAAGAAGCCCGGTGTGGTGATACAAATCTGTAATCCCAGCTACTGAGGAGGCTGAGGCGGGAGAATCGCTTGAACCTGGGAGGTGGAGGTTGCAGTGAGTCTAGATCAAGTCACTGCACTCCAGCCTGGGAGACAGAGTGAGACTCTGTCTCAAATAAATAAATAATGTTTCCATGTTTTTCTCAAATATGATTAATTCACTCAATAAATAATCATTGAGTAGTTATTAGAGAGGAAGAAAAAATAATATTCGTAAATTGAATAAATAAATACAATAAATATTTGTAGATTGTGATAAATACTAGGGGGGAAAAGGAAAGTGATGTGATTGAGAGTTATTGAAAATGGCCAGGGGGTTCTACCGTAAATGGACTGTAATGGAAGGAAGTTATATTTGAACGGAGGCCAAAGGATAAGAAGGATCTGTCATGGGTCAGGATGGAGGAAGGGTACTCCAGGAATGAACACAAGCATAAAGGATGCAAGATTCAAAAAGTTCTTAGTGCATTTGAGAACAAAAAGTGCAATGTATGCAGTGCATCTAATTAGGAGGGAGAAAAGTAGAAATAAATTATCTTGGAAAGGTACCCAGGAGTGAGATCACATGGATCCAGTAGACTACGCTTTTGAGTTTGTTCTGAGGGAAGTGGGAACCATAGAGGGTCTTATGCAGGAGAGTGACAATCTGACCTATGTTTCAAAAAGTTCCCTGTTGCTCTGTGTAAAGAATGAATTGTGAAGAGGCAAGGCTGAAAGCTGAGGAACTGGATAGGATGATATTACAGAAACCCAGGCAAAAGATTATGGTAACCAAGGGTAGGGACAGTGCGGAAGGAAAGGAGGAGATATATTTTATTGTGTGGAAGTAGGAAGTCCAAGATGGGCTGCTTATGATGCATGAAAAAAGGGAGAAACTTAGGCTTTTAATTTGAGCAATTTGGGTGCTTGATGATGACACTGAAGAAGAGAAAATTATTGGACCTTACAGGCATTCTAGCTAACCATACAGGCAGTCTGATTGAAAAAAAAATTGATCCAAAAAATTATGCAATGGTAATATCCACACTCAACCAGGGCTATACCTTCCTATTTTACCATCCAAAGACTAAAACTAAATTTATGTGTGGAACTTCCAGGCTTAAATTTCTAAGAAAACTACCTAAAGATAATTATAATAAGAAGCAGTTATAAAAGAGAAAACTAAAAAAGAGATGTTACCAAGAAGAATTATTTCATGCCTATGAAACAACCCACTAAATGATTATTGGCATAGCAGAAGGACTAAACTGTGAAGATGGAAAATGGTTTTTCTTCTTAGTTCATGTTTTAGCAGTCTGAGGTTAGAGAATGTCCCCATGTCATCCCAGGATCTGTTTTCTTTCTCAAAAACTTGAGACATTTAATATGTTATTTCTAAATTTCCTTCCAGGTCAAAACCAAAAGCCTCATAATTCTTTGCCTCTAGGGTACTTAGCATATTTCATCCATCTGCCATGTAAAATGTAAACTTGTTTTGCCTCTCTTTCTAGAGCTCTTGTTCAGCTCCTTATCTCCAGCCTAAATATAGTTTCTAGCTCTATGTAATTCAATTATTTGTTTGTCAAACTGGTATTCAACATGGATGCAGAAACACATATTAACATATGCAAATCCTAAGAATAATAATAGCATTCTGGGGTTTGAAGTTAGGACAGAGATCTTGCCAATGCTCTCATGTGATATGTAATTCCCAGCACAATATCTCTGGTCATTCAGGGCTTCTGTAATTCATTTCCAAAATTTTCCCCATCATGGTCCTAGTCTACTCTCTAGGACATCAGAAAGCAAACCCACTCTGAGGTTCACATGACAGGCTGCAAATGTTTAGAGACATCCATAAGGTGTCCCTGGTTCCTATATCTTCTTTCCTTCTGACTAATTATCTTTAGTTCCTTCAAGCACTCCACTATTTCTCGTGGGTGTTCTATGCAGTTCGTAGGCTTGCTATCAGATTTAGCATCACCAGATTATTTATCAGGCATCATTTTTACTGCTTCAAATATCCTAAAGCAAATATTAACCTGTCCCAAGGTGCATAGGAGCAAGTTTTTTCGCATGCATTCATTCAACAGATATTTATTGATACATGTAATTTACCACATTGTATTTATCTCTCTGCCATATACTTTGAAATAGCCAAGCAAGAGAGGCATTTGCCTTTTATGGGCATGTAGAAGAAAATATAATTTACACATACTTTTTTTCCCTTTCCCCTTTGAAACTTATCTGTCTGTGCCTCTCTCTAATTTGTCCTGAACATAACCAGCAGAACTTGATCTCTAGCTATGATTGTGCACCTGAACCATCAAATGTGCCCTTGGGAAGAAGGCAGTGCTTATGAGCACAGATCATGGAACCAAATTGCCTGGGTTTGTATTCCAGCTCCATGATTTAGCTGCTTCTTACATCCTTTGCAAAATCACTCAGGCTCTTTGGTCCTCAGCTTCTTTCCCTCTAAAATGGGAATAATAATGATAATCTTATCCATTTTATGAAGGTAATGTAATTTAAGGACTTGGTGCCTGGCACCAAATAATTGCTATAAGAGTGTTTGTTGTGATTTTTATTTCTCAATAGGAGTGGAGTGGTGGCCTTGGGGAGCTATGGCCATGCACAGTGGGAAGTAAAGCCATTTCAGCAGTCTGTGATCTTTCTTTGTTGGAGGAATTAACTATACCCAGGTTTTCTTGAGGGAGAAAGAGCTATTGGAGAGCTGGTGTTTGAATTTCCCTTTTTCCCCTCTTGACATAGGAGAATACATTTTATGATAGGAGCATCCCTCAGACTTTGTTCTACCTTGCCTATAATAAAAGCCTTTGAAATTGGCCTAGTTCAGTTCACCTCATATTGAAAAAAAAAATCTTATGTAGCCCCTGATCTTACCATTTCTTTTGATAAAGCTTTTGCAGGACAACAGATCAGGATAGAAATCACAGTCCAGAGGTAGAAACTTGCCGAAAGTCCCCAGTATGTGGCAATATGTTTCTTTTATTCTTTTTTTTTCGTGAAATCTTTTCTCATATGATTTTTCCAGATCAGGATATAACTTTTAAGACAAGACAGAACTCTGTCCTATTCTACACCTTTCCAGCTTTGGTGACTATAGTATCATGCATTATACAGTTTGACTTATTTTCTAGGACAGGTGGAAATGATGGAAAACCCCATGTTTACCCACTAGAGGGGATGACGCTGATTTTTATATACTTTTAGAACCTACACTAGACCATGCCTATTTAAAGTCTCCTCTCTTTTTTAGAAAATGTTTTCAGTGCCGAACAACATGGAAATGAATTGGCTCTATGACTATACTCATCACTCATTTAGCATCCCAAGATCTTTTAATTCCTGCTTAAGCCACACTTGGAAGCTTTCATAGATCATTGTCCACAGATCCAGATGTATTAGATGTGTGTGGGATGTTACTCTTGTCTGGGGAATGTCATAGTAACTGTAAGACCTTTGTAACTGAAGGGGACTGTGCAGAGTTTAAAGAGAAAACCCACAGAAGATATTAGTGATGATGGAAAAATAAAAGTTAACGTAATGTAACTAGAGAAGGAAAACTATGATAAAAGTGCCTTGAAACCCAGTAGTACACCATATGGAATTGGTTATGGTTCATTTATTGAACATTTCCTCGTCACCAGCAAGAATGGAAAAGGCAAAAAATTTGCAAGTTGCAGCTCACAAAAATGTGTAGAGCTATTGCACTGATTTTATGTTCTGGAATTCTCATTATAGGTGTGTGTGGACATTCTTTCATAAAGTACTGGCTCTGGGTAAAGTAGCAGAATAACATTATCAAATATTTAACAGTAACTTGGAACAACTTCCATTGTATCAAACCAGATGTCGCAAATAAAACTGAAAAGGAAAGGCCATCTAATTATGCTCTGGAGGGAAAAAATTCATTTTCAGATTGTATATTTTAGGAGAATATATCTGCTTGGGAGAAATGCAGGCTTAAGGAAATACTGGATGCTATCCCCATCACCCACAAATCGTACTGAAATTAAAATTGACCTGAGAAAGAAATAATGTGACTAGAAATTATCTCAAATTTTAAATCTGCTTTAAATAGCACAGTAGAGAATTGAGGTACAATCAAAATCTTTAGCAGAGGTCAAGGAGAGTGTAAAATGTAAATGAATCCTTCCTCCAAACTGTTGCCAAAAATGTGTTTCTAAAAATGAAATTACATGCCTGCTCAAAATCCCTGTTGCCTCCAGGATACAGTCTGACCTCCATAGCACAGCATGCAAAGCCCCTTACAGATGCATTCAGCCTCAGAGGGCCCTTGTATGCCCCGTCTCATTCCTCTCATGCAGTCCATCTTTCAACCACCCAGAGTGCCTGCTGCATGCCTGACACTACTCTAGGTACTTTATATATGAATGCAATTTCTTATGTAATCAAAACAGTGACTCTGCAATGTAGATACTAGTCTCCTTCCCATTTTAGAGAAGAAGACCAAGGCAGAGTGGCTAAGTAACTTACCAAAGAATATCCTGCTATTAAAGAGCTAAAAGAACTTGGTATTCCTTGAACACACGACAATGCCCTTTTTGGTTTCTATGCCTTGCCCCTGATTATCTTTTTTTTTTCCTGGAATTCCTTCATTACTCCCCTTTCCCCTTCACACATACTGTTTCTGGTAAACTTGTACTCTTTCAAGACTCAGATAAAACATCGTTAACTCTGGAAAGCCTTCCCCAATTATCTCTGCTAAAATTGGTGATTTCCTCCTCTGTTCTAAGCAAGTTTTTGTTCATGTCACTAGCTCAGGTCTGACTATTTGAGATTCTAGTTAATAATCTACGAATCTCTTTCCTGAGATTTGAGAACTCTTTGAAAGCAAGAACCTGGCCTTATTTACTTTATTTGAGCACTAATCCTTGTATATAGGTTCTCAAAAACATTTACTTAATGAATAGATTAAAAGGTAAAACATAATGAAAAAATCTCAGATTTGTGTTTCTTGTGATTGTTACTGATAATCAGTAAATAAAAGTTAATTATGTACTTTCAGTTTCATGTATGTATAACCTGTCAGAATATCTACCTTATTTCTCTGTCTAATGCTAACATAGTAGACATAAGTTTAATGCATAAACATTTATATTCTCACAAATTCTGGAACATGCTAGATAAAATGCAGAGAAATATGATTGACGTTTAAAAAAGTACTAATTATAAATCTCGTTTTTATCTTTCAGAGCCCAAACCAGTCTGGATTGTTATCCCCTGTGAAAGGCGTAGTACCTCTGTAATCTTATTTGTTCAAATGCCCGACATTGGAGTGTTTGATGGAATACGTATTGTAATTGAAGGAGGGGCAAATGTGACCATGGCTTTACACCATGGTAATAAAATAACTGTTGACAATTTAGCCCCAGACACAGAATATAATTTCTTTGTTTCCATTATCAGTGGGACTAAACTAAGTGATATGTATTATGTGCCTGCAGTAAAAACATGTAAGTATTTTAAGACTTGCAAAGCTTTTTCTTGATTTCAATTTTGTGTACCATTTCAAATGAGGAGTCTATACTTAGTTTAATGTAATCATTTTCAAGGATCTTTTAAGGTAATTTTAAATGCCTTACTATTGAGCCAGATCTTTCATTGCCTGTGTACAGGTAGAGCTAAATCTATGGAAAGTTGAAACTCTCTGAAGAATTTTTTTATCTGTCCTTTCACAAAAAGAAATGCCTGCATTTAAACCAGAACTTTAAATGACTTAATCAAAGAGCAAGGAATGTGACTAATTTTAAGACAATTATGAGAATAAAATTTTATTTTTTGAGCCTAGGAGACCTGATAATATCTTAGAGCACATGATCTAAGACTGTGCTTGCTATTCCCCATACTGACATTTGTCTGGAAAAAAGTGTATATTTTCCTAAGCTTTTTGAATATTTAAAATTAATGTTTGTTCATGATTTGGCTCTCTATTTGTCTGTTGTTGGTGTATAAGAATGCTTGTGATTTTTGCACATTGATTTTGTATCCTGAGACTTTGCTGAAGTTGCTTATCAGCTTAAGGAGTTTTTGGGTCGAATGATCGATTCACCACATCTGCTTCAAGATATAAAATACCTAGGATTCCAACTTACTAAGCGGATGCCTGCAGGCACCCCTCCTCCAACGGAGAACCAAACAACCTCCTTCGTGACAAAATACAGCAGGACACCACCAAATCGGACGCACCATACCTCGCCCATCGCGCTAGAAGAATCAATATCATGAAAATGGCCATACTGCCGAAGGTAATTTATAGATTGTCAATGCCATCCCCACTCAAGCTACCAATTACTTTCTTCACAGAATTGGAAAAAACTGCCTTTAAAGTTCATATGGAACAAAAAAGAACCCGGCATTGCCAAGACATCCCTAAGGCAAAAGAACAAACTGGAGGGCTCATGCTAAGCGCTGAACCTTCAAACATATACTACAAGGCGTACAGTAACCAAACAGCATGGTAGCTTGCTACCAAAACAGGAGAGTAGTACGAGGAAGGACGAGAACAGAGCCCTCAGAAATAATACCCACATCTACAACCATCTGATGCTTATGAGAAACGCTGAGAAGAAACAAGAAATGGGAAAGGATTCCTATTATAATAATGGCGTGCCTGAGAAAATTGGACTAGCCCATAAAGCAGAAAGCTGAAACTGGATCCTTTTCCTTACTCCTATACGAGAATGAAATTCAAGATGGATAGAGACTTAAATGTTCAGACCTAATACCATAAGAACCATAGAGAAAACCTACGGTAATATGATTCAGCAAAAAAAAAGAAGACTTCATGTCTAAAACACCACAAAATGACAACCAGCAAGCAAAAGCAAGTTGACAAATGGGATCCTAATTAATACTAAGAGCTTCTGCACAGCAAAAGAACTACCTCAGAGTGAACAGGCAACCTACAGAATGGGAGAAAATTTTTGGCAATCTACTCATCTGACAAAGGTCTAATATCCGACCTACAAGAAACTCCAGCAAATTTAAAAAAAAAACAACCCCATCAAAAGTGGCAAAGACAGTGAGCAGACAGTTGATCTCAAAAAACATTTATACACGCCATAGACACAACTGACAAACATGCTCATCATCACTAGCCATCAGAGAACATGCAAATCAAGAACCACAATGAGATACCATCTTACCAGTTAGAATGGCAATCATCAAAAGTCAGGAAACAACAGGTGCTGGGAGAGATGTGGAGAAATAGGACACTTTTAACACCTGTTGGTCTGGGACTGTAAAACTAGTTCCAACATTTGTGGAAACAGTGTGGCGATTCCTTAAGGATCTAGAACGTAGAATACCATTTGACCCCAGCCACTCCCATTACTGGGTATATACCCAAAGAACTTATAAATCATGCTGCTGTAAAGACACATGCAGCAATGTTGTTTATCTACGGCACTGTTCACAATAGCAAAGACTTGAATCAACCAAATGTCCATCAGTGACAGACCTGGATTAAGAAAATGTGGCACATATACAGCCATGGATACTATGTGGCCATAAAAAAGGATGAAGTTCGTGTCCTTTGTAGGGACCATGGATGCAGCTGGAAACCACTCATTCTCAGCAAAACTATCGGCAAGAACAGAAAACCCAAACACCGCATATTCTCACTATAGGTGGGGATTGAACAATGAGATCACTTGGGACACAAGAAGGGGAACATCACACATCGGGGCCTATTGTGGGGTGGGGGCCACGGGGAGGGAGCATTAGGAGATATATCTAACATAAATGACGAGTTAATGGGTGCAGCACACCAACATGGCACATGTATACATAGGTAACAAACCTGCACGTTGTGCACTTGTGCCCTAGAACTTAAAGTATAATAATAATAAAAAAATTAATGTTTGTTATTATATATGTGTGCTAGGTGTTTATTTATATGAATAGTTGCATTTTTAGATTCATATGGTTTTATCTTCTCTTTAAATCACTTACAAATTCTGCATATATTAATATTGAACATTTGGAACGCATACAATTTATCTAAAATATCCATCCGGTATATGTCAAAATTAATGATGAAGAGTAATAAATGCCATACAAACCAAAATCACATGGAGTCCTAAAAACATAATTCTGACTTATAACATGTCCAGTTACCTTATTATTTGCTCTTCCTGTCTCTATGTATGTCCATCTAGGTCACGAGGCTGCCATGTATCTTTGCTCCCACAAATTGTAACCTTTCCATTTCTGTTTAAATTCAACTCGTCTACAAAATACTTCCAAACTGATGTCAGAAATCACATTATTTTGACAGCATTTTAGCATATTTATAATCATTTCAAAACCTATTTATATTTTATTTTTGCTTTCAATTTCTATGTACTTTTTATATCTGTATTCTCTGCCTGTCTTCATTACTTTATAAATCATTATGGGCTACAGTCTTTGTATTTGGCAGTTCTTGTCTTTAAACAAAGTTACTACCTGATTATCTAAATACATCAATACTGTGATATCAATCAGCAAAATAAATCAATATGTAAGATGATAGTTTAAAGCTGCCATTTTCCCCATCTTCTGAAATAATTTTTTCCTTATGCTAGATTAAATCTTTAAAATGGGAAAAATAAACATTAACACTCATCAGATACAATTTATTTTTAGCTTCAGCAAATATTTGATACAAAGGGGATACTTTCACTTCCTTATCTAAAATTCATATTTCTTTCTCTGTTGTCTTTTCAGCTTATGTTAATAGTTTTAATCTTTTTGTTTTCTTGAATATTATGTGTTTTCTTCAGTGAATTTGTTCCTATGTAGTTTTTTGCTACAGCATCAAAATTAGCTGTATGTGATGGTATTTACAATGGCTTTCAGTATTGGAACTGATTACCATATTTTACAAACTGTCATTGAATCTGTAAACAACTATTTTTAATTAGGATAGAAGCATAGATTAATTAATAAACTATTGTTCTTTTTGTCATTATGTTTTTTATTCACTTTTAAGAGATAAGTTAAAAAAAATTAGGAAATTTCCAAGAGGAATTTAAGTTTGTTGTGTGTTTGGATAGGTCTGGAAGCACAACTGAATATCCATGAAGGCAAAGTTACAGACTCTTCTATAGAAATTCTCTGGAATCGAGCTGCTGGGAATTTCCACCATTATGAAATCACATGCATAAACTATACTGCTGCTTTCATGGTATGTTATAAAGAGCTCTTGGAGGAATTAAACTTGAATCTTTCATGCTGAAACCAACATTACTGCATTCTTACATTGTATAGTAGTGAAACTAAATAATTCCTAATTGTGTTCAATTGTGGAGTTTTTCTTAAACATCACTTGATAATGTATTCTTTTGGATTGATAGGTTCAGAAGGTGGTTCAAGAAGCAGCAATATTCTCTAACCTGGATCCTGCCACAGTGTACACCTTTTCAATTCGGACTGAAAAAGAAGGTTTTAAAGACACTACTGCTAACATAAAAGACATACAGACAGGTAAGCCTATGTAGGCACCTTAGGAGTTTCTTTCATGTTCAGATATTTCCTTGGTCCTTTAAGGGAAGGTTAGTAAGTAGTTCATTCTTCCCAGGTTTTCTTTATGGGCAGTGTCTCTTGTATCTTTTTCTTTTTCCTTAGTATGAGTTATCACAACATCCTTTTAAGTATGTATTGTCAGATGGTAGCATTGCTAACTGCATATTGTCTGGCCAGAGTTTCCATTTGTGATGTAATTACCCCATTTTCCATTAGGCAGATAATGAAGTGCCACATTGCCAGTGTAAACATTTTATTCCCGAAGGCAGATGGTGATCTATCCCATGGTAATCATATGAAATAAAGGATGACTGGGAAAGATGCATGCAAATGTATAAAGTGTCGTATCTAGTAAAGTAAAATTGTCAAGTATTCTACTAAACTATTTTAGTTATTCTTGACATTGATGCAATGGGTACATTGATTTATATATTTAGAACCTGGCCATGTCTGGTATTCTTTTACTGTAATAAGAAAGAATGAGATTGAGAGAGAATATCTTCACAGTTTGATTCTTTTCTCATATATGGGAGAATTTTAAAGAGAAAACAATACACCCATTATACACTATTTAATTTAACTTTTTTTCCCTCAGGAAAGAAGGGAGGCATTTCATATTCAGATTGCAATTAACTTTCCTGCTAATTAGACTTGGCACTCTTTGGTATTTAATTAGGATGAGTCCTAAAAATAATTAAATATTTCTGAAATCAGTGATTACACAAGACTAAGGTATGATCTACTTCCTGCATATTAGAGGCCAGGGACATTTTGAGTACAATGCTACTGGGACACATTTTGTGCCCTTAAAACACACATGTATTTTATTTCAAAGTTTAAAATAATTCTGACTGTTTTAAAACAATACTTTTAACTTCTCATATCTAGCAGGTAGAATAAAAGGAAGCCATTGTCCTCAGCAAACTAACACAGGAACAGAAAACCAAACAGCGCATGTTCTCACTTATAAGTGGGAGCTGAACAATCAGCACACATGGAGACAGGGAGGGGAACAACACACACTGGGGCTGTCATGGAGGCGGGGCAGGGAGAGCATCAGGATAAATACTTACACTTGTGGGGCTTGATACCTAGGTGATGGATTGATAGGTGCAGCAAACCACCATGACACATGTTTACCTATGTAACAAACCTGCACGTCCTGCACGTGTATCCTGGAACTTAAAATTAAATTAAATCAAATTACATTTTAACAAAAAGGAGTGCCTCGGTTATCCTCAGGGTTTGCATAGAGTCAATTCCTGAGAGCAGTTCAGGGCTGGCAGGTGCTTTGTGCTATAGAAAATGTTCTCTTACTGTCTGTTTCAAATGATATAGCCCCAAGTGCAGCTGAATTTATGAAACACAGCAGAACCCTAAATGCAGTAACTGTTAGCTGGCCTTCAGCTAGAAGTCTTCTGGATGGTTACATTGTTTCCATATCCAGTGAAAGCTTAATGAAAGAAGAAGTTCTGCCCTCCACTAAGAGGTATGAAAATATTGAAAAGAAATTATGTCAAGTTAACATGGAACACAAATTAACATCTTATATATGTTTTTAGAAAGCTCTCTTAATGGGATAATATAAACAGAAATGAGAAAATTTTGCTCGATATAATTTTTGGACTACAATGTGATCAGAATAACTAGGTCTGACATATTGTAACAAATTATTTCTGAAAATAAATAATGAATTCAGAATATTATCATATGTATGATACATTATTTTTTACTTAAAATTTCTCTGTAAGAAGATATGATTTTTGATTAACCATTTGTGCCTAAGCATAGCAAATTATTTCCATGATAGATACTTTAAAAATGAAACATATACAAATTTTTCTGCAGGTGAGAAAATTGAGTTCTCCAAATGTGTCCGAGCTAAATGTTTTAATATGTCACTTTTCTTTAACCTGTAGCACATTCACATTTAAGAGCCTTTCTCCAGGGACTGAATTTTTAATTAGTATTATGACTAACAAGGGACTGAAAAGAAGCCATCCTACTGTTCTCATGGTTAGCACTTGTAAGTTCATTTTATATTTAATTAACTTTTCATGGGTAAAAAGAAGAGAGACATAGTTGTATTTAAGGACAATGCCTAATTAGAAATGAATGACTAGAAAGTGGTTTATATATGCTGGAAGAGAAGGAGCACTGCATTTACATCGAGAATGCCTGAGATATATTCCTGCCTCTATCACTTATTAATTATGTGACCTTAGGCAAGACAATTATGTTCTCACTTAGGAAATGAGAATAATTATTCCTGCCTAGGTAAAATAACCTGTTACTAAAGTGAAATGTGAAACTCTTCATGAAAATGTAAAGTACTTTAAAACCCTAAGGTATTATTGGCATGAAATAATATTTTTCTAGTACTTGGACTATATTAACATTTTATGAAAATAAACTTGGGGCATGAAAAAATATAGACTTTTTTTATTAAAAAAATACTGTCTTTTTGATTGAATTATTTGGGTTCTGTTTGCCTCTTCTGACCTTATTAGCATAACTTGACTTACATGCTTGCTCTGAACATGTGTAGCTATTTCAGAAAGTCCTTTCACTTGTGGGGACGAGTCCTATGAAAGTGTGCTCAAGTACCAAGGTCCTCTTAGTTATGAGAAGAGGCTCGATTGCAGAAGTTGCAGTGTGAAGGAAGGGAAGCACTTGAAATGCAGCAATGGTCAAATCAATTCTGTGAAAATAAACTAAAAAATTGAGGTATGATTATACACCAGCATGGTATTATGTGCTTCAGTAACTGCATCAAATCTCTGCAGGCTACCCAAAATGTAGGTTAAGGCTCAGAGGTGTTCATAACTCATTGTTGAAGGTGAGATTTTATCCCAGGCATCTAAAACTGATATGACCCTGCTGACTCTCATAAAGACCATTCAAAGAAACATCAGAAATAGATGAGAAAAGTTTTCAATTTTTTAAAAAAGATAGCTCATTATTATATATCAGTGAAAGCTTAGTTGCTGCTTAGATTTGGGTGTTGTCATTCTCATTGTCATCATCATCACCATGGTCATCATCACATTGATTGCATCACATTGAGAGCCTCTATCAGGTACTCTGCTAAGCATTTTCTATGCTTTATATCACTTCATTCTGAATGACAACCTTTATTCTACCAGTCATAATGAGATGTATATTTTGTACATGTTTTTCAAATGAAGAAGCAACAGAGCCTTAGAGAATTTCAGTCACTTATACAAGATGATAGAAATTTGAACTCACATTTCTCTGACATCAAATTCTGACTTTGTAACCCTTGTGCTTCAGTGGAAAGGCCACTATGTTATAGGAAAGACTAACTCTACCCATTCTAGCTCTGTGACTTTGTGAAAATCGTATTCCGTTTGCACTGCAAGTTCCTTATTTCTAACCTGAGGTTAATAATAATACTTTCCATTGTTCATGATGTTGTTGCCTTTTTGACTATGTTTTCTTAAACAAGGCTGGTAACCTTTCTTTAATGTCTCCCATATTGCAATCTGTCTTTTGTCTTCTATTATATATTATTGATATTTTTATCTTTTTAGTTACCTTTGTTTATTTGCAAGTCCTCTCAAGTCAATTTGGAAGTAGATGGAATATTAATAAATGTACAAAATAGAGTTAAAATATATTATGGGACAATAAATTAATTCCAATTGTAAGGGAATTGCATTATAGAAACAGAATATAAAGGAGTATGAGTCAGTGATTCAGGTTAAATCTACCACAGGGATGAATTCTAATAAACTTAAATCAGTATGTAAGTAGGGGCAAAAAAATTCAAAATTTGAATTTTTAAGGTGAAATTATTTTAATAAAATGTTAACATTACATTTCTTCTAGCAAAGGAAAGCAATACAATAGTTTAATTTGCAATATAGGTTTGAAATAGAGGCATGTTGCCAATTTGGAAAATAAGCTTCTAGAACTATCTCAGGTAAAGTGGTTACAGAGAAAAGGAATTTGTGAACTTAAAGAGGGGAGATATATTTCTTTATTCAGTATATAAATTAGAAGTAAACAATATCAATTGTAAGAACTTAAAGTTGAATTCTGCTGTGAGAAAAATAAATGGGAAAATCCATAATTTTATTGTTGGAAAAGACTTTCCAGAAATTCTTTTTTCTCTTTCCTTGTAGAGATAGAGAGCTTAGACTTGGGGTAAATAGCTTGTACATGGTCACTTAGTGCTAAAATTGACTGGATAAGCCTAGGTTTTATGTCTCATATCTACTACTCTTCAAAGTCAAGGTTATTGGTTCAGCCTAAATAATTTAGTGGTAGAAATGTCTTTTAAAAGATGTCCTGGTGTCTTATTTCATTTCTTTAGATCCAGACTCATCAGATTTGCTAATTTTGGGGCAAGAAGAAAACACAGTATGTTTGTCTTGGAAACTACCAGAAGGAGGGTTTGAAAAGTTTCAGGTAAATAACACTGATGCTCTCATACCATCTTGATGTTTATCCAGGTCTTTATTTCACTCCTTCTTTTTGTCATTCATTTTACATTAATGGTTTTAGAAATTATTGTGCCACTTCGTTAATGTAGGATTTCTCCCCCAAGTATTTCTTGTATTTACTTCTTTAAAAGTACAGAGTTGTTATGGAAAGTATTTAAATGTGTGTAAAACTGACACTTGATTTTCGAGGAGTTGGTTTTTTGGTGGACATAAACAAGTACATACGTAGTTACGTAGTACCAAGAAAGTGAATAAAGGAGTGGTGGTGCTGGAGGATAATGCTCCTGTGACAGCATTGGCTGGCACAAGGACTCCAGAAGTCACAGCCACGTGATTTGCCACATGCTCTTTCCGTCCCATCCTAGAGATTTAATTGGATGGAGACTTTTAGCCTAGACAGTAGAAGACTTTTAGCCTAAATAGCACTTTCCAACTGTCTGTTTTTCATCAGGTAAATATGTACATTTTCACTGCCTTTTTGTTAATAATGTAATCTGGCAGTGGGCATGAGGACAAATTATACCCATTCTAATCTTATGGTTTGCAAATGGAAATGCTTCTAGTATACCATTATTGCTTGGTAGTCTGTGGGGGCAATCAATGTTTCCAGTGGTAGGAGATGATAACTTTAGTTCAAATAACAGAAAACAACCTAAAATAGTTTAAGCAATAAAGAAAAAAAAATTAATGCAAGAGTCCCTTATGAAGACCAGTAGAACTGGATGTTGGAAAGAACTGGAATCAGTTATTTTAAGGTCATTGAGAACCCAGGGATTACTTTCTTTTTGTCTGGTTACTTCTTTCTGCTTATTGGCCTTATTTTTTTTTTTTTTTCCCTGAAGACCAACGTTTTCTGCTGAGCAATTCATGTGGTGAATAGAAGAATGCTATATACAACTTCCAAGCACAAATGGGCACCAAGAAAGATAATTTCTCCCTAAATTCCCAAAGAAGGGAATGTAATTATCCCAGGTTGGAATAGAAAGCCAATCCAGATCCAGTGAAACAAAACAAATGGAGTTGGTCTCTTTATTGTTATGCTTAAGATTTGAAGAAATAAGCAACAAGAAGACTTTTTTTTTTTAAATGAATGAGGGTATTATGTATGCCTATAGACTTAGTTGAATGATTTTGAGAACAAAAACAATTTTATTAATTTAACAAATTCAACATGCAAATTCAAAAAATTCATTCCTTCAACAATTTCTTGTCCTCGTGGTATGTTCTAGAGAACTAGAGGAGGTTAGATCAAGCCTCTGACTATCTTTAGCCTTGGGAAGAGCAGATAACTCTCTTTCCCTGAAACCAAAAGGAAGGGGTCCTATGTGTTAAAGATCTGATTGATTCATCAATGTAAATTTCAAAAGGGAACAATCTTAAACAAATACCGTCTTCAGTCACCAAGTATTATCAATTCTACTACTGCGGTGTAAATTCCATTTGTCTCTGCAGGGTCCTCAGAACACCAAACTCTCTAAACATTCTCTAGCAATGTAAAATAATGGCGTCTGTGCAGCATGTAAGATCATTAAAGTCTATGTTATAGAGAACGTAAGGACATACATACCTTAAATTTTTAACAGATTCACATATATTAACTTCAATCAATTTTGTTTTTTTCAGGAGAAGAAAAATTCAATTTTTTTTCAGGAGAAGAATTTAGCTCTTAGTGATATACTTGCATGTAATATTCTGGTAATAAATTTGAAAATACAAGTTTCTTTACAAAACAGATATCCTATTTTGTTTTGCCCAACATTCTGACAGTTCAAAAGATAAGGACAAACTGTGAAATTCATTTGAACACCAAATATGTATTCTAGTGAGTAATTCCCTGAAAGTATTAGATTGCTGGCTTTCTTTTCATGAATGATGGGAGTGCAGAGATTTATATCCTTTAAAAGAATCTCAGAACTGGCTGGGCGTGGTGGCTTATGCCTGTAATCTCTACACTTTGGGAGGCTGAGGCAGGCAGATCACTTGAGGTCAGGAGTTCAAGACCAGCCTGACTAACATGGTGAAACCCCATCTCTACAAAAATACAAAAAAACAAAAACAAAAACAAAAACAAAAAACAAATTAACCAGGCATGGTAGCACGTGCCTGTAATCCCAGCTACTCAGGAGGCTGAGGCAGGAGAATCGCTTGAACCTGGGAGGAGGAGGTTGCAGTGAGCCTAGATCATGCCACTGTACTCCAGTCTGGGCCTGGGAAACAAAAGCAAAACACCGTCTCACAAAAAAAAAAAAAAAGAATCTCAGAACTGTAATGGAACTGAAGGTATAGTCTATTCCAAGCATGAAAATAAACATTGGCATGCATATTTAAGACCCAAAAGGATTCATTGTGAATTTAGAAAACATCAGGCAGTTGACACAGAATATTTATGAAAGTTTGCCGTTTTCTTTCTTATACCTTTAGCTGTTTTTTATGAACTCTGAGTATATTTTTATTATAGGCAGCACTGTCCAACAGAAATAAAGTATTAAGTGAACCACAAAAGTGAACCATATGCACAGTTTAAAATTTCTAGTGGAAATTTTTTAAAAAGTAAAAAAGTAAAATTAATTTTAGTAATATATTTTATTTTACCTCAATATATTCAAAATCTTAACATGTAACCAGTATACAAAGCATTAATGAGATATTTTTACATCACTTTTTCATATGAATTCTCCAAAATCTCGTGTCTGTTTTACACTTAGAACACATCTCAGTTGAGGCTAAACACATTTTAAACACTCAATAGACACAGATAGCAAGTGGCTATCATATTGGACAGCATAGTTACAGAGAGTGACTATTGTCATCTGGATTAAATGATAAAGTGAAAGAATGGCAAAAATTGGCCCACCAGTGTCCGGCTGAAATCCCATTTCTTCCCAGATGCCTCTCTGATCCCATCTGCAGGGAATGACATTTTCTTACACAGAGTTTTTTATGAAACTTTCCTTTAACTTTTTCTGTGTTACTTTTAACATGCTGTCTTTGATTGTTATTATTGATGCACAAGTGCTAACATCCCTATGCCATTTCCTTGAGGAATCTTTTAGCTTTCCTTAAGAGTGGAGTTCCAAAGTTACTATGTACTGAATAAAGCAGTACTTCCTTTTATTTGTCCACAGTTTCTTCCTTCCAGACCTCATGTGGTAGCCTTCTAATGCGAGGCAGTCTTATATACATGTGCACGTTCAGTTTGTCTGTAATTTTACAAGGTGTGGTAGGCAGTATAGTGCAATGACCCTGGAATTCCTTGCTTTAAATTCTGACTTCACTCCCTACTCTGAGACCTTGGGCAAATCTTTATCCTCTTTGGTTCTATTCCTTCATCTGACAAATGAAGATTATTTTTATTACTCTACGAAATTACTGTGAGAATTCAATAAGATAATGCACTTTGCAAATGCTCTGACATGCGAATTCCCTGTAGTCAGATGTTTTGTCTACTTTGGTCACTGTTATATACTATTACTGAGACCTATGTCTGAGGCATAGCAGGAATCAATAAATGTTTTGGTGAAGAAAGGTAAAATTTGTAGTTTTCCTTTGTTCTTCAATCACTTGCTCAGCTGTCTTTGATTCCTCCTATCACTTATCCATCAATCTCTCAGCTATTTTAGCCATTTCTACCTCTGAAACAGCTTCTGAATGTGTTCACTTTTCTATATCTCCTCTGCACTCCTCTTGTCATGGTCACTATCCTTTCTTTTTTACTTTTACTTTTTCTTCTTTTTGTTTCTTTGTTTTTTTGTTTTTTGAGACAGAGTCTCGCTCTGTCACCCAGACTGGAGTGCAGTGGTGCCATCTCGGCTCACTGCAACCTCCCCACCTCCCAGGTTCAAGCGATTCTCCTGCCTCAGCCTCCCGGGTACCTAGGACTACAGGAACGTGCCACCACACCTGGCTAATTTTTTTGTATTTTTAGTAGAGACGGGGTTTCACTATGTTGGCCAGGCTGGTCTCGAACTCCTGACCTCGTGATCCGCACGCCTCAGCCTCCCAAAGTGCTGGGATTACGGGCATGAGCCACCATGCCCGGTCCACAGTCACTATCCTTTCTTACCAAGACCAGCAGCCTAGATGATGAATGATAGCATTTCTTCTCTTAACTGGTTTCTCTATTTCCACTTGTGATTTCCTTACAATTCATATAACATTGGTTGAATATGCTCTAGTGGATTTCCATTGCTCTTCAAATAAAATCTACACTTGCCATGGTTTCCAAGATCTCACCTGATTGGATTTTTGTCTAACTATCCAGCTCACTCAGTTACTATGTGTCAGTCGTATATATCTCTCTCCTCCTCAAACATGCCAAGCACACCCACCCTACATGGTTTTAATGCTTGACATTCCCATTGCACCGGCATCTTGCCTCCAGTTTTGGTTAACCTTTTTCTGTCACTGAGTTCTCAGCTCGAATATAATCTTCCTATATCCTTCCCTGATTACCAAATCTAAATAAAATCCCTCTTAGTAGTCACTCTATTATTTAGCCTAGTTATCACATTCATTTGTTTATTTAGTTGCTTGTTATCAGGTGCCACCAGAGAAATGTAACTTTCCTACAATCAGAAGCCCTTTCTGTATTATTTACACAGTATCTCTAGTACCTAGAATAATGCTAACCCCCTTTAATAGATGTTCAATAGATGATGAGTAAATAACAGTTTATATACCTAGTGTTTCCATATATGCTTGGAGTGATTATGGAGGGAATATATCAATACTGAATATAGTTGTCAGGAAAGGGTGGAACTTGAGATGACCTTTTAATAACAGGTAAGATTCATGCTCATGGAAAAGAGGTGAGGATACTCTACACTAGCAAGGTCACAAAGTCAGGGATTAGTATTCTATTTGTCATTTATAAATGTCATTCAATGATAGGGGCATCCTGAATAATAAATCACTCATGAAAAATTCCATCCTTTCCAGAATGATTCAATTCATTCCTATATTCACTATAGGTATTCTGTAATGAAAAGCCCAAGCATTTTTAATATTAATTGTAAAAGATTTATGTTTCTTAACCTTTTCTGTTTGTTCTAATTCTTATATCTTAAGGCAAATATCAAATGGAATGATCTTCTGTGGGGTTAACTGAGGCCATAAATTCATTTGTTGTCAGTTTAATATATAACCATACAATTACTTTTTACTCTATTTGGGCACATTTTTTTCAGAGATATAAATTATGTATATTACTAAGTGAAACTGATTTGAAGGTAACATATTAATCTTTAAGGTTCAGAATATTATTATTGAACACATTATATCACTAATGGTTATCTGATTCTTTCTTGGTCAATTAGATTATTTGTTAAATTTTAATGAATTAGGTAACAGTATCCTGGTTGCTTAGCGAAGTGCACTTGGATAATTGGGATCATTTCTCTAATCATTTAAAATTAATCATCACATGCCTCCAAACTATGCTTTAAAAGTGGAAATAAAGCACAAATTGAATTTCTATTAGGCATGTGTATTCTACATAATTTTTGGAGGGGATAATCATCTATTTTTTGAATTACATTTTAAAAAATTAGTCAAATACTTTTATCATTAGATCACTACAGTTTCTTTTTCTTCTACCCTTCGGTAATGTCTTAATGTGACTGTGCCTGAACTTAGCACTTTATTAAGATTATATTCTACTAAAATTGCATGACATTTTCTCCTACCATCCTTTTTCATACCAGAAGTTCTCATCATTCTACTCACTACATATATTAGACAAGTAAAGTAATTATCAGTGACACCTTATGAATCAATAAGCAATGGTATGCTTCTAGACCTCAGGATTATCTTCTTCATTAATGAAGCACTTTTCCCACAAGACAGTGATAACTATGTCTGCTTAGGAAATTTGTTTGACTTCTACCACATAATAGCTGTTTTTCAAAGCATAATAAAGTTTAAATAACTTATAAAATTGACATATCTTTCTTTGCATTCTACAAACATGAAGTATGGAATAAAGAAGAATAAAAATTGTTATAAGTAGCTTTTAATGAATTAAAAACACTCCAGGTTATTGGAATTATCAGATTACACCACTGAAAATTTCTAAAGGCAATGCTCACTCTCAGAGTTTTAATGAATAATATGTAGACTTGGCCTAGGTTATGATGAAAGATGGACCAGAATGTAGTGTAAATTTATCATTTATTCACTAATCTATGCAACAAGAACTTGAAGTGCCTTTTCTATTTCAGGTGTCTATTATTGTAGTTCTCTCTCTTGTTGTTTTTTACTACTCCCCTGACTATACTGACTGGCTTTCGCTGACATCTGTTTGACAGTTCATCAAACACTGGCTCTCTCCTGAGGCACATATGTGAGTTTTTTGGAGGACCTTGGGGGTTATTTCTATTGCCTATTTCCTTGACTTGGCAGACCCAGCTCGGGTTCAACATTTGTAACTCCTATTAGCGCCTTCCTCTGGCATCACATCTCACTGGTTTTTGCTGCTAGGTCTTCTTGCACAGTGACCAGCCTTCTTGGGTTGGGTAATGGTAAGATGATCCAAGACTGATCACTCTCTGTGGTCATACTTGACCCATGGGAGACTCTGGCATTTTTGTTCAGGCAAAGGTGGGTGTACAAATTGCTCCACAGCAACATTTTCTTTGTTCTGCTTTCTCTTTCTATTTCCCCTTTGCTCTGCTCCGTAAGGAATAAGGGCAGAGCAGGAAGTCTGCTCCCTAAGTATCTGTCCAATTGAGAGATGTCAATCCCTCTAGCAGGCACTCTAGATGTATGGTAGTGATACACATGGGCCCCTCCTCATTTAGCTGGAGTCAGAATGTGTGCAGAAGCAACCTATTTACCATTCTGTGGGCAGCCACGGAAAAGCCATGATATTCTCTGCTAGGCCAGAAACTTGGGACTCCATTGATATTTTTCTTTCTCTTCCTACAGTCTTCTGTTTACATGGAGTTGAGAGAGTAGGTAGTAGGTACTATCCATAATGATTAGCTATCTCTAAAATACATTTTTACATTTTTTTTTGTTTCAGGTGTGCAGAAGAGTAAGTCCTACTCGTTATGTAATATATCTATTATATGCGTATACACTTAAAAATCAGTATATGTGTTTGTATGTGTGTATATACATGTGAACTTTAAAAACAGATGGAGTCTATTGGTCTTTTAGTGCATAAACTTCTAAGACAATCGACTATGCTTATTGCTCTGTGAACTTCACTGAGTTATTCTGCCTCTACTAGCCTAAAATTATTCCTTAGTGAACACAGGAAGGATCACAACCTCTACCTTGTAGCAGTAATTATGGTAAATATGATTATTACAGAGTTAGTGTTTTTTAAACTTTGGAAAATATAAATTTACTTTTCTCTTTCTCTAGATATCCTACTGCATGCCATCCAGAAAGGAAAAGCTGATTAAGGTCATTGTTTATGGCGACAAAGCCAAAGTAAAAATAATGACTCTGGGCATGGACTACATGTTTCAAATGAAGACAGTTAAAGACAAAGATTACAGTGTATCTGTAATGAAAAAAGTGACTACAAGTAAGGAAGATCATAAATAGCATTTAGTTTTATAGTCCTGTAACACTTGAAAGTATTTTAGCTAAGCATGATTATAGTTGTTTTAAGACACAAAAGCTGATAAATAATGATGATCTTAAGAATGTGATTAAGAGAACTCAAAAATATGTGAACTTATAAAAGTATTTGTATATCTAGATATACTGAGAGTGACACAGAGTTTTTAAAAATAATCTGAAGCCAAAAGTATGCATATATGTTTGTATGTACATATTGTTATATATGTTACATACATGGAATATCTATGTATACACATGTATATATATTATGCCCTAATAATATAAACACAATTCATTTTCTACTGACCTGAGGGTTGATAAACAGAGTACTTCTGTTTTCTCTTTCCTGAAGTTTGTAGATTTATCGTAAATTGGTTTTGTAATGTTTCTGGGTGAGGTGGAATAATAATATTAGTTATCAACAGTTCTCGTGAAAATTTGTGAGGTTGCCTCTCAGTGGAGACTAAATGATAATGCAAGGAGCAACATTAGTTCCACTGATGAACAGATTAAAAATGCAGCAATATAGGAATGCTAAAAACTTTGATGTAAACAAAAAGAGCCACATTTGGAAAAGCCCTTACTCCTAGCCCTCACACCCTCTATAACTTATTCTCTTTCATCTTCTTTGGCATCTAGCTATCTGCTTGGTGGTAGCTAACAGAATTCTGATTATGTTATATAAGGATATTTATGGCTACAAGAGACACAAAGCTAAAGGAATGTCTTTATTACGAGTGATTTATGATTGACTAAGGAAAGATATTTGGGAACTAGAGAGAATATTGTTGTGTCACTTAAATTAAAACCCATATGTAATATCTTATTTTTCTGTTTGCAGAGATAAACATATAGAACATTATACATGAAAAAAAGAGAAAAGAAAAAGAAAAAAAAAGAACATTATACATGAGTAAATTAAAGGACTGTTACATAGATATTTAAATTATAATATTCATAATTGCTCTATTTTTACTAATATATATGTAATTTCTATTTACATATACTTTACCTTTTCATTAGAACCATCTAGGATTTGTGGCTTAACCTTGAAAGCTGTGAATACTTCTTCAAATTTAATGTGGAATACAACAAAGACCAATTTCACTCATTATAAGATTTATATCTCAAATAGAACATTTGCAAAAGACTATCTTATTTGGGAAATGGTGACTGAGCACACAGTTACAGGTGTGACTCATGGTGTAATATATAACATAATGGTAGACAGAATAAGAGGCAACCTTGGAGGATCTGGCATGTTTACTAGGGTTGTTGCAGGTATGCAAATTATCTTTGATATTTAAGAAATTCACATTTCTGTTATATATTGTATTGTTCAAGGTAAAATTTCAGTGGAGTTTTTTGAAATTTGAAAACTTACAGTCTATAGACTATTTCAGAGGATAAAAGTACTCATTTTAGTGGGCTGTTCTGCAGATTTTTTTTTTTTTTTTTTTTTTATAAGACGGAGTTTTGCTCTTGTTGCCCAGGCTGGAGTGCAATGACGTGATCTCGGCTCACTGCAACCTCTGCCTCCTGGATTCAAGAAATTCTTCTGCCTCAGGCTCCTGAGTAGCTAGATTATAGGCACACACTACCTCACCTGGCTAATTTTTGTATTTTTAGTAGAGACGGGGTTTCACCATGTTGGTCGGGCTGGTCTCAAATTCCTGACCTCAGGTGATCCACCCACCTCGGCCTCTCAAAGTGTTGGGATTACAGGCATGAACCACTGCACCTGGCCTGTTCTGCAGATTTTTGAGATGACATGTGAAATATAAATTGAATAAAACATTATTTGACACATAGTGATCAATAAATGAGGTTAATATTATATTCAGTTTCACACTGAATTAGAGATCTAGCTAGTGGAATTATGTGGTGTATTTGGGGATCATCTATTCTCCTAAAAATGTGTTCTTTGTCTTTGACATCCTAATATGTGTTATACACATGAAAAAGCATAGTCTTATGACAGTCACAGGATAGTAAAGAATACAAGCATGGAAACACATGTAGGATAAGTCAATGCAACAGGTGAAGCAATGGAAGTATGTCCAAACTTATTGTAGTTACACAGAAGAGGGAAAGATTAGCTCTATGGCCTCGATGGAGAAAGCTCTTTGGGGCTGGTAATGTCTGTAAAAGGATTAGGAATTTGCTAATCAGACTAGAGAGGATATGGAGTGTGTGAAAAGGAGGACTCCCAGAGTTAGGGAACAGCCCATGCAAAATTATGGAGGTGTAAATGAATATGGTGTATTTTTGGAACTATAAGCAATTCAATATTGAAATACTTTGTTTTTTAATATGTAGAGAGAATAAAATCCTATCCTGAGTAATTTAGAGAGTAATTTTTAAATCCAAAGGAAGCTATGAAGCCTATGAATATTTTAAATTTTTCAAAAAAGTACAAGATTGCAAGAGTAACCCATGAGAATTACTCTTAAGTGATCTTGAAGGCTATGGATTGGGCAAATGACCCAGAGGTCACAGACATATGGTGATAATTCAGGGTATGGATATTTATTATTTGGCTGTCAACATTTTCTTAGCTTCTTATTTTTGCTGTAGCAAATTATAACAACTCAAATGTATTATCTCATAGTTCTATAGGTCATAAGTCCAACATACTTCTCTCTGGTTGAATCAAGGTACTAGTAGGGCCGTGTTCCTTTTTGTAGATTCCAGGAGAGAATAATTTCCTTGCTCATTCAAGTAGTTTGCAGAATTCAATTCCTTGTGGTTGTAGAACTGAGGTAATTATTTCCATGGTGGCTGTCAGCTGACAGTTGTTTCCAGATTTTAGATGATGCCTCATTCTTTGACTTGTGATCCTCTTCCAACATCCAACAAAGGAGGGTCCACTGCCACTCGGGCTTCAAATCTCCCCTTTCCCCCCATCATATGTGACTCTTCTGCCTTCCTCTTTTACTTTTATGGGCTGGTATGATTAGATTGGACCTACCTGGATAATCCAGGTTGATCTCTGTTTATGGTTTATAATCTTAGTTCCATCTGCAAGGTGCCTTTTGCCATGTAACACAACATATTCACCATTCCAGGGTTTAGCATTTGGGCATCTTTTGTGGGGGTTGGCCTTATGCTGCTTAACACATACACTATTATTCTCCCAAATGTGATATATATGTGATAATGCAAAACAAGGAATGAGTTTAGAATTCATGTACCAGCTTTACTCGAGGATTTGGCACTGGTTAGCTAAGTACTACTGGGCAAGTTACCTGATGTCTTTGGGTATCAAGTTTCTGAGAAATTTAAATTAGATGACCTCTGAGATTCTTTTTGACTCTTAAAAGAGTCAAACACTTTGCACATTTTTGTTCTATTTATACAGATAATCTATGACTTACAATGCTTTAACTTACTATTTTTCTACTTTACAATGATGCAGAAGCAATATGCATTCAGTACACTCCTCGACTTACATAAGGGTTACATCCAATAAACCCATCACAAGTGGAAAATATCGCATCAATTGTGATGGGTTTATCGGGATATAACCACACTGTAAGTTGAGGAGTATCTGTCTATATTAATAGATACTATATACCTTATCTATTTCTAAAAACCAAATATGTTAAATCATGTGTCAAATGTCTTCTTCTACAGAGTATTATGATAGGTAAAGTATACAATCAAATACACTAAAATGGGACCCATTCTAGAAGTTTTAGTCTGTGGCAGCATTTCTCAGCCTCACCACTATTGACATTTTGGACTGAGTGATTCTCCTTTGTGAGGATATGTCTTGTTAATTAGAGAATGTTTAGCAGCATCCCTGGCCTCTACTCACTAGATGCTAGTAGGATCCTCCCAATTGAGCCAACCAAAATTTTTGTTAGAAAATTGCTACAAGTCCCCTATGTGGCAAATCACAACTAGTGGTAAACGCAGATATGTTTGGTTAGATACAAAGATCAAATAGATCATTGAGCAAAGATTGAAGAAAAAAATATGAAAAATTATTTTGTTTATACACAGGTAAAGGAAAGAGTACAGTTAGTGTGAGTGACAGAATTTGCTCACTTAGAGAAAATTTTGTCAGAGGAAAAAGTAACCAAGGTCGTATCAATATCAGGAAAGTTTCATAAAAGATACAGAATTTTGTTTTCATTTTACTTAAAGAAAAGAGCACTTTATAAAATAGTAGGAACTTGATGTTCTGGTTGCATAGTGCGGTTTAGGTGATGGTTTTGAGATATTGCAGGTAAGTAATTGAAGTCCCTGTTAAAACAGTACAGTGACTTAAGAGATGAGTACAATAAGAGGAAATGGGAAAAGATGGTAATCTGGGTTGCCTGGTGGTGGTCTCCAGAGCAGAAGGACATTTTGCTGTCCTAATTTTTATAAATAGAAGAGTGATAATGATGGAGCAATGCTTGGGGATCCATTTTGAGCAAAGCACTGAGTGGATATGAGGAGGGGGCTAAGCTAAGAAATGAAGAACAGGTAACATGATGGTTTAACTAAGAGATGACCAGGGCTTTTAGAAAAAAATAGTAGAAATAGCAATAGACTATTAATCATAGCTTACATTTGTAACTTATTTCATTCTCACAACAAGGTGTGAGGTGTTATTATCCCCATATAGATGAGGCCGGTGAGGTATGGAGATGTTAAGTATTTTGCCTAAAGTCTTGTTTATAAGGCAGAGTCAGGATTTGAACCCAGCAATCCAACTCTAGGGCCTGTGCCCAGTGTCTGTATTAAAAATTGATTTTTACACCCTGGTGGCATCCGATATAATGCTGACTTTTTAGAGGATGTTTATTTTATTTATAATTTATTCCTAGCCTATTTCTTAAATATGAGGAAGCTACAGGCACTTGATAAGTATACATTGCCCTGGCATGGGACATATTTAGATTGAATCCCTTAAGCCAAAATTAGAAGTCCTTCAAATAATAATCTTAGGCTTGAAAGAAAAATTGTAGATCATCCAATTTTGCAGTTGAATCTATTCTAAAATATTAATTAATTCATTTAGGATTTTAAAACCTGCTGTTATTTATAAGCCACTTTGTGAAAGTTAGAGGAGCACACAGTTTTCATAGTGATTGAAAACTTGAGACTTTGTCTCTGGGTCTAAATCTTGGCTCTACCATTTACCTATTAGCTATGAGACTTGGTGGAATACTTAAATTCTTTGTTCCTCACTTTTTAAATGTCAATAGTAGTATTCATGGTGTTGTTGCAAGTGTTACATAAAACAATATATGAAAGTGCTTAGCACAGTGCAAAGTGTGTCATAACCTTAAGTAGGAGTTAGTTCTTTTTATTTTGTAAATCTGCTGTTTGTATATCTCATTATCTGTAATAGCATATATTATGTCCAACCTATAATTTAATCACAGAAAAATTAAAAAGTGAATTTCAAAACTTATCAGATACAGTGTGAGTGCAGAGAAAATATAAAGTTAACAATGATGATGAAACTTTTAAAGTCTTAGTATTTTATTTTAAAATATCTGCCCGTTGTACTCTTTTGCTTTCTTGATACCATTTTGATAGGTCTGACTCTTTTTGAATGTTCTGAGATATGTAAGATTTTGTTTATATTGGAGGTCTTCCCAACTCTATTGAGCTGTTTCCTTTACAGTCACAGACCATCGTATCTTATTTCTCAGCTTCTTAAAATAAAATTTAGGTAAATTCACTGAAATGCCAAGGGAAAAGTTAAGAGATGCTATAGTTAGAGCTGTACTGTCCAATATATAGTGTTTGGCAGCATGTGGCTATTTAACCTTGGAATATGGCCAGTCCAAATTCAGAGGTATCATAAGTTTAAAATGTATATGAAATTTCAAAGAGTTAGTATGAAAAAAATAATGTAACCACCTCAATAATTTTATTATAATTATATGTGAAATAATGCTTTTGATATATTGGGTTAAATAAAATACATTATTAAAATTAATCTTACATGTTTCTGTTTACTTTTTAAATGTGGCTTCTAGAAAATTCAAAATTGCATGTGTGGCTCACTTTGTAGTTTTATTGGACAGTGGTGGTTTAGAGACTCACAAGATATATTAGCATATCTGAGGCTTTAAAATATCCTACAATAAAGAAAGCTGCTTAACTTAAAAAGAACTTATTTGACAAAGTGGTTTGATTACAGAACATCTCTTAAGCTCTAATGATACAGGGTTCTGAAGATTCATTTTTAGGAAATTAAAGTCTGGAAGAAACATGTAATTAAACCTAGAATTCCTTTTGCCAGCCCTAATTAAGTTGAATATGAAATGATTTTTTTTCCTCTTAAAACTCCAAACATTTCCACTTCACAATGTTATTTTTATTGGTTAGTAAAAATTAGGTTGAGAATAGTATTTTTGTTTTTTAGTTTCTTATCTTTTGAGAGATTAAATTCCATGGAGAATAAATTATATCTTTGTTATGGAGTCTATTTTCAATTAATTGAATCTTCTAGCTCTTAACCAGAAAGCGGCACTCTTCCATAATGATTTAAGCATTGCTGTAGATCCTCTACCTTTTTCTGAGGACAAGCTTCCCTCCTCTCAGCCTAGAGTACCATGATTTCCTACTAATTAGCTTCCTGCTGCCATTTTTACCTTGCTCTAATTTATAGCCCATATTTCAAAATTATATTTTTAAACAAAAAACAAGCCCCGTTGCTTTCCTGCTTAAAATTCTTTGGTGGCTTCCCACTGAATTTAGTTTAAAAACCCTAAAATCTCTAGTATGACCTACATGATCATCAGTCTGTTCCCCTTTCTTGTTTGATCCCAGAATCTCTGGCTTTCCTCAGTTACTCCTATTCTTTTTCATTTCCAGGGCTTCCATATACTTTGCTATTTGGAAAGGCCTTTACCAAACTCTTGTGAAGATTCCAGGCCTTCCCTCTTGATCAGATTGGCAATTGTCCAGACCAATATATTCTTCCTTCTCTTGGTGAGACACCGTTCATTCGTAGGCAAGGGTTGTTCAGTCCAGGAAACCACATCCTGTTTCACCGCCATCCCAGTAACTAGTGCTTCACTTCTCACATCTTCCTTTTTCTTCCAAAGTCTTATTCCATGTCTTCATTAGTTTCTTGTCTAATACTTCATAGATACTAGTTACTCTCTGGGGTCCCTGAAGCAATAGTATTAAACCCTCATGCAAGTCAGTAAATGTGAGTAGCAGTTGGTTAGATAGATCAATCATGGTAGATTTTTTGTCTATTTTAATGTAGCAGATAGGAGAATCAAGCTTTTTTTTCTCTCAAGCTTGAGAATACAGAAGGCATAGGTCTGATTTACCTTGGAAAAAATGTCAGCAGCTAACAAAGAAATTCTACCCAACACAGGCTGGGTATTTCTCTGATTTTTTGCCTTGGGTTTACAGTATTCTTAGAGTTACCAGAAGAATAGTGGACAATTAGCGGTTGATGCCAAGAGAATGTTTGGAACTCTGAGAATGTTGGGGTGGACATTAATCAATTGATATAAGCTTTGGGTATGCAGGACAGCGTTATGTTATAATCATTAGAAGAACTTTCAAAGGAGATAAAGAAAAACTATTTCAGAAACATTCTTCCCCAAAACACCAAGAAAACGACCTATTATGTTAATATTTCTGTTATATGCAATGTGCCCTGTTAGTTTTGTTAGAAAATGTATATTTTATTATATCCATTTTCAAATCATTTCTGGTAGTGGGGTTTTAAAATGATAAATGAGGTTCAAAATTAATTCCAGCCTCCTTTCTTTTAGAAACAGTGTTAGCTTGAGTCTGCATCAGACGTGTTTTACATGCCTGGCTTCATAATCTTTCTTCCTCCCCCTATATTGTTTGTCTGGAATCTGCACTAAAGATAAGGCAGAGTGCATACCTGACTCATGGCAACCAATCAGAAGAACTTTATTGGAAAACTCCCTTCAAGGAGGTACAGGCAGCATAAACAAAATTTTTGAAAAAGTGGAAGCAAAGGTAGAAAAATATGGTTGAAATGGCTAAAACAATTGGTACTTGTTTTAAAACTGTATTTCATTTCTGATATGAAACCTTATCTTTTCTTTTAAAGAAACACCTAACAAAATATTTATCAGATCATCACCGTAGAAAAGGGAAAAAGACATTAAAAATTAAAAAAAAAAAGATAAAATAACAAATATTTATCAGAAATGCTCACCCTTTAAAAAATCTGGAAAATTTTGGTTGTATATTTTTCCAATTATCTCCTGTTTGATTAATTTCCAAGTAATTGGATAAATAGTTTATATTTACTTTGTTTTAAAATGATTCAAATTTTCAATTAGAGCATAGGCTTTCAAAAACAATCTGGGCAACCAGCAGATTTTAGCAAATAAGAAAGATTTTAGAAACAGAAAATTAATTGTTATATTATTTATGATAGTTATACCTAAAACCTAGGTGTTGTTAAATATTTACATGTCTAACACCCAAATATAGTTAGAGATCATTTATTGTACTCAGTGATTTCTAACAACATGATTATTTTGGAACTTGAACCTATACTATTGCTTTTCATTTTTTTGAAACTTTAGGAGAATAACTTTATTTTAAACCTCTATTTTTCAATATCAGAACCAGAACAACCTGAGAAACTTAGAGCCTTCAATACTTCCACACATTCCTTATCTCTGCACTGGAGCCTACCCTCTAGTCATGTGGAAAGGTACCAAGTGGATCTTGTTCCTGACAGTGGCTTTGTTACTATCAGAGATCTTGGAGGTGGAGAATATCAGGTATAGTTTTCATTATTGTACTTGCCGAGTCTACTTGTATTTATATTTTGCTCCTAATAGTAAAGTTCTTTATTTTATGAAATCTATCTACCACAAAAACTTACTCCTGGTTGGGTTTTTGAAAGCATAAGTTGAAGACAAAAACGTTGATGTCAAACTGATGAGTGTAAGTTTCAGCATCGGTGGACTGTTACCTTAGCAACATCTATGCTGCTTTTTTTTTCTTTTTTTAAGTTCACCCTGAACCTACAGCCAGTCATCCAAGGGTTCATGAATAGTTTAACAAAGAAAGGCAGAGCTATTGAGTAATACAGGCTCATTAATTGTGTACTTGCCAGAAGGATCTGTCTTTAAATCATTAATGCAGGCAACATTTCTCTCTAGAGCCATCAATGTGATTCTACTGCCTGAAAAATGTAATAAAGATGGATTTTCTTGTCATTTTTATTTTACTTTTTATTGGGACTTCAGAGACACAGGTATTTTGTATACACTCTTTAAAAACAAGGGCTAAGCCATTGGCTGTAGATTTCTCAAGACTTGAATAGTTGTTCCTTGTGACAGTGAACTAGGATAGATAGAAATGCTGACTTAGGCTGTGATAACACAGTATGTTTTATAAGTTTTTATTTTAAAGTTATTTGGTAAAAAGTTATATAACAAATCTGTATTTTACAATAGTATGGAACTTATTGTGATGTTATAAACAGTGCAGAGTTATATAGGGAAGTGTTAATTTTTGTTACAGTGATATATTTATTTTAGCTTTCTTGCTTTCCAGAAAGAATTTTAATGCAACATTTGTTTGTGGTGTTCTAGGTTGATGTTTCCAATGTTGTTCCTGGTACTAGGTACGATATAACCATCTCTTCAGTTTTTACAACATACAGCTCACCTGTTAGTAGAACAGTGACAACAAATGTAACAAGTGAGTATATGTTTTAAATTACTTTATAAGTAAAGTATATGGAGTCAGTATAATTCTACTGGATGGAAATACTTATATTGGCAACATGTACATTAAATTCATGAAAACAGTGTAGAATAATTAAGGCAAAATGGAAACTTAAGAAAGTGATCTGCTTAGAACCTGCATTCTGCTGTTTCTTCAGCTTCCTTTACTTTCAAAGTGCAAAGATAATTACTCTATACTTGTTTGTGAAATAGATCAGAGAGACTGTTAATGCTAACATTTAAATAATATAGAACCATGAAAATAAACTGGTTACATTTGCTCAGGAAGGATTATTCCATTTGTAAGACTGTTTCGTGTTTTCTTAGTTTTTCTGTGTAAGCCTTGCACTAAGTGAATTTCTTTTAAAAATGATTTGGCATCAAAAGTATATTTGGCATGTAGTATTTAGTAGCATTCCATTTTTCACATTCTTATAAAATAATGTGTTTGGTATTCCCCATAGTATTTTTTTTTTTAATAGTAACAGAGCTGTCGGGAGTATAAACTCATATTGCTCTTTGGAAATTTCAAATTTTACATTTGTAAATACTGTTATTATGTGTTTTTGTGAAAATGCAACAATTATTTGACCTTTTAACAAAGTGGGTTTTTAAAAAATAGAACCAGGGCCTCCAGTCTTCCTAGCCGGGGAAAGAGTTGGATCTGCTGGGATTCTTCTGTCTTGGAATACACCACCTAACCCAAATGGAAGGATTATATCTTACATTGTCAAATATAAGGAAGTTTGTCCATGGATGCAAACAGTATATACACAAGTCAGAGCAAAGCCAGACAGTCTGGAAGTTCTTCTTACTAATCTTAATCCTGGAACAACATATGAAATTAAGGTAATTATTTTGTATATGACTACTTAATGTTCAGACATTTCATTCATTTTAAAAGTGTAGGAGGTTTTTCCCACCTTGTCAAGCCTTTACAGCTGAATACAGTCCATGACTGACAAACAATGTTCAGAATCATGGCCTCACACCCACCTGGGATTTTAACATTTGGTAAAATGTTATCGTGTCTTTTCATTTCAATTTTTATGCATATTTGTATATTACCTATTTCATTTTTTCTATGAATATTTTTGCATATATTTATATACGTGTATGAATATAATACAATACTCTAGAAAATAAAAATTATGTAAAGTTAAAGAAGGAAAAGTTAAATGCAAACAAGAGGCCACGGTAGTTTGAATGCAGGTATGTAAACCACAGGATGTTACACAGTTATTAAAAATTGACTTACAAGTTTTATTCTCCAATTTTCTAGAAACCAAAGTAAAAAGGGCAATAAATCTGTTATACAATTTACGTATGAAAATTGTATAATAGTTGTATAGGGGAGCTCAATTTTTTTTTCTTTTTTTTTTTGTTGTTTTTTTTTTGTTTGTTTTTGGTGCTTTAGATTGGAGAGAAAGTCTTCATTGAAGGATTAATAGCTGCAGGACTGGATTTTGTAAACTTCTTTCCATAACAGCTAAGGGTAAAATAATAAAACCAAACTTAGTAAAAATAATTTTGCCAGGTTTTGAGATATTGTGGTCTAAGAACATGGCCTTGATCTACATATAAAATTTAGACTCCAAAGAAATGTCTTTTTTTAAAAATTATTTTTGATTCAGGGCGCATGTGCGCAGGTTTGTTACATGGGTATATTGTGTAATGGTGGGGTTTGGGCTTCTAGTATACCTGTCACTCAAATAGTAAACATTGTACCCAATAGGGAATTTTTCAATCCTCACCCTCTCCCACCCTCTCCATTTTTGAAATCCTGTGTTTACTATTTCCATTGTTATGCCCATGTGTACTCATAGCTCCCACTTGTAAGTGAGAATATGTGGTATTTGACTTTCTATTTTTGAGTTATTTCACTTAGGATATGTTCTCCAGCTCCATCCATGTTGCTGCAAAGAACATGATTTTATTTTTTTATGCCTGCGTAGGATTTCATGGTGTATATATACCACATTTTTTTTTTTTTACCCAATTAACCATTGATAGATACTTAGGCCTTGCTATTGTGAATAATGCTATGATAAACATGAGTGATGGTGTCTTTGTGATACAATGATTTCTTTTCCTCTGGATAGATACATAGTAGTGAGATTGCTGGGTTGAATGCGGTAGATCCATTTTTAGGTCTTTGAGAAATCTCCATATTGCTTCTCATAGCGGTTACATTTCTAGCAACAGTGTATTAGTGTTCCCTTTTCTCTGCATTCAAACTGCCATCTGTTTTTTTGACTTTTTAATAATAGCTATTCTGACTGGTACAAGATGATGTATCATTGTGGTTTTCATTTACATTTCTTTGATAATTCCTAATGTTGAGCATTTTTTTATATACTTATTGGCCACTTGTATGTCTTCTTTTGAGAAATATCTGTTTATGTTTTTTGTCCACTTCTTAATGGGGTTTTTCTCCTTGTTGTATTGTTTGCATTCCTTGTAGATTCTGGATATCTGTCCTTTGTCGGAGGCATAATTTGCAAATATTTTCTCCTGTTCTGTAGGTTGTCTGTTTACTCTGTTAATTATTTCCTTTGCTGTGCAGAAACTTTTTAGTTTAATTCAGTCCTATTTAAGTCCATTTTAGTTTTTATTGCATTCGCTTTTGATGTCTCCATCATAAATTATTTGCCTAGTCCAATATCCAGAAGAGTTTTACCTAGTTTTTATTACTAGGATTTTTATAGTTTCAGGTTTCATATTTAAGTCCTTAATCCAGAATGTGTTAATTTTTGTATATGGTGAGAGTTAAGGATCCAGTTTTTTGGATATGGTCAGCTAGTTTCCCCAGCACCATTTATTGAACAGAATATCCTTTCCCCGTTGTTTATTTTTGTCAACTTTGTCAAAAATCAGTTGGTTGTAGGTATGTGGCTTTATTTCTGGGTTTTATATTCTCTTGCACTAATGTATATGTGTATTTTTTTGTCGGTACTGTGCTATTTTAGTTACTATAGCTTTGTAGTATAATTTGGAGTCAAGTAATGTGATGCCTCCAGATTTGTTCTTTTTGCTTAGGATTGCTTTCACTATTTGGGCTCTTGTTTGGTTTCATATGAACTTTAAGATTGCTGTTCTAATTCTGTGAAAAATGACGTTGCTAATTTCATAAGAACTGTGTTGAATCTGTAGATTTCTTTGGGCGGTATGGTATGGTGATTCTTCCAATCCACGAGCATGGTTTGTTTTTCCATTTGTTTGTGTCACCTCTAATTTATTTCATGAATGTTTTGTAGTTCTCCTTGTAAAGATTTTCACCTCCTTTGTAAAATGTATTCCTAGATATTTTGTTTTTTTGTGGCTATTGTACATGGGATTGAATTCTTGATTTCATTCTCAGCCTGAATGTTATTGGTGTATAGAAATTCTACTTATTTTTGCACACTGAATTTGTATCCCAAAACTTTATTGAAGTCGTTCATCAAGTCTAGGATTATTATTTTGGAGTAGTCGTTAGAGTTTTCTAGATATACAATTATGTCATCAGTGAACAAAGATAGTATGGCTTCCTGTTTTCCAATTTGGAGGCCTTTTATTTCTTTCTCTTGCTTGATTGCTCTTGCTAGGCCTTCCAGTAAGAGTGTTCAATAGGAGAGGTGAGGGTAAACATCCTACTTTTCTTCCATTTCTTAGGGGGAATGCTTTAAACTTTTCTCCATTCAATATCATATTGACTGTGGGTTTGTCATATATGGCTCTTATTATTTTGATATATGTTCCTTTGATGCCTACTTTGTTGAGGGTTTTTATCATGAAGGGATACTGAATTTTATCAAATGCTTTTCCTGCATCTGTTGAGATAATCATATGGCTAACAGGGTTGGGAGAAAAATACTGAAGAAAAAATCTTTAAGTTTAATAAAAAGGTAGAATATTTTTACTTACAAGACTTATAAAGGCTAAATTATTTAATTTAAACTTATTTTATTTTCCAAAAAATCAGTAAACTAAAGCTTTTAAAAACAGATAACTTTGGCCAGATGCAGTGCCTCATGCCTGTAATCCTAGCACTTTGGGAGGCCAAGGCAGGCGGATCACCTGAGGAGTTCAAGATCAGCCTGGCCAATTTGGTGAAATCCCATCTCTACTCAAAATACAAAAAATTAGCCGGGTATGGTGGCGAGTGCCTATAATCCCAGCTACTGGGGAGGCTGAGGCAGGAGAATCACTTGAACCCGGGAGGCGGAGAGTTGCAGCGAGCTGAGATCGTGTCATTGCACTCCAGCCTGGACAACAAGAACAAAACGCCGCCAAACAAAACAAAACAAACAAACAAACAAACAGAAAAACAGATAGCTTTTGTTATCTTTGCACATTGTACTTTATAAAGTGTCTTTATAAAGTATCTTTTATACTTTATGAAATAGATAACTTTGGTTAATTATTTTAAAAAACTTTAGCTTAGTGACATTTTTCAAAAATAAATCAAGTTTAAATTAAATAATTTAGCCTTTACAACTGAAATACTTCCTTTTTAAATAAAACTTATAGTTAGCTTTTCATTTTTCTTCCAACCTTGTTGTATTTACGTGTCTGTTGTTGACATTTTGGATATTGGTTTGAACATTTCTAAAGAGCCACTTTTGCTAAGAATCATGAACTCAATGTAGTTACTTTCAACAAATATTTGTTGAATATTTACTATCTCTTTTGCATTTATAAAAAGTATTTAGTCCTTTACATAGTTGGGGTTTTTGTTTTATTTGTTTGTTTTTGAGACGGAGTCTCCCTCTGTCACCCAGGCTGCAGTGCAGTGGCGCGATCTTGGCTCACTGCAAGCTCCGCCTCCCGGGTTCACGCCATTCTCCTGCCTCAGCCTCCCGAGTGACTGGTCCTACAGGCGCCCGCCACCACGCCCGGCTAATTTTTTTTATGTTTTTTAGTAGAGATGAGGTTTCACCGTGTTAGCCAGGATGGTCTGGATCTCCTGACCTCGTGATCTGCCCGCCTCTGTCTCCCAAAGTGCTGGGATTACAGGCATGAGCCACCGCGCCCAGCCGTCCTTTACATAGTTAATATGCGAAATTTAACATCGTCTTACTTGAATGCTACAGAAAGATGAGCTTATAAAAAGCAGTGCTAAATTAGGCCACAGGAAAATGCTTCCAGTTAAGGGATATGTATGACATTTCCAAGGGATAATAAAGAGTAAAGATATCTTCTGAATCCTCCCTCAACATAACATCAATATCTTCTTTGAGCTTTGAAAATAATTAAATATAGAGAAGGAAATATATAAAACCTGTGTAAATATGTGATTTTATATAAATGAGACGCTCTTCCTAGAGGATAAGAAATATTGGGAGAGATTTTGCCAGGAAGTTCTTTCTTACTGGAAGTATGCCTATTTGCAGAATTAAAGAACACGATCAGAACTGGAAAGCAAATACTAATAGTATGATTCCCACAGTGAGAAAAGAAAAAAAAAGTTCTTACCTATGTAGAAGTCAAAATAAAAGATTTGTGATGACTATTTTATGAAGAAAACATAGCTTAAAGAATAGGCAACCTTTTCTAACTGACATCTGAGTATTATATAATATAGGTATTTTCTGTCAACATGCACACGTTCAGATTAACATGTTAATTAACATGTCAATATATGCTATTGGGGATAATTAAAAATTTTTAATGTGCTATAAGAAACTATTGCTCATAGGAAGGTGATGTAGTCAGCCTAGTTCTGCTTAGATCTATTTTTACTGAGTTTGAATTTTTATTCCTTTGAATTCTCTTATTTAAGATCTATTGGGAAGCCCTTACTCTCCGTTTCATCTTACACTTTATACATCATTCTTGTGACCTTTACTCTGTTCAAATAAATGTTAGCCATTGTAGAATTCCAAAGGGTATTTGGCATGGTAAATTTGATGTCTTTAGTGTAAGTAATGTTATGGAAAAAATCCTGTTAACTATTTTACATATGCTATTTCATTTAGTCCTCAGCACAATCCTACAACATAGATACATTGTTATTCCCATTTTAAAGACAAGAAAAATGTTACTTACAACGTTAGGTAAATTACTCAAAGCTACTATCTGGGAACTGGTAGAACTACAGTTAAAACAAGGTTATGATTCCAGTCATGGCATTCGCAAAAGCTTGAGTCTTATTCTCATTAATGACATTTTTCTCTTTCTATTCTAATCTATTGGAAGAGATTATTCAAATCAATTTTTTTATCTTTAAAATTCTAGAATTCTTAGTTTAAATTATTAATTAAACCTACTTATTTTTAAAACAGTTTTTTTGATTATTTATTTGCCTGATTAGATTGTGAACTCTAAATTAAGGTACCATGTACATGGCCTCTTGCATTTGTTACAGAAATAATTGTAGTATCTTTTATGTAGTGGATATAGTAGAGAAATACTGAGCTTTCAAAATAAACCCAACAGCTGCTGGATTCTTGCTCTACCATTTATTCCTGTGTGACCTTGGGCAAGGTATTTGACCTCTCTCAGCCAGTTTTCTCATCTATAAAATTTTGACAATAATACTTTATATGTTGATTATATAGATATCTTCATCTTTACCTTCTTTCTTGAAAGTATTAAAAAAGTATCTTTGGCATTTATCTTATGGATAAGTCAATTTTTTTTTTTTTTTTAATTTTAGATTCTGTTTTTTCAGGGAGTAAAATGTTTGAACACAATCCTTTTGGTCTGTTCTAGGTTGCTGCTGAAAACAGTGCTGGCATTGGAGTGTTTAGTGATCCATTTCTCTTCCAAACTGCAGAAAGTGGTAATTTTCCTGTCATTTATTTTAAATTGATTTAGTCATGAGTTTGTCATTTAAAATAATAAAGAATATAAATAAAAACTGACAGTAAAATACATACAATTCTCAGTAGCATGGCCACTCAGTTTTAGAGTTCTTTCAGATAGCTAATTTATTCATTAAAATATGTATTATTCTTTCTGATTATACGAGTAGTAATTGTTATCTTACAAAACTTTGAAAAAACAAGAATAAAAAATGAAAATTATCCACAGACTTATCATATAAAAAACTCTTTTATCATTTTGGTGCATTTCTGGCTTGTCTATTTCCCCCATTAAGATATATTATATGACTATACATTAATGAAAAGTTTGTGCTATGTATGCAAGTTTATATTCTGACTTTTCTTTTTAACATTAAGTCATAAGCAGGTTATAAGACTTTTGGAAACATGGATTTTAATAGTTATTATATTATTCTGTAACATGCAGCCATTACCAAACCAATTTAAGATACCTCCATTCTTTGGGAGGCTGAGGTGGGTAGATCACGAGGTCAGAAGATCAAGACCATCCTGGCTAACATGGTGAAACCCCCTCTCTACTAAAAATACAAAAATTAGCTGGGCGTGGTGGTGTGCACTTGTAGTCCCAGCTACTCGGGAGGCTGAGGCAGGAGAATGGCGTGAACCTGGGGGCGGAGCTTGCAGTGAGCCAAGATCGTGCCACAGCGCCACTGCACTCCAGCCTGGGTGACACAGTAAGACTCTCCCCCCTCCCTCCCCGCCACACACAAAAAAATTCCTCCATTCTTCCAGGGGCATAGAGGAAAAATCCTGATGTCACCTGTGGCTCTTTTCTCTCACAGTACACATATAATCTATCAGTAAATCTTACCAGCACAATCTTCAAAGTGTATTCTGACTCTCACCCTCATTGCTAACATCCTGTCCAACATTATTCCCAATAATTGTTGAATTGTATTTTATTTTTATTGGAATGCAACTGTTCTAAAGTCCCTTAATTCCTACCTTAGAAGTCTATATTCCTATAGACCTCCTTCCAAAGATCTAACTTTCTTATGTAATTTATGTGGCTATTATTTATAAATTATATTCTAGCATTCTTTTGTACAATGTAAACCCAAACTTCAGTTATTTGGCATCTTAATACTAGGCATCTTTATTATCACTTTTTTAAAAATCTCAGACATTTTGTTTCATTTTGATTTCTTTCAAAAGTGACTTGTCGTGTTTGTTTTATATTCTGAAGGATCTTGGTTTTTTACTCTCTCAGTTTTACATACTTTACCATGAGGTTAATGGAAATAATTTCTCTTAATTCTAGCTTCATATTGGCTTCATGCCAACTCAAATAGAACTCAGATTATTATTATTACTCTATATAATTAATAATTGATAGAAAAGCATAATGAAATTCTGAAGAAAGCTGATTTTGAAAATTTAAAATACAATAATCACAACCAATTGGAGGGTATCCACTTGATATTAGGCACTAGACATTTATAAACATTCCAGAAATGTGCTTTTTGGTGAAAATGGTTGGATAATTGATTCAGTTTGCTACTTTTTTCATATCTAATGACACTACATTATTCCAAAATAGTTAAAGAAATAAGAAATTTATCCCAACTTATTTGTATGTTCATAACTATTGATTGAATTTTTTCATATTTATTGAAACATTTCATCAATGCATGTATTAGCCCAGTTATCCTAAGGTAAAGTTGATTTGCCCCAACTCCAGTTTTTTTATTTTAGGCAAAGTTCAGTTAAATACATTTATAAAAATCTTACACAAATAGATTTTATGCAATGTATTATATATTTAATTTCATGTACCATGAAATTATATAAATGTAATTCTAAGTTTTATAACAAGGTGTTTTCCTTCCCAATCTTTTTCTTCCCCAGCTCCAGGAAAAGTGGTGAATCTCACAGTTGAGGCCTACAACTCTTCAGCAGTTAACCTGATTTGGTATTTACCTCGGCAACCAAATGGCAAAATTACCAGCTTCAAGATTAGTGTCAAGCATGCCAGAAGTGGGATAGTAGTGAAAGATGTCTCAATCAGAGTAGAGGATATTTTGACTGGAAAATTGCCAGAATGCAATGTAAGTACCACAGAACACTTTCTATGTCTCGAAAAATCTTAGATAAGCTTATATTTTCACATTTCTAGCATCTAGATATTACATTTTTACCAAAGTTTTACTAGTTATTTGATTAGTTATGGTATCATGTTATACACAAAGTTTTGTTAGTTATTTGATTACTTAGAATATCATGTTACACAATTGGCCTTATTCAGGCAGAATACAGGAATGGTTTGAGAACTCAAGAGTGAGAGATTAAAATCATTTAGGGAATTGTGAAAAGACTTCATGAAAGAAGTAACATTTGTGATACACCATGGAGCAAGGACAGATAGAGATTGTGTGATGGTGGCATTCCCAGTAGAGGATACTTTATAAAGCCCCGAGGTGGAAAAGTATGAGATATAATTGGAGAAAATATTTTACTTCCATGTGACAGGAGGGAAGAGTACATGTAGGGTAATCGTCGAAGTTAAATTTGCAGAGGTAGATTGTCATTGTTGTGCATATCTTGAGTAAATAATTTGTTGTTACTCTGGTCATTGATGATAAACCTCATAATAGTAATGCTTTATTATAGAATAAGCATCGTAATTTTTAATTATAAGATAAGCATAATAATGCTTTTCCTAAAATCATTTTAGTAATCTTTGTGTTATTATTAATGAAAACACAGTCAAACAGTTATTTTTGTTGTAAATACTTTAAAAAGTCTAAAAATCTTCCTTTTCAAATTATGATATATTTCTAATACATGCACACACCTAACATATGAGCTAGTGGCATACTAGTACTTTTTGGGACTTACGAGAAAAAAAAGATCATTAACAGTAAGAAGGTGGCATTTGAACATACACAAGAGTAAAATTATTTCAGCTCTTTGGCTCTTACACTGTTAACGTGAAGCTTAAAAATTCTTACAAATGATTTTGCTGTAGTTTTACCTTTATTTTAAGCCACTTGAAATTCTATTCATAAAGGTTAAGGTGTAAGGAATACAATAAATATGTTCTCTTCTAAAACTGCAGACATAAATGGGTACAATTAAAATCTAGCAAATTTGTCCATAACTTGCATGTTATGTGTGTATGTATAGCATAAAAGAAAAAGAAATGAATTACATGTTCTTATTCTCATGTCCACCAAGAGATACAGCATTATTTCTCTATTGATATTATTTTATTTACTAGGAGAATAGTGAATCTTTTTTATGGAGTACAGCCAGCCCTTCTCCAACCCTTGGTAGAGTTACACCTCCATCGCGTACCACATATTCATCAAGCACGTTGACACAGAATAAGATCAGCTCTGTGTGGAAAGAGCCTATCAGTTTTATAGTGACACACTTGAGACCTTATACAACATATCTTTTTGAAGTTTCGGCTGTTACAACTGAAGCAGGTTATATTGATAGTACGATTGTCAGAACACCAGAATCAGGTATGGTTCACTTTTTGTAGATAAAAAGATTTAAATGATTTAGAGAATAATGTTTTATTTATATACATATTTCTTTTTAATTTTTACCTTTCAGTAACTTTTTCCCCTAATAATATACCACAGGCATCCCATCAGGGGTTTCTTCGAATTTCTATACCCTTTTATATTATAGCACAAAATAAGTATTTAAAAGGAAAAAGAAGATTTGCAAGAAACAATTCTTGAGCTGCTGACCCTGATCTTCATATAAGCTTTTGTCATTTTATAATCTCAGCATTTTTTTTGTAATCACCTTTGCCATTCTAAATGATTTATAATCATCTACACCTTCTCTCACTGTTATTGCCATTACCAAAAGCAAAAATACCTGCACTAGCAGAATGAGTATGTGATTCACATTTTGGTATCAGATACGAGCAGTAGCTAAAATATATACCCACTTAAATCCCATTTGCACTGCAGTTTCCTCATCTGAAAAATAGAGACAGTAATAGTACCTTCCTTAGGGTGCCAGGGTTAAAATTAAATGAGAATAATTAGATATTATTATTACCACTAAATTTTATGAGAACGTATTTTCGGAATGGTATTCATACATTTAATTATAGTACTATATCAGTATTCATGTAAATATATGTATTTATATATTTCATATATTTATAAAATTTCATGGATATTGATATAGTCCCATAATACATGAGGTATTTATTATATGCATAATATATAGCTGACGTATTAGATATATCATAATGTAGTATCAGGCATAGGTTGTCATTGCCAATTTCTGAGGTTATTAAAAATTATTGGTAGAGTAATTTCACTAAAGCATTTTTTTCTAATAACATAGCTGTTGGCTTCTATTATTTTTCATTTCATATAAGTTTGAAGATTTTTTGTTGATTTAAATAACCATCTTTGAATTATACCATTTTCTTCTTTCATACTCTTTACTTTTTATACAATAAAAAATGATTTCATAAGGGTCATACAAGGTGAAATTTGGTAGATAATAATTTTGTTTTGAAAAATATTTGGAATTGTTTTATTTCAATTAAAAGAAAGAATAAACATCTATGAAAAATAGAGTAATTTAAAATGTCATTATTATTTTCATATGTTACCAATGTTACATTTGAATCCTCCAACTGTAGGGTATAAATTTCTTCTTAGAACAAATACAAATATTGATAGAAAAAGTAAAAATTATTGCTAATAATTTTTGAGGCTTATTTTCTTGAAACTTCTACCTGTGTTAATAAGAGAGAAAATGTTTATCAAGCCAGATATCCAGACTTTGTGGAACACAATATATATATGCAGGTATAAATGTTTCAAGATAATGTGGCACTGACAATAAATATATTACAATGAATATTAGAATGAAACTGGCACAGTGCAATAATATACAGTATTAAATAAAGTAGTAATTGTTAAAAATAAGTTTATCTGATGATCCAGCATGTGTTATTCACAATTTTCAATTATATTCCATTTTTTCTTTAAGTTAAAAAAACTCTTTGCTTTCAAGTGTGATATTTTATTTTCCTTCTTTGCCTTTGTGTTTTATTATGTGTATTTAATAGGGTGCACTTTAATTTTAAATATATATTATGTATTTATTTTCTATGATTATTTTAGTACCTGAAGGACCACCACAAAACTGCGTAACAGGCAACGTCACAGGAAAGTCCTTTTCAATTATATGGGACCCACCAACTATAGTAACAGGGAAATTTAGTTATAGAGTTGAATTATATGGACCATCAGGTAAGCCTTAATTGGTTTTGTGTTTGCCTTTTGGTGTGAGAATAATAAAATATGTTACCAATATCAAACTCTTTTTAAAAGTATCAGACTCTTTTTAAAAGACCCTGATGTTGAAGCAAACAATAGGAAAGTCATAAAGAAAGTAAGGTCCTTTGATTTTTTAATTCAAAACCGTAAATGAGTATAAGAATGACAAAACACTATTCATATTCCACATTTCATGTGATGCATGTGAAAAACTAGAGATAACTCCTCAAGAAAAAAGTGTTAGTGGAGATATACATCTTCAAATATTTGGACAAGAAGGCCTTGGCTTACATTCATGAAGAACAATGGACTTTGACTATATTAAATTAGATTTCTATTCACTGCTAGGAGCCTAGTTTTTAATCACTAGAAAGAGCTCTCTAAAAATAACATGGAAAATCTCTCTATCTTCTGCTCTATTTTCCTGTGGACCTAAAACTGCTTTAAAAAAGGAAGCCTATTAAAATTTTAGGCAGCTTTATAAAGTGGCAAGTTCTCCATCTTTGTAAGCAAGCAGGATCTGGGCATCCACTTGCCAGAGATATTTTGAGAGGTTCAAATATTATATCATTAGAAGTGAATTATGTAAAGTCTAAAATTCTCTCCTGATTGAGATCCTATGGTTCTATGAAAGAAGTTTAATTCTAACAGTGATGAAATAACATAAAGCCACATATTATCATTTATTTGGGGGCATTGAAAAAGATACAAAGTTCCAACTCATTTTATTTTGCAATTTCTATGGTATGAATCACTCATCACCATCATGAGTAACTTTTATCTTTCATCCCTAAGTAACTTATGCTCTTAAAATTCTGAAATACTTTTACTCTGTAAAAAAAGATAATTCCCTCCACCCACCCATCCAATACACAGAAACAGACATGGATACACAGCTCCATCTTTTCTATCTGATAATATTGTTCAATACTTGGCTGAAGTACTCTTTCATTTGTGAGACTGGCTGATAAATTAAGTGAGAGACATTTAGCAATAATTGCATTTAGCCTAATGGGAGTGATCACGTGCTTCCAGTATGGTGGAACATGTGGGGTAAATACCTAACTAATTAGTTTAAGAGCGAATGGAAGAAGATCACTGGAACAGTGGGTGTTAATGGAAATGAGGAAAATAAGGAAAATATTAATGATATAAGAAAAACGAGAATTACTGGAAAGGTATCTGTGTGAGTAGAAGGTGAGATCTTTTGCTCAAATGTAGCCATTGGTTTGAGATAAGAATACAGATAATTTGTCCATACTAATAGATGATTTGTCCATAATTTGTTCTTATAGGCTGTAAGGCAGAGTATATGGGTATAGATGCTGGTAAATATATAGTTGTGTTGGTGGGAGCCTGTGGCAAATGTTTTCTAATTGATTTACTTTTTTCAGTGTAGTGGGAAGCAAGACCATTAATTGGGAGTGAAGATAGGGCAGAAAGTATTAGAGGTCTGAGCAGAGAAGAGTAAGTGTAAAATAATCATCTAGAAGAGTAGAGTGATTGGACCATTGACTATGTAAGTTGAGTAAGATTCCAGGCACCATGTAGGGCTCATTTGAGGTTTGGCTACAAATAAAGTGATATCAATTAATGGTTTTGTGCTGTAAACCAGCTCCCTTCAACTAGAGAAGGGCAAGGGAATTGGAGGCCTGTGTAAGGCAGTGATTATAATTAAAATTGACACTGAAGCTGGGTAAAGAGTGGAAATCAAGTGGTGAGGGGCCAAATAAAAGAAAACAAAAATAAAATACGTGATTAAATCAATGGATTGTTGATTTCAGTGGATTCAAAGAATTATCAGTTTAGGATTACAGAGGAAATGTAAAGGACATAGGCAAAAGTGGTTAGAAAAAGTTGCGTGAAATTGAGATTCTTAATGATACAGAGTAATTGATGATAGTAGTGTCTAAGTTATGATCTTGAGGGAGTGGCTGAAATTCTGGAAAACTAGATTATTTAAGGAAATATCTAAGTAATTTAAGGATTATCTCTCAGGATAGTAAAATCAGCACAAATTAAGATGGTAGCCTTGAACCAAAGCTGGACCATGAAAGTAAATGAGAGTAAATGACCCTCAGGTTAGTAGATTATGACAACTGTGAGGGCTAGTGGATGTCACTGGTAATATAGTATTTAAAGCTGTGGGCTTTTATAAGGAGAGACAGAGGATAGTGAATAAAGTGGAGCAATGAGGAACAAGAACAACACTACACCTAAAGGCCTGGTTACTTGAGAGCTGTGGGGTGAAAACAGACTGCCACCATTTGGATTGGCTGCAGGGGAACAAAAGCAGTGTTCTTAGCAAAAAGCCAGTTTGTAGTTAGAGCAAGAAGGTAAAGGAATCATTTAAAGCAAAGTCGAAGATTCAAAGAATGGTGCTGACAGACTAAGGAATTTTGTTCAGAAGCTAAACTAGAAATATTTTATAAATATATGCTCTTATAAAAGATAATGAAATTATTTAGCATTTTAATTGAATAAATTTGAGTATAAAATCTGGTCACTTGGAATGGATAAAATTTGATGCTTCCCTTTTCAATATGTCAAAAATAACCTGGTAATTCAAAAGGGCTTTATGATTTAATAAAAGTAATTTTAGGCACTGGAACATTTTCATGTTCTTTCATTTATTTTCGTTAAATTGATATCCATGTACTACTAAGCCACATGTTTAAAATATATCCAGTTTTGATATTATAATAACAAATTTTAGTGCATAGGTTAACACTTGAATTGTTGTCCTTGGCTCTGTACTTTAATGTGAACATGATTGTATGCTTGATAAAAAATAATCCACAGCTGTCTTCCACTTTTTGCAGGTCGCATTTTGGATAACAGCACGAAAGACCTTAAGTTTGCATTCACTAACCTAACACCATTTACAATGTATGATGTCTATGTTGCGGCTGAAACCAATGCAGGGACTGGGCCCAAGTCAAATCTTTCAGTATTCACTCCACCAGATGGTAAGAACAGGGAATGAGTGATATATTTTTGGTATGCTTATGAACTTCATGAACTGGTAAAACATGATATTAGAAGCAATTTGTTTTATATTTACTTAAATCATATTTTTCCTTATTAAATTACTACCTAATTCATTCTGATGTGTGTTCTCCAGAACATTAAACTCATAGCATGCTTCATAATAAAAGGAACCCAAGATCAGGTAAGGTTAGGAAATACCATACATAGTATTGGCCAGTTAGAGATTCACAATAAAATTTAGCAAAACCTCAAGAAGTCATAAGGTAAACAAACACATTTAGTATGGTTTGACTACATTTTAAAATGTGGAATCTATTTTTTCTCACAGAGCTAGTGTTTAGAGGAATTCCTATATTCCCAATGCTTTCAACAAAATGTGTTTATAATCAAAACGGGATTCTAAGCAAGTGAAGATTCTGAGTGGATGCATGATACAGATTTACCAGTATTTACTGAAATTATGAAAAGAGTATTTTTCCTCAAGAAACTTTCTTATAAGTATTCATTAAACATCATTGTTTTAGGTGAACTATACTTTAAAAAAATTGTTTCCATACTATTTCACAACATACCTTTCTGGCCCACACTGAACTTGCTAAATGCCTTCATTTCTATTTAGGGATTGTAATTATGGAGAAAAATAACAGTAACTTCTTATAACACATTAACACTTGGAAAAGTTTCCAGACTTTGTGTGGAAGCTAACAGACAGTAACTTATAAATGAAATGTACACATGTACACACACACACACACTCACACAGGTCATACATTCATCATTCAAGCATTTGACCATTAGAGGGCAGTAACTATTAGGAAATGTTGTACTTCTCCCCTTTAAAGAAATAATCATTGATATTTTGTTGAAAGAACATAAAAGTTACGTTTTATCTATTTCAGATGAAAATTCTGACATATATATAGTTTTAGTATACATATAAGAAAGTTATACATACTCATAAGGAAAATGTTATTTTTTTGTATTAAAATTTTACCATTGTGTTTCTATCAGAAGAATCTTAGCATTGTGTAGCTTCTCCCTTAAATCTTAAGTTTTCCTTCATCTCCACCTAAAAGCTGCTCTTAAGCATTTCCTAGGAAGCTAGACAGATTTACAGATACTATCAAATAAAGCAGAGCCCTCGATTTTGGTCTTAATAGAGTTTTCTCAACCAACTCAATATACCCACTGATTTCTATTCTTGTTATACAATGAAGTAAATCCTGAACTACTGTCTTCTTTCAAGACCAGCTGATTTTGGTGCTTCCAAACAGAATCCACAACTCAATAAACGTATTTTTTTATTGTCATCATTCTTGGACTACAGCATTTGATAAAAATGGGGAAATAGATAGTGCATATGCCGTGTACAATGCCATGTTATTTGTCTTGGATTATTTTAAAATTTACTTGCCTTAATTTCTACATTTTTTATCCAGAAAAGAAGTAGAATCTTAAGGTCATCATTAAGTATATTTCACAAGGCCTATTTTTCACACCAAATCATTTTAAGTTGATGACTCCGTTTGCCTGTATAAAAAGCAATTTGTCCTGTGTTTCATTCTGTTATCTTCCTGAGTCACTCCTCCTGTAGACCACACACTGGTGGGTCTTAGAGGGGCCTCCTGGCAACTGGTGGGTTCCACCAAAGGCAGGGTTGGCATGGTTCTTATATCCTCATGCCAGCCTTCATCCATAGAGTTCTCTGGGGATAGTTCAGCCTCGGGAGCTGCTTCAATGGAATACTCTGTCAAATGCAGTAAATGTAGCTTTCTACTTCTGACACCACTAATTAATCCTGGTTCCAGTATTTAAAACTTTGAAATACATGGATCTTTAAACTATATGAGAACAATGTGATAACTTGTTAGAACTATCTACTTTCAATTTAAAAATGATTTCTTAATTTTATATTATCCTTTTCATTAATACAACAGGGTTTTTAGTATTCTAATTAAAGTTACTTAATTTATTTTCTTCTCCATATTTAAACCAGTCTATAATCTATTTAAAAAATAATTAGGACTAGCTTGCTTCTTTTAAATTATCTTTTAAAACAATTGGTGCTCTTATAAATACTCATAGAAAAATGTTGCATTGACCTCTTATAGAGAATGTTATGTGCTATTACATTACAGTGGAGTTAATTTCATTACCCCTGGGGATGTTATGGTCCATAGTCTACTTTGAAAGAAAATCAGCATCCTATTATTTTAGTAGTTCTCTTATATATTTCCTAAGCCTTCTATATGTCTCTTAATATTTTGATGAGTAGATTTCTACATAGGCATGAAAATAAATGATTTTGGAAAACAAGATAATAATCTCCAAAGCTATAAAATGTCATAGAGTTGCCTATTCCAAAATCAGATAATGCTGACAAATGTAACATAGGCAACAACATTCTTCTAACTTGTGTGAGGGGTAAAAAAAATAAGCAAACTGTGATGCTTCAATATTGTCTAATAACTTTTCTGTCAGGGTAGTTTAGCATGACCATTTCTTAAAAGCAGACAAATTTCTGAGATTCTTGTTTACTCCCTCTTAAATAGACTATGGCAGTGTAGACGTTTGTCCTCAGTGACTTAAACTTGTTACTTTCTGCAAAGAGTAGTAAAATCTTTGTAGGAAAATAACTGAGAGCCTGCCAACTTTGTGTTTTCAGGATTTGCAGTGGCTTTAATTTTACTACTTGCTTTTCAAAATACACTTGTAAAGAAAGTTGAATTTGCTAGATAATGGCAAAAATGATCTTAATGTATTTTCTTTTACCTCAATGCTATTTGTCTCTGTTTCATTTCTTCTCATAGTTTTTCATTTGAATACCTCAAATCATTTGGAATATATTTTAATAAATCATATATTACTGTGTTTCTAATGTATTAGTAAAATTTATAAATATATTAACTCAAGAATGATTCTTAGGTAGTCCATGTATATAACACCTTCAAAATTAAAATTATTTTGCCCTTATCTAGAAAATTCATCATTGAGCAGCATTAATTTTGAAGTTGGAAACAAATGGTATTGGGGTAAAGAAAATATAAGATTTTTTGGTCAGATGTCTAACTTATTTCTCATTTGATTGTAAAATTTGTAAATATATTGACTTGAGAATGGCTTGTAGGTATTTCCTGTGGATAACACCTTCAAAATTGATGCTGAACCATGAATAATTGCCTTGCGTGTTTGATTATCTTTAGTTAATTTTGTATCAATATTAAAGTCTTCTCTAGTTTCCTCATAAGAATTTGTGGTCTAACAGATCAAGTGTCTTTTTAAAGACAGGATACTATGCTATCTACTCCATTTCCTTTATCCCCTAAGCTTAAATAGGAAAACAAAGATAAGTTTATAGTCATTCTTTTTATGCAAGTTTGAGGTATATTTTAAGGTAATATAGAACCACTTAATCTTTACTTGGATTGTAATTTTTGCCATTAAGTATCATGGGGCAATACTTACTAAGAAAGTAAGTATTTAATATATGGAATATATAGAAATATATATTCTAATTAAAAGATAAATAGTGTCTGCTACTACTCTTGGGTTTCACTAGCAAAATAAGAGACAGTAAAATATATATATTTTTCTGCTGTCCTGCATAATATTTGATATCTAACACATTAGTGTGTTGCATTGACTTGAACTGATCATTTCACTTATTTTTCAATAGGCAGGGTTTAGTTGCCTGATTAATATGATCAATGTAGTCATTAGCTGGTTTTTTTTTTTTCAGTGGAGATTCTACATCAGTTCAAAATAAATGGAAAAAATGCCAGATCTCTTCTGTGACTTAAGTTATGCAATACTGGCTATTGTTTTGTCTGCATAAAAACTGTAAAATAAAATTTTAAAGAAAGATGGAATGAGAGCTTTGCTGTTTAAATAGCCATGTTGTTTTACACCACCCAATTATTTGAAAAGTTTCTCCACCCTTGAAAAATGCCTATTAGTAAATTGCATGTTGGTAAATAAGATGATATAAACATGAGCTCTAGGTACAATATATTTTAGTGACATAAAACTCATACTAGAGGTGACTTGTGCAAAGGGCTTTATCTGTCTTATTCCTTCCTCTGTCCTCAAGTGCCTAGAACAGTGATCATATGATCAATGCTCAGTGTGTTGAATGACAAATGAATGGCCCAGTGATTGTCACGATATCTAGGGAGTCTTTACTGGTTACTTCATGAAGACAAAGGAAAAAACTCAATCTAAGGGGTGAAAACTTTGTATAGTTATAGTTACTATAAAGCCAACTTAAGCATAATTATATTTCCTTATTATAAATAACATATATGGGAGTTGTAAAATTATTTTTCAATTCCTTTCTGTTGTCTTAAAAAGAAAGGCGGTCATTTTTCCTTTGTTCCCTTTTAAGACTATATGCCTGTCTTCTAACTAGAATTTGCTAAACCTGTACCACTGCCAGATAGCTTGGGGAAATTAATTTAAAGTGTAACAACAATCTGATCATAAGGGATCATAATTTTATGTCATTTTCTCTTTCTTAAAAGTTTTAGAAATTTGAGAAATTTTCTTTAACTCTGTTCCTTATAGTAACCTGTATAGTAATAGGAAAGCTATAATGACACCCATTTTATAGATAAGGAAAGTAGAGGTTGGAGGGATGAATGAACTATTCATAACCACAACTTGAACTGTAAATAAAAATGGTCAAAAGCCAGGGGATGTTTATTTTTTGCCCATTACTCCTGTGAAACTGGGAAGTTCCCTAGATGTCACTCTTGGTGACTTTACAACTAGAATTTGCTTTAAGTTTTTTTTTATTGCATTTTATTTTAAACCAATTATTGGTTTGTTCCTATTTTTCTTTACTATTGTAATGAATAAGGGCCCCTGAAATTTGAAAATAACGTGATTATTTTTAAAATATCAGAAAAAATCAATCAACTCTTAAAACAATTTCATGTAATAAATTAAAACGCAATCTAATTTAACTTACCAACTATATTTCATTGCATTCAGAGTCTTCTGAATATTATTTTTCAATCTGTTGTTATAATTTTTATGAAACCATCAAGATTTCAACTGGGCATTAATCATCTCCAAATAGGCATATTCTCAAGAAAATTATTTTCATTCATTAATTTGTTTCAGACAAATGTTATGACTTTTATTTTGGAAAATTATTCTGTTATTCTGCTCCTTACTTACATTTCAAGAACAATGTTTAGAAATTTAGTTTTAAATATCCATGTATTTAAAGACATTTAATTAAAAAAAATTTATTATACTTTAAGTTCTGGGGTACATGTGCAGAACGTGTAGGTTTCTTACATAGGTATACATGTGCCATGGTGGTTTGCTGCACCTATCAACCCGTCATCTACATTAGGTATTTCTCCTAATGCTATCCCTCCCCTACCCCCCACCCACCAACAGGCCCCAGTGTGTGATGATCCCCTCCCTGTGTCCATGTGTTCTCATTGTTCATCTCCCTCTTATGAGTGAGAACATGTGGTGTTTGGTTTTTTTGTTCTTGTGTTAGTTTGCTGAGAATGATGATTTCCACCTTCATCCATGTCCCTGCAAAGGATGTGAACTCATCCTTTTTTAAAGACATATTTAATTTTTAACAAAATAAATTGTTTTTGTCTATTTATTTATTTATTTATTTATTTATTTATTTTGACGGAGTCTTGCTCTTTCTCCCAGGCTGGAGTGCAGTGGTGTCATCTCCACTCACTGCAACCTCTGCCTCTTGGGTTCAAGCAATTCTCCTGCCTCAGCCTCCAGAGTAGCTGGGAATACAGGCACGCACCACCATGCCCGGCTAATTTTTGTATTTTTTAGTAGAGATGAGGTTTCACCATGTTGGTCAGGCTGGTCTTGAACTCCTGATCTCAGGTGATTGGCCTCCCTTGGCCTCCCAAAGTGCCGGGATTACAGGCGTGAGCCACTGCACCCAACCTCGTCTATTTTCTAATAAAATTGTTTATATATCTTAAATTGTGAGCTAAGAATGTAGGCACTTTTTTCACTTGAAAAAATATTTTTAAATTCCCCCTTTTTTCTTTTCTTTCTTTCTTTCTTAGTTCCAGGGGCAGTGTTTGATTTACAACTTGCAGAGGTAGAAGCCACGCAAGTAAGAATTACTTGGAAGAAACCACGACAACCAAATGGAATTATTAACCAATACCGAGTGAAAGTGCTAGTTCCAGAGACAGGAATAATTTTGGAAAATACTTTGCTCAGAGGAAATAATGAGGTATTGCATTTTTATTTCACTTATTGGCAAGCCCTTTCTACTTGGTTCTGGCTCTGATACCTTTGAAGATTTGCTAGCACCCACATATAAAATATGTAACAACTTACTAGTACAAAGTAAAGTAAATTTGGGGCATGTTGATAATCTAGTTAGATCATATTTCATTTTAGGTCATATATTATCAGTTAAGTGCTATTATTCATTTTCATCGTATGAAAAATGTTAATTGTGCAATTAAACAGGACTAAAGGTATTTTCATAAGTTAATATTATTATTCTAAATTAGTTAATGAATTGTTTGGAAACTCCTGTTATGATTTAAGTACTCCTTTAAAGGCTGTGCTTGCAATTTGGAACAGTTGCCATGAAGGGCACAGTAATTTTAGTAGCTGTTGTTGACAAATGATTCTGTTCTCTTTGGTCTTGGGAAGCTAAATTTCTCAGAGTTGCCTCTTTTTTTTTAAGAAATCACATTACTAAATAAAATAAATTTAAGTCATTTCCTAGATTTTAAATAAGAGGACCAGGATCTTTAGGCAATATGTTTGCTTCTATTCACACTGGAAGTCTTATTTTTTTCCTTTTGTTTCTGTTAGGAAGTACAGGCAACACTGATTTCTCTTTTCACTGTCTTTGTTCACCTCACCTCACCAACTGTTCACCTGTGAGACCCTTTCAGCCTCCAGGCTAGTCATGTCCAGATACTGGCTGCTCCCTGGGGCACTCAAAGAATAAACATTCTTAGGACCAGTGCAGCAATCACTGGGCCTTAAAGACAAACATGATAGTTATTCAGCCCCTGGCATCTGCTGTTTTGTTTCAGAGTTGCTGCTGCTTCTACCTGTGCTGTTATTTTTCCCCACACGTGCCTTCATTCTATTTCTAGTCCCAGCCTTCCTCTATTTCTGGCACTTACCTGTACGTGACAGTTGACCTTACCATGTGCTCAATGCATTCTGGCCACCCAGGACTTACCACTCCAAGTTGCTCACCACCTTCAACCCAGGGTTAAATTTTAATCCTATGTTGATTCCTTTCCTCTGTGCAAAAGATGTTGAATTATGCTTTCTGTGATACTCTAGTTGACAACTCAGGCAAAGGGCAAAAGCTTAACCCTTTGCTCCTGCTGAGAAGGTCTTAAATTAGATACTGAGCTTTCTTAGTACTAGATGACAGGTTTCCCACTTCTGCTAATGACATCTATTGAATGGGCGGCCACACCTGTTTTTCTATTAGGCTAAGAGGTTCTAGAAAGGCTTTTTTTGTGTGTGTTTCTGTCTCTATTTGGTCTGCAATTCTCGTCTCATAGTAGAGAGCACATGAGCTTTGGAGACATACAAATTTGGATTTGAATTATGATTTTGTCTCTCACTGGGCTATATAGCAAGTGGTTAAGAGTGTAAACCAGGTTTAAACTCTAGTTCTGCCATTACTAACTGTTTAACCCCAGGAAAGTTGGCCTGAGCTCTCTGAACATCAGTTTCTTCTTCTATAAGATAGTGATTATAAGTCCCTATAACAAAGGGTTAATAATGAGGATTTAATGGGTTCATGTGTGTAAAGAGCTTAGAACTGTACCTGGCATATAGTAAGTGCTGTGCTAAATAATTGTGACCTATTGTGATCATTAATCTTGGCATAGGATCATCCACTTTAGTAGCTTCCCAATATTACTTCCCTTATCCTCTCTTAATGAAAAGAGATATTATACTTCTCTTTATTTCTCTGATTATATCTTTCTTTACTAGATCAGACTCATTTCTGATATTTCTACTTCCCCGTGTAACTGGTGTTTGGGTTTACCTTTCAGGAAATTGATGTGGGGAGACAGATATGACAGAAGCTTTAAATCCAAATGGCCCTGGGTTCTTGGCCTTGCTCTGCCATGTTCTACGCCTATGTCCTTGGACAAATCAACTTTTGGAGACTTGATGCCTTCATTTTTATAATAGGGCTTATATAGCCACCTTACAGGGTTGGGAGTAAATGACATAAGAAATACAACTTTTGGCTTAGTGTGTTCTTCATTTGTTATTCCTTTCTTTGACCTTGGTACCTTTCTCAGGATAGGGACTCTCTCTTCTCATTTCTATTATCTTCTGAAAAAGTAGCCTCATTCTGCAACTCAAGAACTCTTTAAATCCTTGAAGTCTTATTAGAAGTCACCAGTGACCTCCCCAGTGTTCAATACAAGGATTAAATATTTTTAACCACCCTTGTGTTCTTATCTCCTTCAAAATCCATCCCTCTGTCCCCCCACTTTTCAGCTTTTGGCACTATTTGTTCCTTAATATTTTCTGCACTTTTGTATACTGTGACATTGTAATCCTTTGGCTTTGCACAATTAAAAATGAAGATAGTTCAAAAAGTTAACTCTTTTCTAACATTTTAGTAAAGATGTTCCACAGAGCTTTGGTTTCAGCCATCTCATAACATTTTCTTTTGATGACCTAACAGTTTCAATCACTGCTTCCTATTTGTCTGACTCTTATGCCTTGCTTTCTACTCTGATCCTTCTCTCTGACACTCTGGATTCCTAATTGCAGTCATTCGTGGGAAGGTTCTGCCAGGCTCATTACATCTAAATTATTTTCTCCCCATAAAATGAAACAGGAATCTTATTTGAGATAATAGGGCCTGGTTCATGATGGGAAGGAAGATGTGACATGGGAATGAGGACAGAGATATTGGGACAGAGACAGTGACCTGTGCAGGTTCCCACAGGACACCCATAAGGTCTGTCCAGGCAATTACTAGTTTCAGTGTGTCAAGAATAAGGCCTAAAGAGAGGCTGACTTGTAGCCTTGGTACCTGGGTTTAGAATTTTCTAATCCCTCTGACTGTACGTAACACAGATCTCAGACCTGAAGATCATTGTCTAAGAAACCATGGTACAGAAGACTTTGAGAGTGAGCATTTATGGCATTTATATACGTCTGATATTTGTCTTTTTGGATAATGGAACCGTTATTCTCTCTGTCATGAAGGCTTGAAACCTTGGAGTCACTTCTGACTTAGATCCTACTTAGCATTCAATAGCCACTTAATGTTAAGATCAGTTATTTCTACGTCCAGAATGTGACCTGCATATGTCTTTATTTTATTTCTGTATCTCCCACTTCAGCTCAGGATTGCATAGTCCCTCGCCTGGACTACTGTTATCTCACTATATTAGTTTTCCATTTTTCCATAACAATTTTCCACAAACTTAGCAGCTTAAAACAATTTGTACTTATAATCGCACAGTTTCTTTGGGTCAGATATCTCGGTACAGCTTAGATTGGTTCTCCTCTTAGAGTCTCATAGGGCTGCAAGTAAGAAACTAGCTGAGCTGTGTTCTCATCTGGAGGCTTGACTAGGGAAGAATCCACTTGCAGCCTTATTCAGGTTTTGGCAGATTTTATTTCCTTTTGGCTTTAGAACTAAGGGCCCTGGATTCTGCTGGCTCTTGGCTGGCGACTCCTCTTAGTGCCTTACAGTTTTTTTTTTTTTTTTTTCCATGTGGCCTTTTTCAACATGGCCATTTACTTCATCAAGCCAGTAAGAAGGGTCTATATAATGTGATCATGGGAGAGACATGTTATGCCCTTTGCCTTGTACTATTGGTTAGATACAAATCATAGGTCCCAACTCACTCAAGAAGAGGAGATTTTACAAAGCAGGAACAACAGGAGGTGGGTATAATGGGTATCTACCTGAGAGGCCATGCACTACACTCCCCCAGCCTACTATTTTATATTTCAAGCACCTATTAGAATAATCCTTCTGGATTTAAGTATATTATTTACATTATGAAAGTAACCTAATAAGAATTGATAACAGATGACGAAGGTATATATGTATTTAAGTAACCTAACTCTTCACTATCATTGCAAAAAATCAATAGATTCTAAAATAAATGAGTGTTAACAGAGCAGCATATGCATATTATTGAGTATTTTAAAAGTAAACACCGTAAGAAGTGAAAACAGGAGTGGTTTAAAGTGTTGCTTCTGGGAAGTAAGAGGTAGGGAAGGTACAAACAGGGAATAGTCATTTTCATTATAAACCTTTCATCATCCTTTTTTTTTTTTTTTGTAGCCATGTACATATGATTATTAAACTTAAAATTATAATATAACCCTCCTATGCTAGGCATGATTTGATCTCATTACCCTTATTGAGTTTTTTATTCCTGTGACTCCCATGATCTATTTGTTTCTGAATAAATATGGATTATTTAAATAAGCTGAAATATGTATAAAATTTTACTTTTAATATTTAAACAAATATTTGAAAATTACATTAGCAAAATGAGTCTCAGGGTTTGAGATATTTTATTTCAACTTCCACACGTACATATGAATCTGATCTATAACATTCCTAATAAATGATGTGAATCCAACCTCTGCTAAAATATTTTATCAACTATTATAGGATATCTACCACTGCAAAAGTAGCTCCTATCCTATAAGCTTTGAAGTATTCTTTGTTATGGTCCCACAAGGATCTATTTCTTAAGTAATCATGAGGTTTTAGGCACTCTGTTAGACACAGAAACCCATAGATGAATGAGAAACGATGCTGTTTTTACTTTGAACTGAAATATTTGTCTTTTGATTTTCATCAGTTGGTCCTAACTCTCCTCTCCAGACCAATACAGTAGATTATAGTGGCTATGAACATGAGCTTTGGAACCAGGAAAAATGTTCCAATCCTACCTTGGCTGTCACCAGTTTTGTGAACTTGAACAGATGACTGTAAAATGGAGATAAAAATAATCTATCTCTTTGGGGTACAATAAAGCAAGTTCAAATGAATAAAAGTGTTTAACACTCTGTAACACACAGAAGCTTAAAACGTTAGCCTTTGCAGTGACAACAATAATAAACAATGATTTAACTCTTTCTCATTGAAGATAGTGGTCAGAGTTTTCCAAAGACTTAATATCCTTAGTTTTTGTTAGTCATGGCTTCTAGGTCCCTTATATCATGGATTATATTCCTGTGCATATTTTCTAGTTTGTCAAGGATCCTCTTACTCAGCTGAACACAATATTCTGTATGTAGTTTGAAGGGAGCCAAATTGAGCATAATTATTTTCTCCTTCGATGTAAATTTCATCCTTCTTTCAAAATAGTGAAATAAAAAACGATCATTTCATTGGGAGCCTCATTCCACTGAGACTGAAGTCTAAAAAACCCTGAAGTCATTTCCATGGACTGCTCTTTGCTTGAACTTCAGTCAGATCCCATCCAGTACTTGTTCTATTAGAAACCTGAGACATTTTTCTCCAATAGACATATTGCTGTCTAGTATTACAGACTTCTGAGATTCATATAGTTGCATCTTTTCATCCAACGTATTCCTTGAGAATATCAATGTTTGTCACTGGTGAACCTAAGAAGAAAGTCTTGTGCTAAATGCTTGGCTGGTTGCTAGGAATGAGGCTGAGGACAGAACCCAAAAGTAGTTTAGCAATGCCTTGAGATAAGTTTATTTTATTCAGCATTAGGAACATAAACATAGTCAAGACTTAAAGATTTGCTCACCTGAATAATGTGTTGAACTATACGGCGTCCTGTAGAAGATTTCCAAGCATACGCTGATTAAAAAATTTTCTTTTTACCACTTCTTGATAACAGCACAAATCATGTTATAGTGTACATTAACATATAGAAGCATTTCTTAAGAATAAGTCAAACATTTCATTAATTCAATTCAGCAGACCTCCAGTGACCCTAAACTGATAGATATAATTTTTTAGAAAATAAAATCACATTCACTATGATGAAGATTATTACATGTAAAATCAAGTTGGTTTATTCAGGTGGATTAGGAATTTAACTCTGAAGACTCTTAATTCTTTCACATAAATTCCAAGAATTCCTGGGCAGCATATGCAAGGCCTTTCATGTTGACAAATTGTGACATTCCCTAACTCAATGGTTCTCAACCAGGGGCAATTTTGCTCTCCAAGAGACATTTATTAATCTTTGAAGACATGTTCATTGTCACAGCTAAGGTAGGTGGGGGCCAGGGAAGCTGCTACACATCCTACAATGTACAGGACAGCCCCGCAACAGAAAAATATCTAATTCAGAATGTCAGTAGTAGTAGTGATTTGGGAATTTCTAGGTGTTGCAATGGACTTTTTTCCCTCCTATTTCTCTCATTTCTACTGCTGCTTCTCTCTGCCCCTTCCCACTACTCTCTTAAATCCAAATTTTTTCCTAACATTTTTGCTTTTAATATTATTACTTTTTTATCATTAGGAAAACTTGACTAACGTCTAACCTAATGTCTTTTCTTTAGAGGTTAAGTGTGAGAAATATTCGCAACAGGACACACTTAGTGATAACATTCTGGGTTATTACAAAGCCAATGTTCAAATCATTGCCCAAGTTATGGAGGATTTTTCTAATGTCAGAATATCAGAATTTGGGAGTCATTCACATAGTCAAAAGCATTCAGGTCAACTCTCACTTTGAAATGGCAGTTTGTCAGCAGAGATGCTTAACATATGTAATTGATGGGATGCTATGCTTTATCCCTCAATAATTTGTCTGGCATGGGATAGAAAATATTGAGAGATTTAATGCAAAACCATGGTTCAGGGGGAAATTCTTTGTACTACCTCACTATAGTTCATTCTATAGTGCTTTGTATGCAGTAGATTTTCAAAGGGTGACTGATTGATAGTGGAAACAGCTGTGTGGTTTGGGCATAAAGTATTGACTGCAACACCAGAGCTTCTCTGAGTTATGTGTTTGTGATTCCTGCCCTCCCTAATTTCCCCGTGGAGGCAGCGCTGAAGTGAGCTGTTGTAAGATAGAAGACCTTTACTTTGTCCTCTACAAGGACATAGGAACAAACCCATATAGAGTTCCCTATCCATAGCTCTTTATCACAACTTTTAAAAAGTAGTTTTTATGGGAAACCTGCTGCTTTTCATGACAACACTTTTCTGGGTAGAGTTGTAATGAGATTTAGACAATTACGTTTTGTAAATATTCAGAGGACTGAAAATTTTTTGACTCATTTCTCCATTCTTTTATCTTTCAGAAGAGTTAATATTTAAGTAACTTGCCTTTGTAGATAGTTAACTGAAATGCCATACAATTTCTTGCTTTACTGAACCTTTTCCTGAGCACCTACTTTCATTTTTTGGAAACTATTAAGTGTTTTGATGTTCCTAAGGCCTAGAAAACCTGTTTTTGGCTCTCTGAGTGAAGACAACTCCGACACATGTAAGATAATTAAAAGACAGATATACCAAAACTTATAAACAACTGAAACCTATATTATGAATTAATTGTTATAAACTCTGAGGGTAAAAGAGCATGGAATTGATAAGGAATAGAATATTTTTTTTAAAAAATGTGTTTTGGAGGTAAGTTTTGAAGCAGAAGTTAAAAAAATTAGCACAAGAGAGTAGATTTTTCAGCATATTCTTTTTTCAAAAGTATTTTATTTTGGAAAATTTCAAACAGGTTTAAAAGTAGAGAAAAGAGTCTAATAAGCCTCCATATACCTGCCACCTGGATTCAGTAATCATCAATAGGCTGCCATTCTTGCCTCGGGTTTTTAAATAAATTGCAGACTTAACATCATTTTGTTCCTATATATCTAAGCACGAATTCTAAAAACCATGGACATTTTCACCCATAAAATAATGCCATGACCACAATGAACAAAATTACTAATACCATCCTGGTATCATTTAATACCTAGAACACATTCAGATTTCTTTGATTATCTTCACATCCTGTGTTGATTAGGTATGTTCTAATTAGACTCCAAAGAAAGTCCACACATTGTACTTGGTTAAGTCCCTTAAAGCAACATTTTCTTTGATTAATGTGTAGCCTTATTTCCAAAGTCAACATTCTACACAAATATCCAATATTATTTGGTCAAAACACCTTTTCCCCATTTTGTTTCAATCAATTATGCTAGTGGGGATGGAGAAATGAGAATCATCTTGTTAGCTAAATAAAAACCTCTACCGTATTCGTCCATAATCTGTTCCTGATGTTTTCACCTCAGTATTTGCCATTTTGGTGAACTTGACATGTGTGAATTACATTATAGGATCTAGGAACAATTGCAGTTACTTTAAATATTCCTTAAGTCCAGAGTCTTGACAGGCATGCCATGAATCCTGTGTGAAAACTATTAATATTACCATGCAGTTTTATTCTGGTATGTAACTTCACTCTATTATAAACTATTATCATTGATGTATATCAAGCAGGCATGTAGACCTCTCATGTATGGTATACAAATGAGGACAGGTAATTAGAGAAGCAAAACACATTCAAATACATCAGTATGCCTAGAACACTTACCATTTGGGGGTGAGCAGTTACAATATCTCAGTCATGAAACCTTTGCATGAGGACATCGTATCTTACCATAAAGAAACTAACTCAAGTCAGAACAAAATCTGCTCCTTCCCAATATACAATATACTAGGAAATACAATGGTCACAATGTGCTAGAATGATGCAGAGTATTAGTAGCCGGAGAATGAAATTTTGGAATCTAAAGAAGACAGTGGTCATGGAAATGTGTTATCTTTTATAACAGCATGATTCCAAAGTGATACGTTTTTCAAACTAATACTTGATTTGTCATGAAGTATAACTATCACAGTCTTTTAAAATATCTACTTTTAATTACAGTATATAAATGACCCCATGGCTCCAGAAATTGTGAACATAGTAGAGCCAATGGTAGGATTATATGAGGGTTCAGCAGAGATGTCATCTGACCTTCACTCACTTGCTACATTTATATATAACAATCATCCAGATAATAACTTTCCTGCAAGGAATAGAGCTGAAGACCAGACTTCACCAGTTGGTAGGTAGAATTTTGATTTTCTATAAAGTGCATTTAAGCCACCGGAGCTAGCTAGCACAGAAATGAACCTTAGTGTAGAGTTCAGCCATATTATTAATGGTTGTTGGGCTGGAGTCAATTTTTTTTTTTTTTAGCTGTCGGAAAACCTCATGCAACAAATGGAAATGCCACACAGGCAGAAGCTGGCCCCTCCTAACCCATTTGACCTTCCTCCTGGAGAAAGTAGCACCCTAGAGTCTCCGGCCAAGCTGCATAGACAATCAGTTATTACAGTTGCCAAAGCAGGTGTGATGGGAAGGGATTAACATATCTTCAAATCATTTACAGGCCTCACACTCCCTACAGCTTTTGACTAATAGGTTTTCAAATGTCACTAAAGGTAAATAGGTCAGAAAGTTACAACTCTAGTGCATGGTGTGATAAACAGGTGTAGGTGCCCCAACGATGTGGTGATGTCATTAGTGTATACACTTGCTCTTCAGTGTCAGTGGCTCTTACAGTTTCTAAACGGAGAATGTCATATACGGCAAATTAAAAATACTCACCTGACACATATTCTCTTTCTACCTTTTCTAAAATGTTAAATGAGAAGAATATTTTATTTTATTACCTTTTCTCTGATTTGGTATTTGTCCCATTCAAAATTAAAAGTGTTATTCTATTTATGGTAGAATTAGTAAAAAAAAAAATCACATTACATTGAATAGATGTTTATATTTCACTTACTGATCCATCTTTCTTGTGCAAAGATGACTGGAGGGTAACACTGAAAATTAAGAGTCCCAAGATTTCTGATGCAGATGTTCCCTTAAAAACTTAAAGTTTGACCTAATTGCTACTTAAGAGTTTTAGAAGCACAAATTCTAAATAAAGCAAAAATCTAACATTTGAAATCCTTCTGGGATATTTATTTATCAGTTATCCAAGCATGCTTGCTTTAAAGAATTATTTGGTTTACTGAATGTGTGGCTGTATGGTGAAATTTGAGTCCAAATAAAACTATTTATTTAACTCTTCTACTAAAACCAGGTATTGATTTATAATATCTCAATTATGTATTTCTTTAACTCTTCTACTAAAACCTGGTATTGATTTATAATATTTCAATTATATATTATTGCCTACTCTTTCTTTTCAGAAAACATTCCTAACCAGTCTCTTTAATAAAGTTATGTTTTCTTAAAAACACTAATGTCATGTTTCAGAGTAATGTGTAAAAACTAGCAAAATTATCAGCACAAAGTGTTTGTGGTTATTATTGGGAGGTACTCAGAAATTCATAGTAATATTCAATACAATCTCTAAAATTAATATTTTTATGTTTACTATTATTACACATCTACTTTTAATAGAGATGTGCATGGAGAGATTAAAGAATAAGGAGAAGTCAGGTTTAAGATTTTACAGTCTAAGGAAAAAATAATTTTGATTGTGAAGCCAAACATCTTTTTTTCTCTTTTTACTGAATTCAAACAGTAACTACAAGGAATCAGTATATTACTGACATTGCAGCTGAACAGCTGTCTTATGTTATCAGGAGACTTGTACCTTTCACTGAGCACATGATTAGTGTATCTGCTTTCACCATCATGGGAGAAGGACCACCAACAGTTCTCAATGTTAGGACACGTGAGCAAGGTAAGGATGTATTTCCTTTGAAACAATTACCTGCAAATATTGCTGTTGTACACTGTGATACTTTTTCTTTTCATTCATATGTTCATTCTTCTTTTTAAGTGCCAAGCTCCATTAAAGTTATAAACTATAAAAATATTAGTTCTTCATCTATTTTGTTATATTGGGATCCTCCAGAATATCCCAATGGAAAAATAACTCACTATACGATTTATGCAATGGAACTGGATACAAACAGAGCATTCCAGATAACTACTATAGATAACAGCTTTCTCATAACAGGTAGAAACAACATTTTATTGTTGTTGTTTGTTTTACATTTATATTCTGGTGGAAAATATGCCCATATCCCTGTGCCTTATATACTACAGAACACATGCTATGTCAATTCATATTTTGTTGTTTTGTGTCGCCATGGATATCTTTTTAAAATACCTGCATACATAACTCGATTAAATGTGTTTTTCTTTAACTAGATTTACCCACAAAGAAGTAAAAAGCATCAGATCACAAGCCTCATAGAAATTTACTTAACTTAAGGAATACTGTATCTGGTATATCAAAATAACTCATTATTGAAGACTAAAATGTACGACTGCAAAAATCAGCTGAAGTAATTCAGCTGACATGGTATTTGTGCCAAGTCAACTATACCCCCTGCAGTGTGCCAAAAAGTTACTTTTTCAACTTTAAATTATTGCCTTAATATTTTAGGAAAGAATTTGAAATGACCAACATGGAAAGGCCTATAAGCCCACGAATTTGAGGAGACTGCAATTATTTGGAAGCTAGTCCCCCGTATAAATTATTCTTACTGGTCTTATATTAAATGACACCAATCCCAAGAATATTATTTTAAGGACATTAAACAGTTTGTCTATTGTCCTTATAGGGTTAAAGAAATACACAAAATACAAAATGAGAGTGGCAGCCTCAACCCACGTTGGAGAAAGTTCTTTGTCTGAAGAAAATGACATCTTTGTGAGAACTCCCGAAGATGGTAAGAATATCAGTTGCAGTTTTAATTTTTTTTAAAAGTGATTGTACATGCTCACTGCCTTCACTTCATGCCACCTCTAGGGTCTAAAGCAACAAGCATCAATAAAAATATAGGTACTGAAAATTTTCTTTTCTTCCCCTAGAACCGGAATCATCACCTCAAGATGTTCACGTAATTGATGTTACCGCAAATGAAATAAGGTTGAAGTGGTCACCACCTGAAAAGCCCAATGGGATCATTACTGCTTATGAAGTGCTATATAAAAATAGAGACACTTCATATATGAAGAACACATCAACAACAGACATAATATTAAGGAACTTAAGACCTTTTACCCTCTATAACATTTCTGTAAGGTCTTATACCAGATTTGGTCATGGCAATCAGATATCTTCTTTACTTTCTGTAAGGACTTCGGAGACTGGTGAGCTTTGTTTTGCTTTGTTTGTTTAATAATACATAGTGATATGGTAAGCATAGCTGATAGTTGCCATGTTGCTTACATTTTACGTAACCTAAAATCCCTCATTAGTTTGTTTTGTATAATCCAGAAATTAATTTTCTATTTCAGGCAAAAGTGCAGGAAAAGGTTTATTGTACAAATTTTTAAAGTCTGATTTATATAAGGGAACTACTAATCAAAATCTATGAATTTTCAAATGAAAAGACCTTAAGAAGCCAAGGATTCTTTCAATGTACCTATAAATTTTAGGTTGAGGGAGGCCGAGACGGGCGGATCACGAGGTCAGGAGATCGAGACCATCCTGGCTAACCCGGTGAAACCCCGTCTCTACTAAAAAAATACAAAAACTAGCCGGGCGAGATGGCGGGCGCCTGTAGTCCCAGCTACTCGGGAGGCTGAGGCAGGAGAATGGCGTGAACCCGGAAGGCGGAGCTTGCAGTGAGCTGAGATCCGGCCACTGCACTCCAGCCTGGGCGACAGAGCGAGACTCCGTCTCAAACAAACAAACAAAAAATTTAGGTTGAATGGCTACTTGCTTTCAAATTAGGTAAAAGCGAGACATACTCATAGGAATAGATTCTTAGATTACAATGAGGTATGTATATAGATAGTATATAGATAGATGTATATAGATGCAGAGTGGGAGCACAAAAATGGCATGCCTGGAGAAGACTTATGGAGGAGACAGCATTTGGCCTGGATCTTAATGAGGAGGGTGGAATGGGCAGAAGAATGTTATAGAGCAGAGGTCCCCAACCTTTTTGGCCCTGGGGACTAGTTTCATGGAAAACAATTTTTCCCTGGACTAGGGAGGGAAGTGGGGTTGGTTTCAGGATGATTCAAGAACATTACATTTATTGTGCACTTTATTTCTATTATTATTACATCATAACATATCAAGAAATAATTATACAACTCGCCATAATGTAGAATCAGTGGGAGCCCTGAGCTTGTTTTCCTGCAACTAGATAGTCCTATCTGGGGGGTAATGGGAGACAGTGACAGATCATCCCGCATTAAATTCTCATAAGAAGCACACAACATAGATCCCTTGCATGGGCAATTCACAATAGGGTTTGCATTTCTATGAAAATCTAATGTCAACACTGATCTGACAAGAGGCAGAGCTCAGGCAGTAATTCAGGCAATAGGGAATGGCTGTAAATACAGAAGCTTTATGACGCTCACCTGCTATGTGGCCCAGTTCCTAACAAGCCACCGGCTGGTACTAGTCCGTGGCCCTGGGATTGGGGATCCCTGTTATAGAGGTTGCTGGATAGGTTGGGAGAAGATATCCCATCTAAAGGAAGTAATGCAAGCAAGGAATTACTTGTGTTTTAGTTTCGGTGAAACTAGAGGAAGACAGTTTGTCTGATAATCTTATTTTATTGTTTATATTGTGTTACAATTATGTATTGGTGGCATAACTATTAGGCCAATTCTGCAATGTATTCTGAGAATTAATAACTAAATGTAAAGTTACTATTTTATTTGTACATTTAAAACAATAAATATTTACTGACTAGCTACTGGTGGGACCACATTAAATTACCATTTTTATAGGTCACAAATGGCCAAATATCAGCAATTTCATATAGGTCAGCCAGATACTATATATGAATTTCTGTCTTGACCTTGAGGATCTAGAAATCTAGTAAAGTAGCTTACTTTTATAGAAAAGTATCCTGTTGAGACTCTTCACAGAAATGAACACAATGAGACGATACAAAAGAGCCCATAGATAATGGCAGTAGTTGAAATTGCAGGAATAAGAAGGTAATGAAAGGAGCATTTTACGTTATCAAGAGCTTTGAAGTGACAATTGATATTAATCCATATATTGGCATGTTTCACTGCTTTTATAGGTATTATACCTAAAATAAGTATTTTTGAGAAAAATGTCTGATCTTTAATGACTCAGTTTTATTTTGCAGTGGGTCAAGGAAATGAAACAAGCATATTTTTAGCACCTATTAAGTGTCACGGGCCTGCTAATGGGTTTCACAGAAATTGTCTTGAAAAAATTCTAAACTAAAGCAGTACATTATTGTTATCTTCACGGAAAACTGAATCTAATGAAAAATGGAGGGTTTGAGAGGTTCATTCATTCAAAAAATATTTATAATATACCAGGCCTTCCTGGGGATAAAGCAGTGTAGAAGAAAAGGATTTCCTTCCCTCCTTAAGTTTTATTAGTTGGTGGGTGTTTAATTGCCTAATGGCACCAGCTGGAAAGTGATGAGCTGGAATTAGAGTCCAAAGCTATCTGACGTAAAACCCATTTCCCTTTCACAGCACATGCTGTTTTGGAAGTAATCAACAAAGCTGGTAAATTATAAACTATATCTAAGATCTCTCTGTGCATTGTTACACTGATATTTTGTTGTTAGGCTTCTGCCCAGCATGGGGAAGAAAGTAATAACTTTGAAAGATTCTATTGTGATATGAAAGAATAACCATTTTTATGAATGCTTATCAAGTATTTCGTTTAAGTGGCCACAGCATCAGGAACACCTTATTTTAATGATGAATTATAAAGCAATTTTTTTTTGTTTTCTGATTATTACATGCACATAATCTTTTAGTATTGAAAATGTAATTTTATTTTCTGTTTTATTTCTGTTTGTATGAGTTTAATTTGAAGAAAGGGACAATAAACTTTAAGTGAATACAAATTTTGAGATTTAGTTTAAAATGAGAATTTTCATTTTGGAAAGTATCTTAGAAAACATGCAGAACCCTTTAATTTTTAGGTAAGGAGACCTAGGACAATTTGGGTAAAAGGACTCATAAGTTATAGTACTTGGGGCTTGACTATAGGCCTCCTGACCCCCATTACAGGCCTCACTTAATAGAATCCGGAGATGGCTAAAAAAATAAAGAGATGGGGAAACCAATATATCCCATGGCTCCCTAGCCAAGTCTAACAGTAAGAGTACAGGGTTTAATGCCCATCTTCCTGATATCTGGTTCTCTGTCCTAAGTTAGGGTAGTCTCAAGGTCTGTGCATTTTCCACCTGGATGAAAATGGAAGACAATGGAATCTACATTAGTGACTTTTCCTAGATTATGTTTGTTGCTATTAAACTACCCACTTTAGCTCCTTTGGCAAAAGAGGAAGCTAGAATGCTAAGTAGGGTCTCAAATGTCATTTGAAGCAAGATGAGCTCAAGAGCAACTATTTTTCTGTGTTTAGGCTCAGAATAATCTTATTAAATACAGTAATTATACCTTCTATTCATGTAAAAAATATGGGCCCACTCTTCAATATTGTTTCATGAGAAATTGAGTGATGTGTTAACTCAGTGATGTGTTAATATTACTAATTAAAAATGGGAATAAATCATTTGGTTAAACATCTTATCTTTTTAAGAGAAATAGAGTTTACTAATGCTTGGAAGTAAAACACCAGGAAAAATCAATACAAGATTGATTCTGTGTGTGTGTGTGTGTGTGTGTGTGTGTGTGTGTGTGTGTGTGTGTTTTAATCATAGACTGTGCAGTTTTCCAACAAGCTTAAGATTTGCTTTTATTTTCTCATAGGGTGTAATAATCATAAATACAACTGTGAGAAGTTCCCATACAAATTACTCTTTTGATGATCTATACATATTCCCTTTTCTTTTTAAGACATAACCGTCTTTACAGTAAGCCTTTAACAAAACACCTTGTCTGATTCGCTGCAACAACCATGAGTGGATAATAACTTAGATGTTCACCAAAATTTTGTGTAGAACCCCATAAATTTATTTGTATTAATTAATTACATTTTAAAATTTGTCTGCATACATTAAAGCTATCTATGCCAAACAATAGTCTTTTGGCAGATTCAAGATAACTTCCCTTTTCTTTACTATCATCATGGACTATGTATTTTTTTGTTTTGGAATTTTAATAGGTTCAGCTTATTCCAATTGATTATAATCATTCCTTTGTATTCATCAGTTATCTACTTTATAAAATATTTCTACAACTGGGGGACACTCTGTGCTATTTCAGAAAATTCTAAGTGTGTCAATCACTCTTCAAAATCAGTAAGTCATTGAGTCTGTCTTGCTTTATCTACCTGACTATCCAGCACTAGTTATTCCCTAAGGGTAAATGAATAAAAATACAAAAGAGATCAGCCTTGGGTCAGGAATGCATATTTGCACACTGACTACTGGTGGTAGGCAGACAACTGTGGAGGGAAAACTTAAATCTAATGCGAAATTTTCAAAATCGGAGGTTACACTGAGCTATAAAATTCAAGCATAGCATCACAAATTCCCTTTTTGTAATTAAAGAGTTTTTCAACCCAATCTTGTATCTATTCCTTACCTGTGAGTTTCTCTGTTATTTTTAATATATTCTGTATCGTATTAAATATATTTATTCATTCACTGAACAGCTTTTATGGATTCCATATTATGTTCTACCACTGTACTAGATAGTGTAGCTGTAGCAGTAAACAAGACACAATCTGTCTCTGCCTTTCTGAAACTTGACACTAGACAATTAGAAAATTAGAAATTAGAAAACAAATCAGTAAACAAATTTGTGATTTTTAGTAGTTGTAAGTTTTGCTAAGTGAAAAATATCAAGGATAGAAGAGAGAAAGAGTAGTGAGTGGGCTATTTGAGTTGGAGCACTGAGGAAAGGCCACACTGAGAGCTTAATTTGCCCAGTGATATTAATGAGATGCAGGATTAAATGAGACAACGATAAGGATAAAAAGTGTTCCAGAGGAAGAATAGCAATTGCCAGCTTCTTGTAGAGGAAAAAAACTGTGGAGTTGGGGCAGAGCAGGGCATTTCTGTCACTTGAACAGTGTGAGTTGGGGTAGAGAATTCACAGATGAGGCGAGAGGCAGAGGTGGATCATGAGATTCTTGGGTGCCATTGTAGGAACTTTGCAGTTTAATTTTAATGAGGAGCTTTTGAATAATTATGAAATAGGAACATTATATGGGTTACAGTTTTCGCAGATTGCTGCTGAATATGCTGGATGTTTAAGTAAAGAGAAAAATCAAGATGAACTAGTAGATTGTTGGTCTGAGTATCTGGGTGAGTGGTAGTGCCATTTACTTAGACGGGGAAGTCCAGGGAAGGGGTCAATACGGAGAACATCCAGAAGTTCTGTTTGGAACATGTTTCAAATATCCAAGTGCCATTATGAAGGCAGTTAGATAAATAAGTTTAAAGCTCAGGGAAAAGATCCAGAGCTGCATATACAATTTGGAGCCTCACTGGATCTTTGATATTCAATCAAGGGATGAGGATAAAGTCACATCACTGGACAATAGGGGGAGATGTTAAGAAGCTTACAGCTATGTCCTGGGTAATACGACATATAGACTTTGACAAGAAGAAGAGCTAATCAAGGACAAAGCAGAAGTCACTGGATATAGAAGGAAAACCAGAAGAAGATAGTGTCTTCAAAGCCAAGTGAATAAAGATTTTCAAGTAGAAGGAGTTTATTCCCTATGTCAAATCCTGCTGACAAGTAAAGTAAGATGGGGCATACAATTGATTAGTGCTTTGGCAAGAATGGAGGTCATTGGTGACTTCACAGGAGTAGGTTTTACAGGAAAAAAATGGAGAAAAACAAAGTGAGATTAACAGAGTATGACAGGCAAAAAAAAAAAAAATGTAGAAAATGGGGAATGGCAAATTTTGAGGAATTTTGATATGAAGTGGAGAGTAGACTTGAGTAATAGCTGAAGGAGCAAGTGCAATCAAAAGAAGACTTTTTAAACACCAGAATGTATATTACAGTGTATGTGTGTTCACATGTGTATCTGACTAACTTCAAGTGTAAAGTCTCTGAATAGGCAGAAGGAATGAAATCCAGTGCAGACGTGGAGGGATGGAGCTTGGAAAGGAGGAAAGAGGGAAGGCAGTTAAGGGAAAATTTGAAGTCGGATGATAATGTAGCTCTCTTCTCAGTGTTTTTATTTTTGCAATGGAATGAGAAGCAAGTTTATTAGCTTCAAATAAAGAGAGGGAGGGCTTATCAGAGGTTTGTGAAGAGAGAATATGGTGAAAACATACTTTAAAGAGTGGGAGACTGAATTAACTAAAACAAAAACATTAGCTATCAGGAAATGAAAAGGATCCATTTGAGATTTGAGGTTATAAATTTAAGTGGAACTAGTCAGCATAGAATGGTGTTTTACTCTGTAAAACACTATTTAATAGCTGAAAAAAATACAATTTTCAGTTATTATATTGGGCATGTGAAGCTAGCAGAGTTTTGTTTAATTCCAATTATGATTTGCCAGGAAAGTAAAATAAAAACAGAAGGAAGTGATGGATATAGCTAAGAAGTGATCACAGTGACTATGGACTCTAGCCTGAGCATGTAGGGAAATGAAGGCATAACAGAGGTAATGCACAGTAAAGATTTGATGAGGGTCAGAGAATTGTTGGATTCAAAGTATAAGAGTCAGTAAGCTGGAAAGATAGGAGTCAGTTGTCAAAGAGAGGAATATTGGTAGTTATTGTTAATGACAAAGTCTTAGGTGTTTCCATGAAAGCCAGTGAAGTGTAGTGGGGTAAACTTAGGTGGGGGGAAATATTATTGGAATTATAGAGATAAAGAAATACACAGTCCAGGGAACTGGATAGATCATTTGCATGGATATTGACCTCTCTGAGTCATAGGGAAGAAGTCAGTCATCAAAGTGATAGCATCTTTGAGATGTTCAGAGAAGTGACAGAGGTATTACCAGTTGTCTGTCTTAAAGAGGGGTAGCATGTGATGGTATCTAACAGAATGGGGCTTCAATGGATCTGTGGTTCTTCAGGAAGAAAAAAAGGAGCAATAAATGCAACTACCCAACTCCTACGCCCTATGGTTAGTGGGACTATGGGAGAAAAACAAACATGATACCCAAGAGGGCTAAACTGTAGTGGTATTTCTCAGCAGGTCCAAGATTTCACTTAGAGCCAAAAGTTAAGAAAGCATTCAGGGTAGATGTTGAGGATTTTTCTCCATGCAATGTGTTGGCCTGGGAAAACACTAGAGAACATTTAGCGTGTTTAGGATAGAAAGGATAGTGGAATTATATTGCTATGTCAAACTATGCATTGAATTGCAATCCTCTCAAAGTTTTAAAAATATCAATATTTTAAAATTACTTTTTCCTATTAAGTGTGCCTTGACACCATAACCCAATAACTGGTAACAATCGAGGGGAGGGACACTGTATCTACACTTTTAAGGCTTCTGAATTTTTTTTATCTACTAAATTTACTATTAGTAATTTTTATATCCATTCAATTTAGAATACTAATAAAAAAGTTCAGTTTCTTTCATTTGAAAGAAAAGAGTCTTATAACAGGACTCTTGAATGGCAATAATATTTACCTATTTAGTTTATATTGTTTAACCCTCCAAGTTAATTATTTATGTTATTGTTCTATGTACTCAATTTTTAAACCATTATCTTGGCCACTCTGATCTTTCATCTGTGGTAAATAGTTTTCTACCTAAAGTGCATTGTCTACAATTTCATTTACTGAGGATGTGTTGATGGCATTATCCCTCAGGTTTGTTTTTTTTTTTATTGTCTGAATATGTTTTTAGTTTGCTACTGTTTATTTTTCTGGGTATAGAATTCCAGTTGTATTTCAGCTGATGTTGATTGTTGGTCTAATTGTCATTATTATGTAGATGATTTGTTTTCTTTCTGGTACTGTTAAGATGTTTTCTTCTTTGGTATTCTGTATTTTCACAATGATATGTCTAAATATGGTTTAAAAAAATTCTGCTTGGGATTTACTGAAATTATTTGATCTGATGTTTGATATCTTTGAATAATTTTGATGAGCCCCAGCCATTATCCCTTTAAATATTTCTTCTTTATTTTCTCTATTATCTTAAACCCCCTGCAGATATCATCTGTCTCAACTGCCATTTTGTATTTTCCATAACTGTTTTCTTTGATCTACATTCTTGATAATTTCTTCAATACTATCATCCTTTTCACTAAAGTTCTCTTCTTCTTTATCTAATCTGCTCTTTAGTACCTCAAGGGAATTTTAATTTTAGTTATTTTGTTCTATTCTAGAAGATCTATCTTGTTCTCCTTCAAACTTGCTTGGTTATTTAATATTATTTACCATTATTTAAATAATTCTTTGCTCATATTTTAAAATATGTTTGATTTCTTGAAACATATTAAACATTTCTATTTTATTTCAATATCTGGAATCTCAAAATCTGACTACTGTGTATGTGTATGTGTTTTTTCTTTTCTTTGCTGACTTTCACTATTGATATCTGATTTGCTTGTGTGTTTAGTGATTTTATCCGTGAGCTCATACTCTTTGAAACTTTAGCTGTGAGAAATTTATGTGGGTTGTGTTGAAGTTGAGTTCCTCCAGCAAGTATTTTTATTTACTTCTAGTTGTTTAGGAGTAATAGCAGCTCAGGACTACAGTTTTATTTTAATTTAAATTCTGAAGTAGAGGTTTCTTCAGGGTACATATAGGTATCATGGATTTAGTCAATATATGATCATGGGGATAGGCTTATAAATCCAAAACAGCATAATTTTTATTTCTTTTCTATCTCTCCACCCAGTGGAGTGGCAAGAGAGAAAAAAGGTTTCCTTTCTGTCCTCTCTGCATGGCAGGTTTATTTCTCACTTCCTGTTCCCTGAGAATGAATGCATCACATTGCACAAGACCAGGAGTTACCATTCACATAGACTTCTATGGCACATGCAGAAGACTCTAAAGTATCCCCTAGAATTGTTCAATATAATAACACTGGTTACAGTTGCATTCTTTTGGGATTTCAGGGCTTTCTGTAGAGATATGGCTCATCCTTCAGCTGGCCCCAGGACTTTATAGTCTTTCTCTGACACGCTACACAGATGTTACTATACAAATGCAAGGGCACTAGAATTAACCAATCTACTGCAAGGCAAAACTGCCTTTAGTACCAGCTTCCTTCTCAGGATTTCTGTCTTTGCATTTTGTTTGCTTGTTTGTTTTTCTGTGACTTCTTTTGGCCAGTCACCACTAGATTCTAACTTTCTTTTCAGCACCAGAATTTCTTGAAGAAAATTTATCTTAATGTTATGCAGAGTTTTAGTTATTTTAAGTAAGATATTCACTCAATTTAAGGTATCTGTTCCAATATTTTATCGGAATTGGAATCTTGTATATAGTTTTGGGCTCAAATTTACATGGAAAACCATTTTATGTATAATGTATTCCATATAAAAATGTTAGATACAGAAAACCAGTGTTTGACTTAATGATATCCCATATTCTTGGGAGGTGGTTTTGCTGCCAGGTCATAATATGCAGTCTCACATCTAGGAAGGACTCCTTGCCTTGTCATAGACCCTGTTGTCGACCAAAACTAACCTACTGATCTTTCTTTATATTATCATTAATGAGGAGTAGAATCAAGTTTTAAGTGTTTTAAAATTCTCTTTCTTGTATCTGTGTGTTCTTCAGTACAAGACAGGTTCCTATAGTTCCAAGTATTTTAGTAAACGTATCATCTTATAACTGTTATTCTGTGGAATCATAGTAGTATTTTCTTTTGAATGAAAATTTTTCTTATACAGTTGTAAGTCCTATAATTTATTTATACCTTACTTCATTCAGGATGTTTATTACCATTGCATTCTAGTGAATATTCACATGTAAATAACCTAGTGCGCTTCAGTGACAATTTCAGCAGAATAGATTTTTCGAATGGAATTGTTTTATGTATCTATATTTTTTTGTTTCTTTCAGTGCCTGATAGTGCACCAGAAAATATCACTTACAAAAATATTTCTTCTGGAGAGATTGAGCTATCATTCCTGCCCCCAAGTAGTTCCAATGGAATCATACAAAAATATACAATTTATCTCAAGAGAAGTAATGGAAATGAGGAAAGAACTATAAATACAACCTCTTTAACCCAAAACATTAAAGGTAAAAGAACAAATCTAATATTGGATATTTGCATTTATAACAACAGAGTAACCACAAATATTAGCTTAATGTTAATAGTTTGAGATTATTTTCATGCAGGGTATTACAATTTTGTCTTTTTGGTTAAATAAGCTAGGAGTTTATTGCAAGTCACATGAAAGAATACTGTAGATCCGTCCTTTTTCACTTTATCCTATATCATTTTGTCTTCATAAATAAGAGCTACTGTTGCCAAAGAATGACATTTTCACTTAGTTTTTATTTTTGGAAGATTGTATTGAGAGCCATTTCATAGTTTCCCTCTTACCTATTTTATTTCTATTTAGGACTGAAGAAATATACCCAATATATGATTGAGGTGTCTGCTAGTACACTCAAAGGTGAAGGAGTTCGGAGTGCTCCCATAAGTATACTGACTGAGGAAGATGGTAAATATAATAGTGGATATTGATATACTTTGATTCTATAATATTTCGAGAAACACAGATATACTTTGATTCTATAATATTTCGAGAAACACATATATAGAATGAAACAATGTAAAAACTCCTCTAGTCATGGGTATCAGTTGTGTACCATACCAGTGTTATACAGCGATTTCATTGTCATGGGAAAATAAGCTAGCAATGTTAGATTTACATTCAGTGAAATCAGGCATAAAATGCTTTTTATTTTTCTAAAGTCATCAGTACTCTGTAAAAAACAGTCAGTCATGTTTTTCCATGGACATTTTTAAGGCTAAAAATTTGATTTGAACATTAACTGATATATGTCATGACTGTGTTTTTCAAATTTTACATTTTTAAGAATAGACATTAACATGAGCTTTGAAGCAGATTATGTTTATGTAAATGTTCAGCACTTTTTTATGATATTAAGGATTAACTTGATAATGAGATCAGGCTATTGTACAGGTTCCCTACATAATTGGACAAGATGCTATTCCCCAATGTTAGTAGCTTTCATGTTGAATATTTAAACATACCTTTCCCTAACCCAAATAAAATCAGCTTTACTACTGAGGCCACTTTACATTGATACCTTACCAAGTTAGACATATATTATGCTAAGAAAATAACTTTTGAAAGATACATTTGGGATTAGGTTTTGCATTTTATATTTTATACGTTGCATATTTAGAGAATATTATTTTTTTTTCTGTAAAAGGAATTTCTGTTTCCATGAAGGGTAGGCCTGGAAGTATCATACGTGTTTGTGGAGTATCTTTTTTTTTCGTCTTTCTTTCTGTCAAGTTTCCCTATCTTAAAGCTAGGCCATAGCCTATGAATGTTAAGAGTCTAGAATCATTCACCAGGGCAGAATGTGCATTAGACACTGCTAGGAAGGGAGACTTTTCCCAGCATTGCTCTCTTTCTTTTTAAAAGAATAAAGTCTTCACATCCCTCTTCTCTTTTTGCAGGTCTCTCCATGTTTTAACCTCTACCAAAGAATTTCACCAAAGCATCTTGGCTAGGGCTCTCTGGGTTGCCCCAGTTTCTAAGTGTGATGCCTCCGTGGGTCAGTTTTCCATAGTCATTGCATCTTCTTACTATGCTTGCTTTTCCATCACATTTACCTGCCAAAATTCCTTTTTTTTTTTTTCATAAATAGATTCTCCTTGCTCTCAAAGTTAAAATTATCTTAATAAAAAAATCCTTCCAAGTAAGTCAATGGTTAAAAACTGGGGAAGAAAGTTAGTGCTCCTTTCTATCTTATATATACTTAAGATTATATTAGTAAAAAATTTACCAATGTCTTTCTGAAAATAATACCCACTTCTATGTAACTAATCTAATCAAAAGGTCCTAATGGCAAGAATTTGAGATCTTATATGATGGAATGAGACCAGTAGTGAACATATATTTTGAGCAGGCAGAGCTTTTACCACTCAAGTCAATAATTCCAAAGTATGTTGTGTATTTGAATTATGTGGGCCGTTAAAAATATGCTTCCTCAAGGTAAAGTTCCATCTAAATTCTTGGCCAAGTCATATAATTTCTAAGCAATAGGATAAAGAACAAGGCTCCCTTGTTGAAAAATTGCAGAAAATCGAGAATGGATAAAGATCTGAGAAAATTTGCCTATTTGGGAATTAGGAACTCTTTGCCCTCATGCCGCTCGTGGTTAGAACAAGAGACCTAAATTTGACAAATGTGTGAACAAATAATTTTTATGATTTTAATTACTGGCATAAATGTTCCCCCAAATTATTCACCAGGACAAAAGAAGGACCTAAGCTACTCTGGGGTGTGAGGTAAAGTGTAGCTGTGGAAGTTATGTCAAAGCTGTGACATGAAAATGAATAAAAAAGGAGGGCGAGAAATCGGAAAGATCATGCCAGGCAGAGGAGCGATAGACTGTGAAGTTCCTTCTCAGCTACCTTGCGATGCTCTGAGATGACAAATTGAATGCACTGCAAAAGTTCTAATTTTTCTAGTTTCAATTTTGTTAGATTATATTTTAGAATACATATGCCAAAACATTTTAGAATACATATGCCAAAATGATTAAAACTTAGTCTGCTACAGTGGGTGTGCAGTGATTTTTTTTTTAGATAGACATGTTAATTACATTTACTTAGCAATAAAATGTTTTACATTAAAAATAAAATATTCAGAGATCTACTGAAGGTTAGCTTTTAAAGGCACCAACCTTTATCTGGTATTCCAGGTAAGCATCTTAAAGCATGTTAGAAATGGTTAGTTGCAACATATTAGTTTCTAAGTTACTGCATTTTTTATTGAAGTCCTTTTTGTAAACAATAAACAGATTTTACAAGGATGCTAGGAGAAATATTTATAGGTTTTTGTTTTGACAAATGAAAGAGAATTTTCAGAGATAATTCTTATCTTGGGAAACAGACATCTCTAATTGATGCATACATTCCTGTGATAACTATTATTTGATAGCAACATTATTGTAGTGCCAGTGAAAATAACCAAATGAAAATACCAAATACAGCTATCACTATTATTCCTTATAACTTGTCTCATAAACTTTCTGCTGCTCAATAAAATTATTTGGAAAATTATTGTTAGTAAAATAATGAAAACTTGCACACATGGGAACATGTACAACTGTAGCTGAGATTATTCAGAGAAGTAAAAAAGAAAAAAAATGAAGTAAGTCAGGCAGGATTCTGTCCAAATTGTTGGAAATAGTGATCTGTACATGAACTGTATTTCAATTGCCATTGTTTAAAGATGTAAACAAATTTTCAGAATTTCTATTAGCTACCTATGAATTCACATTCCGTGCATCACTGTAACAATGAACTAAATTTTAGTGTTTTCCTTTTTTACATGCAAAAAGTTGTATTCTATTATTCTAAGACATTACTGTGGTGTTACACAGCAGCTGAGAAATGCCATTCTAAATGTTTTACCTAAATGGAAGTATAAAGTTGGCTAACTATTTTGCAGTAATGTTTTTACCACTTATTCAATGCCAAATAGCAAATGTATTTGTATTTTACACTATTATAGCAGAGTTATAAGTAGATTCTACATTATTTTCTTATTTATGTGCTACATTGGTATTTCCTTTGTAAACCATTCAATTTTGAAGACTGAGTGAACAGAGTTTGATATTATTTTACTTTTTAATGACACAACAGAGATTGAGGGATGTAGTTTTCATTTGTGAGGTCAGTCATTTTAACTGCTTTCCCAATGTTATGCTTATCACTTTCCCAACTTCTTGGATGTGTGATTTTTTTTTCCCACCTCTTTTTATTGTCTAGGGACCTCTTTTATTGTGTATTTATTCACCCTCAATAAAGTTTTTATTTTTATTAGAGGATGACAGTTGACCAAGATGTACTTGAACAGTAGGTGAGTCACTGTGACATACCCCTTGTTCTACTTTCTCATGAAATATTTTTTTCCATTGAATCACAGAAACAGATGTTCTAATACCACCATGCAAAATCTTCCTTTATCATCTCATTTTGAAAATAAACAGTCTCTCGTGCTTCTGGAGAAAAGCACTGAACCTAATTCCTTTACCAGAAAGTTTATAATAAAAATTGTGTGTATTTCCATGTTAACTTTTTCTTAAATATGTTTAATAAAATACATTATTCTATACCCTAACTTTTCAGCTCCTGATTCTCCCCCTCAAGACTTCTCTGTAAAACAGTTGTCTGGTGTCACGGTGAAGTTGTCATGGCAACCACCTCTGGAGCCAAATGGAATTATCCTTTATTACACAGTTTATGTCTGGTAATAATTTTTTTTTTTTTTTTGGAAATAGTTCTGAGAACAGATATTAATCTGTAACATAATAGGAATGCAGTTTTTAGATTTCAGAATGTGGTGCTGCATTAGAAACCTGATTATTAATAGGCTAGTTAATATGTTTTTATTAAGAAATAAGTTTTTCCCCTTTTATGTAGTGAGTCAATCATAGTCAAATGAAATAATTTTGCAATTAAAACAAAAAATTATGTGTTATGCATAATTATACTAAATTTCTACTCTTAAAAGTCATTGACAAGTCAACTTGTATAAATGTGAGCATATAATTTTAAACTTCTGAAGTTTTACACAAGTACTCTCATGTCACCATCTTTCAAGCGTCCCTTGAGCAGAGTAATTTTAGTAAACATTTTAAATAGCTATTTTTAAAGAAATCTGTTATTTAAGGTCAATTTTTTATTGAAATGTAAACAATGTATTTTATTTCTGATCACCGTTACCCTGATTACCTGTTTATCCTTCAATTGTGAAAAAGATGAAATCCTACATTGTATCTCATGTCAGTTAACATGCTTATACTACTTCATGAGAACTTGGTAGATTGAAATCTTCACTTTGATGTAATGTAAATCCTCTTGAGATTCACCAGTTAGGTAATACATTACCTAGTGTATTTCATATATTTCAACTCAGAAAATACAATTTACACAATACTTCATAAAACATAGCCGTTTCCTTTTATATTTCTGAATTGGAAGGACCAGCATTGAGGGAGATGCTATGGTGTTTTAAAGAAGTCTCCTCTTCTTTTTCCTAAATTAAGATTTTTCTTTCCTAATTCCCCTTTAACCCCTTTGCATATTTCTCTTTAAGACTATATGTATTTTTTTACTTTGTTGCCTGATTGCTAGTGACTTTGCCTAGTCATGATGAAACTGGGAGTGTCATGACTCCCAGTTAGTGAAAAGGAAACAGTGGGAAGAAGGTAACCGTTCCTTTTCATTACCCTATTTATTTATTCACTCATTCATTCATTGAACAATATTGGTAGAATACCTATATACTGATGAACAAGACTCACATAAGACCCTTGCCCTCAAGGATCTTGTATCTCTTACACTCCAAAGAGATAACTGGATTTTATACCCATAAACAAGCAAACAAGGGAACGTTGGGGGAAGGAGGTCTATTTTTGTTGGGATGCTTCAGGAAGTTCTCTTTGAAAAAGTGGCATTGAGCTGTGATCCAGTTGACAAGAAAGATTTTCTTGCCATGTAAAAATCTACAGGGCAGAACTTTCAAGAAGGAGGGAATATCAACTGCACAAACTCTGTGGGGAAACACAACTGGTCACTTTGAAGACCAGAGAGGAGGTCAATGTTGCTAGGGATTAGAGAACCAGAGGAGGGTAACAGTGGGGGCAGGAGATAAAGTTCAGGAGTCAAGCCATGGTAAGGATTTTGTTTTCATTCTAACTATAAAGGGAGTTCATAGATAATTTAAATCACTTTAGATTACTTACAGAGAATGAACTGTCAGGGACAAAAATATTAGCAGGGATGCTAGGCTATTTTAGTAGTCTGGGAAAGAGATGGTAGTGACAATGGAGAGGAGAAGTGGGCAACTTTGAGCTACATTTGGGAAGAAAAACTAACAGGACTTGGTGATGGATTGGCTGTGCAGATAAGAAAAAGAGAAGAATCAAAAATGACTTCTAGATTTTTGAATCAAGTGTGATTACTACTAGAATATGATGCCATTTACTAAGTTAGAAAAAAAATTAAATGAAACAGATTAATTAAGCGAGAATCAAGATTTTTCTGGCGGGAATTTTCAGCCCTGCATTATGAGAATAACTGTGTTCTTGTATGCAGTGATCATGCTTCCCTTCCTTGAGCTTCCGTGTATTTTTAGCATAATTCATAGCACACCTAGACAGAAACACATGTGGTGGGATAGCATTTTAAGGGATGCTGTTTACCCAGTTTTTCTTTCTCTGGGTATGAACTCCCATGTCAGTGGGAGCCTCCTATTCTAGGAACTTAACTATAACTTTAGTTGTCTATTTATAATTCCAAAATGTCTAAAGGTATCAGGATTTGTTAGGAATAAGTAATGGCAATGTACATTACACCACCTCTTAAGAATATAGCATGGCTCAAATTTTATATGCAACAATTCTGATGTCATATAGAACATGACCTTTTATTTTCTGTAACTGGTTCTTTTTGCTTTTTGCAGTGATGCTGGGGTTGATGAAAGCACTGATTTTAGATAACCCATTCATTTATCATTCCCTCTGGGTTTAATTCAGTCTCTTTTGGGTAAATATTCAATCAATTCAAAGTTTAACTCTTCAATTGTACTTTTTCTCTCATCCGTCAAGAGGTATCCTTATCTCGTTTTCTGAGGTAGTCTGGGTACAGGGGAAGCCCATTGAAAATGGGGTGAGGTAATCTCAAATCCGTAATATTGAAACAGAAAAAGTTCCCTTGTCCTGCTCGCAGCGCGTGCGACGGGGGCGTGGCTCAATTCTCTGGTGCCCCGCTGCTCAAACCTCTAGGGGGAGCATGCAGACGGGCAGGTTGTGGGGCTCCGACCCCATGGCAGGGTCTAGGGGTGAGTGTTTTCAGCTGAAACCCCAGTGGGCCTGTGTTACAGTATGCTCTTTTAGTTTAGCCATCCGTAGGCGGCTTGTGTTAGCTCAGTTAGACCCCGTGCCTTATCCCAAGGACAGAGGATTTTCTTGCCTTGGAGTACCAGAACTGGATCACACGGGGCTTGGAGAATGAGTGCACGATGTATTGAGTGGCGATAATTCTCAGCAAGGCGGGGAGCCAGAAGGGAAATGGAGTGGGAAGATGGTTTTCCCCTGGAGTCGGGTCACTCAGCAGCGGACTGTCCTTCGTCCTCACCCGCCAAACTGTGCGTTGTTCCGCTGGTTGATGGCCTGCTGGCCTGCGGCGTCTGTCAGTGTGTGCTGTTAGTCCTCTGTGTTCCTCTCGATGTCCAGCCGCTGTGTCTTCCGTCGACGTGTTCCTGTCAATGTCCAGTCGCTTGTGTGTATCCCCGTTAGGGTCTTGGGATTTTTATAGGCACAGGATAGGGGCGTGGTGGGCCAGGGTGGTGTTGGGAAATGCAACATTTAGGCGGGAAAACAGAAATACCTGTCCTCATCTAGGTCCCTGGGCACAAGCCCGGGGTGGAGCCCTAGCCAGGGACCTGCCCTTCTCTACCCAGCACTTCCCTGCCCCTCTCCCATATCAATATTGTGAGACACCTCACCTGACCTTTTAATGGAATCATTCTGGCACAAACTTGCAGTCACGGCTTGTAGTTTCAAGGTTCCTATTTTCTGTTTTATCCTTGATCCAGCCTCAAGGCTTACTCTAGTCCCCTGGTTCCCTAACACGTCTGTGTTGAACCTCGGATAGCTAGATACTCCCAGCTGATTTCTCTGCACCAATCTACAGTGTGGAGGATTTGAGAAGGTTATCTCCACACCCTTCTCTAGCTCTGGATGATCTGCTAGAGGAGCCCTTACATCTTGCTCCACACAGAGATTTTCCAAGCGGCTTGTCATGTTTATCTCCATCCTGAGAAAAAAGAAGAAGGCTTCTTTACTCTGGGATTTCCCTCCCAAATCTATTCAGGTGTTGTCACCACTCAACCCTTACCCTAAGATCTTGGGACACTCCAGTGTGATGTCTTTGCCCTTTTATTTCTCTCACTCTTTTTTCGTAGTGCAAAATTTTTCCTTTTACCTTTCTTTCTTTTGACAGATGGAAATTTCCTTCTTCCGTATACTCTTTTCTTTCTATACTTCAAGGGTCTTAATTTAATTATAACTACTTAATTATAAAACTCTGATCTCAATCCAGGATTGGCTCTTGATGTGTAAATGGGATGTAGAAAACACTTTTCCCTCAGTAAAACTTGGCTTTGTTTTACACACACACACACTCTCTCTCTCTCTCTCTCTCCCTCTCTCCCTCTCTCTGCTTTAAAATCTACTTTGTTCATTGCTGTATTTAGAAGAGACTATTATTACCTGACACATAATTGAAACAATGTTTGTTCAATGGACGAATGAATGAAGAGTATGTTTTAAGTTAGAAACTGTGTATATATAAAATATATATTATACATAAAATATATAAAATATATAAAATATATAAATATTATACATAATATTTATATATAATATATTATACAATATACATATATGTACATATACATTATATATAATTATTATATTAGATTATGTATTATATAATTATTACATATAATAATTATATTATATATAATTATTGTATTTTTTTCTCATTGCATTTCTGCAATAAGAATAGTGATGCTTTTTCAGATAATGGATGACTCAGTGGAATAGAGTAAGATTACATAAAGAACAATAAAGGTGAAAGACCTTAACATATTCAAGAATGTTATCTATAATATATATGTGTGTATATATATATAAATGATAATTAAATATACACAGATATATATTTACATTTTCAGCATCATCTTACTAAGATGCTTGCTGGAAGCTTTATGCTTTAGTATCTTACTAACATACTTTAGTATCTTAGCTGGAAATAGCCCTGTAAGGTAGAGTAAATGTGGCAAAGGGAATACTCATAATTCTGGATTCCTTCATTAGTGATCACTAATCTTTTTTGGGGACTCTTACCATAATCGGTTTTATTATGGGGAAAAGAGGCATGTATCATAATGTAATACACATGGGTTTTTAGTCAGTGAGACATGGGTTTGAATCTTGGCTGTGTCACTCAATTATCTTTGGTTCCTATAAAGTACTTAATAAATGGTAGTTATCATTGTTAGCAGGATTCCTGCTTCAGGAGTCCATAGTTCTCTCATAATTCTCAGTTTCCATTATTTCGGTTGATCCAATAATTACCAAATTCTTATAAAGACATTTATTTCAATATTTCCTTTTTTTGGGGGGGGAGGGGGTCTTGCTGTGTTGCCCAGGCTGGAGTGCAATGGCACCACCTTGGCTC